CACCGTGTCCGATTGCGAAAAGTTGACGTATTCTGCTTGTCAAGCCGTATCGTTTAAAAGGTCGTAGAGTATGTAAAGACCCGCACAGAAGGCATCCCTTTGTTGTACACCTGTCTTTGCTCAACTTGTCTTTCATTCGTCGTGCTCGTGTGCAAATGTAACACGAGCATATGTGCCCGCATCACAGTAAGCATTTACAATGCGAACGACGTCACAGCCATTAAGGACTAACTAAAAGTTACCAGATAAAAGACCATTTATTGTGACAGACAAATAGAGGAAGTGCTTTTAGACACCTATTTTCCCAACTACGTCTCGAAATAGTTAAAAAGAATTATGTTTAGGATATTTCGTATGAAGGGTGTGATATATTATAATTCTGTGAGAGGATTTTTTTAAATTTTTTATTGCATTTTTTAAAGTAAAATTTAAGAATGAAAATTTGAGGGAGTATCATTTTTAAGATACTTTTAAGATACAGGTAATATGATATTACTGGTAGGTTAGGATAAGTTGATTGATTAATTGATTGATTTTATACGGGCCTCGACTGCTATGATCATTAGCCTGGTTAGAATAAGTGTTTCTAAATTTTGTTTGTTTACAATTAATTTGACAGGTCATTTAGAAATAAAGATGTCGAGATATAGTAATCTAGGGAGCTAGAGATATGAGAATCTATGTCAAAGAATTTATATATGATGTAAGATCTGTGTCTAAGAATGTACAGATCTAGGGATATAAGTGTCTACAAGTGTCTGTAAGTGTCTAGTACACCAAGATGTAGGGATATGCATATGTAGGTGTCTATGAATATAGAAATCTAAAGATATAGTAATTTGGAGAGACAGATGTCTATTAATATAGAAATCTAAAAATATAGTAATTTGGAGACACAGATGTCTATGAATATAGAAATATAAAAATATAATAATTTGGAGACACAGATGTCTATGAATATAGAAATATAAAAATATAGTAATTGAAGACATACATGTCTATGAACATAGAAATCTAAAAACATATCAATCTAATGATATAAATCTCTATGAAACAAAAAATCTAAAAATATCTAAAAGTACATAAAAAAAATAATCTAAAAATATCTATAAATATGACATATACAAAAATCTCAAAACACAGTAATATAACAACCTGTTCGTCTATCTAACACGTGGAGGGTTCATTGTAATCTTGTTCGGGTATTGATCTTGTAACATTTTGGTGAAGCTCAGTTACACGTACCTATCTTACTGATAAGAACGTTAAATGATAAGAACCAGTCTGCGCGACACCCTAATTCGCCATATATTGACGTAATTCCTGACGTTACACTTTTGCTCAATACAGGAAACCATCTGATTAGTCGGTTTACACGAATTAACACCGAACGTTTCTCTTCTGGAAACGATAACTAAGTCTTTTTTTGTATTTCTTATCGTCAGGCGCGATATTACTGTGCAACACGTTCTTTGTTGTTAACAAATTGATACGCGGGTAATTTGGTGCATTTCTAAATTTAGAAATTATTAACTTTTCTGAACTCTACAATCACTTGCCAAATTTCTACATTTTAGGATCCCTTACCATTTACTTAAGTTTCTAAATCTTTTAGTTTAAAAATTTGAAATTTCTGTACTTTCAAATTTTTATATTACATGATTCAAAAGCGTATGCATATGAAAACTTAATTCTACATGTTCAAACTTTCAATTTATACAATTTATAAATTTCTAAATTCGAAATCTTGCACCTACAACATCGTATTACTGTCTACACCGTGCACATCCATATTTATTCACAAAAACGAACATTCAAATCTTCCCATCTTCACTGATCTTAACTGCCTGAACCATACGTGCAAATTATCCAAAATTCACATGTATTTACATGTATTTACCGATTCCGATCAAACATAATCCGCGTGTATCTTTACAACAATCAGCGCTATTATCGTGGCCGTTATCATTGTGCCCTGCAGGTAACACCCAGATAACGAACAAGCTCCACGAGAACAGTTAGTCCAACGTTTCTTCTCGCAGAATGCGGACTTTGTTCACGTCGCGGTGCGCGGTAAACGTTCTCGATGATAATTCGATCGTTTACGGATCGGTGAAATGCTTAAACCGTGTTATTTGCGGATTTACCGCCACTCTAAAGCTTCTTCGCGTTGTTCAGTGCCGGGCACCGTTCCCTTTCCTACGGAAAATCACGACCTAAAGGAAAAGGACTCCGCTGCTCGTTTCTTATTGGTTGGTAAAGTTTTTCGATAGTGAAACTTTCGAGTTTTGACATTTTCAAAGTTATTTGGACATTTGGGAGTTTGGGGATTTTAGGGAATTTAGGGAATTTGGGGAATTGAGGGAATTTAGGGAATTTAGGGAATTTAGGAAATTTAGGGAATTTAGGGAATTTAGGAAATTTAGGAAATTTAGAGAATTTAGGGATTTGGGGATTTGGGGATTTGGGGATTCAGGGGTTTATGGATTTGGGGATTTATGGATTTGGAAATTTATGGATTCGGGGATTTAAGGATTTGCAAATTTAGGGATTTGGGGATTTGTGGATTCGGGGATTTATCGATTCGCGGATTTATGGATTCGGAGATTTATCGATTCCGGGGATTTATGGATTTGGAAATTTTTCGATTCGGGGATTTATGGATTTGGGGATTTATGGATTCGGGGATTTATGGATTCGGGGATTTATGGATTCGGGGATTTATGGATTCAGAGATTTATGGATTCGGAAATTTAGGGATTCGGAGATTTATGGATTTGGGGATTTATGGATTTGAAAATTTATGGATTCGGGGATTTAAGGATTTGCAAATTTAGGGATTCGACAATTTAAGGATTTGCAAATTTAGGGATTCAGGGATTTAATGATTTGCAAATTTAGGGATTCGAGGATTTGTGGATTCGCGGATTCATGGACATCATTATGGTGCAGGAACTTGAAAATTTAGAAATTTATGTAGATAGGTATTTAGAAATTTGGAAATTTGGGAATTTAGAAATTTAGAGATTTAGAGGTTTGGTAGTTTGGGAATTTAGGAATGTTAAGAATCTATGAAATTTTATATGAATGTGAAGATTTAAAGATTTACGTAATTTCTATACGAATGTGAAGATATAAAATTTTGAAAAACTCAAAACTATTAATATTGGTCAATCTAAGAATTCAAAACTCCCGCCTCTAAATACAAAAAAAAAACAATGAATATCAAAAACCTGCGTTGCTCCCCACATTTTCCACAAAGACCTGTGGAATATTAAATATACAAGACTTGTATATTTGGTTAATCGTCGAGATTGTATAAAATAAAAAGATGTATCCCTCGATGCAACGCGTTCAAAGAAGCCTAATTTGCATAACCGTATGGAAGAAGCTCCCCGGAACGCGCGGTTAATGCTGTCGAAGCTAATTAATTCCATCCAATTAACACCATATCGCGTCAATTACAGATTCGTTGAGTCACGACGACGTTCTTGTGCAGGGAATCGTTTTACCGTTACTCTTAAACTCGCTTTTGCGACGACGTGTTTTCGTTGTCGTTCGGAAAGTCTCGCGGCAGCCGAGGATCGAGGAAATTTCATTTCGAGGTATTTTTTATGTGTACGACCTGATCGGGGATACAAGTGCGTGACACCGTGTATATATTGTGAATAAGGTAACCATCAGCTGTGCGGGTACACGTGTCGGACGTGCAAGCGGACGAGTTATTTTTGCAACGAATCGAGTTGCAAGATAAATCGATATCGCTGTTAAGTGGCGCGATAGAAAAAGTAATTGAACACGGCTTCGCGGTTGTTACGAGTTTCGAGTGCTTTGATGGTTTTCAATGGTGTTCTAGTGTGCATCTCTTCGTTTCTGCCGCCGGTGAATTGGTCGATAAGTGGAATGAGATATTGTGATGACAACTGAATAAAGATGAAATTTGATCGTTTCGTAAACAGATTTGCAAATTTGGAAATGTGCGATTTGAGATATTCGTGATTTGCAAATTTTAGTATTTTGGAATTTGGTGTTTGGAGATTTGGGGGTTTGAGAATTCAAGTTTTAGAGATTTGGGGATTTGGGAATTTGAAGCGTTTAGAAATAGGGGATTTGGGAATTTGGAGCGTTTAGAAATTGGGGATTTGGAAATTTGGAGCGATTAGAAATTGGGGATTTTTGAATTTTGAGGGTTTAGAAATTGGGGATTTGGGAATTTGGAGCGATTAGAAATTGGGGATTTGGGAATTTGGAGCGATTAGAAATTGGGGATTTGGAAATTTGGAGCGTTTAGAAATTGGGGATTTCGGAATTTGGAGCGTTTAGAAATTGGGGATTTCGGAATTTGGAGCGTTTAGAAATTGGGGATTTCGGAATTTGGAGCGTTTAGAAATTGGGGATTTCGGAATTTGGAGCGTTTAGAAATTGGGGATTTGGGAATTTGGAGCGTTTAGAAATTGGGGATTTGGGAATTTGAAGGGTTTAGAAATTGGGGATTTGGAATTTTGAGCGTTTAGAAATTGGGGATTCGAGAATTTGGAGCGTTTAGAAATTGGAGATTTGGAAATTTGGAGCGTTTAGAAATTGAAGAATTCAGGAATTGGAAATTTGGAGATTTCCAGAGTTTAATACATGGTTGGTTCAGTAATTCAAGATTTGGGGAGTTTGGAGTTTAGGATTTGAAGTTAGGAATTGAAGGGCTGTATTGGGAATTTGGAGATTTTCAGAGTTTAAGACATGAGTGATTTAGTAATTCAAGATTTGGGGACTTTGGAGTTTAGGATTTGAAGTTGGGAATTGAAGGGCTGAATTGGGAATTTTTATATTTCTGTGAGACGAACTCGAAACGTTCACTAATTAAAAATTTAGAGATTCCAAGGTTTAAGAATTGTATACTATATCCTATATACCACATGAACAGTACTAGCTCAAATGTATAGTTTTTCCTAGTTCTCACTTCATTGCCTAATATTACAAATTTAATATTGTTAAGTAGCTAACAGAAAACAAACTTAAAAAAAATTTTACATGATATAACCCAATTTACATACGTCAGTACATAGCAAAGTAAATTTAGAACAATTATGATCATAAGACGTCTTCACGATAACATCCTCCAAGATAATGAAGTTACCTAAGTGCAAATAAATTTCAGCAAAACAGACATTTGACTTCTCAGAATCGAATTTGAGTGTAAAAAGATTCACATACTCATGCGTTCATCGACGAAGAAGTAGCACAGACAACTGGAACGTAAGAAGTCTGGTCGGAACGTTAGCTCAACGAGGAGGAATGCAAATCTCCGATGAATCAACACGAAAATATCTTCCTCGGCAAAAATTTCAGCTCGATTTGCGCTAGTCGGTTCGCTTTTGTAGAAAGAATCGTTAGCGAAGGATTAAATCGATCGAGGAATCGGAGGCTCGTAAATAGGCGGCCCTCCGTTACGGGCTAGCGATATATCCATCGGGTGATCTTGAAGAGGCGAAAAATAAAGGCGAGTGGGTGGGACAACAATCATCGGAAGAATGTCGTGCAGGAAGAAGATAGACTCGAAACTGTGGCTGGACTATAGCCAAGCGGTAAGAAATCGATTGTATTCGTGCATCGTGATAACGGTTATCCGTATCCCTCGGACTAACTGAGGGCTGGTGAACCAGGTTCCTAAGGTAACCGAGTTAATAAATCGATGAGACGTTATCGTGCACAGAATTGAGTTCGCTGCTGCTGCTGCTGCTGCTGCCGTTGCTGCTTCCAACAAGAATATTCCCGTTGCCTTCTCCTTCTTTCCTTCGTTCTTGTCGTACTTTTTTTTTATTCTCTTCTGTGCCTCTCGCAATAGAGTCACGATCAAGGACGGTACAGTCGTTGGATGCTTTATGTTGCCCCTCGATGCCTTTGTTCCCTCAAACTGGAGTAAAACTCTCGTGTTACGCTGGGAAAATGTTGCCTCTCGTGTTTCTTTGCCTAGATCTCTTACATACGCGACTTTTTGCTGAATACGAGTTTTATGAAACATCTTTCCTTTGCAAACTGCTTATACATATATTAACAGACTTCTTATACGGACTCACAGCTAATTTATTTTTCTCAATCTCAGAAAATTAGGACATGTCTTTCTTCAAATTTGACTTACAGTTTGTAATTTCATAATTTACTGACAGCTAGTTTATTTTTCTCAATCACAGAAAATTAGGACATGTCTTTGTTCAGACCTTGTCTCAGAACATGTCTTTGTTCAGACCTTGTTTCAGAACATGTCTTTGTTCAGACTTTGTCTCAGAACATGTCTAGGACATGTATTTGTTCAGACTTTGTCTCAGAACATGTCTAGAACATGTCTTTGCTTAAATTTTGTCTCAGAACATGTCTAGGACATGCCTTTATTCAGACCTTGTCTCAGAACATGTCTAGGACATGTCTTTGTTCAAACTTTGTCTCAGAACATGTCTAGGACATGCCTTTATTCAGACCTTGTCTCAGAACATGTCTAGGACATGTCTTTCAACTATTGATTGAGTTGTATTAAATACTTGGTAGTGATGGGAACGAAGAATTAGAGGATACGCATTTGTACATACTTAGAACCAGTTTCTCAATTTGTAAAGAAATTTCTTGATACTCCGTTTTTCTTCATTTTATTTATATCATAATTTGACATACAGTTTATAATTTCGTAATTTACTTCATAATTTGTAATTACAAGACCAATTCATTTTCATTACCAATGCCTTGGTGGAGCTTCATGCCGAACTAATTATACACATAGGATCTTATCCCCCATGTTGTATTTCTCAATCCACACAAAATATTCCCATTAAAGGTGCTTTAATCACAGTGAAACCGTTTAATTTCAAGGGGACCTTTACGAAGCATATAATTGCTCGTGGCACTATTATTATTTTTCATTAATTTCATGAGGATTCAGTAAGATCCCATTAAACTCTACATTCGGATATAGAACAAATCTAAACCACATATAGCGCGCATATTATTACAGCAAAAAATTAATAATATAGCAGAGTGGTCCGGCAAAGGATCCCGCGAGCGTTTCACGCATAAATCCCTGAATCAGCGACCATAAACGAGTTCCATTCATACCCAGATCCGTGTTATTAGTTGTGTCCTATAATTACAGTCTGTTAAATCATAGGCTGAAAAAACGTCGGATTCCGTGCGTGGAAGTTTCACCGTAAGCCGTCGTTGGTTGTCGCCGCTTTTCCCGAACGGCAATTAAGACGTACGCGAATTAAAGGTGGTATCTCAAAGGTGGTTTCCACAAAAAGGGGGACTCGGATGCCTGCAAGAAGGCCCCGACGAAGTCGTTAAGGGGCAATTGCACAATCGCGGACCTGGCGCCGACCGGTAGAATCTCGTTTTCTAGGACAATCGACATTCGCAACGATCTCCTTTCAGACAAGATCAAGAACGACTGCTCGATAAGCACCGTCAGATTTATGCACGCGCGATAATGGCCTCCGGCCCTATATTGCACAGACCCACGCACTACTATAAACATTTATTTATATTAACTATGTGATAAATGTCGATTAATATCGATATTCATTTTTATCTCCTCTGTATTTACTGCGATGATCGTATAAACGATTTATTAACTAGATGTATTAAATAGATAACTGGTATAGGGATGGAAACAAGAGATACAAAAGTGTATAGAAATTTACGGATAAGAATCTGAGGAGTTGGGAACAGTTTTGATTTCTCGTATCTCTTTATAACACAAGTTCCAAAAGTTTTTAACGCCTCAGGCTCCTCGAGACTGAAATACATCACTGTCGATAACATTCCTAGCTGATATCTGATGTCGTTTCGAAAACGGTACTCTACGCGACGATTGATTGTTTTGATTTTCTATTTTTAATATTCTTGCTTTACAAAGGTGTTACACAGATCCGTTAGAAATGAAACACCTCATCTCAGCTATTACAGGTCGCAAGATTATACGAGAGACATTTCTTCTTAGCGATTACGATGATTGATACCTTCGCGAATGGAAGTATATACATACGTGCTACTTTACGGATAATTAATCTGTAATCTTTTCTTGAAAAAGAGTAGAACGAAAGATAAGCAGGTAATAATGAACAATTTTGTTATCCTGTATCTTGAGATTACATTGTCTCGTAGCAAGAAAGTGACGGCGGAATTAACATAATGTGATAAGTCTGTCTCAGGCAACAGATATTAATCTGTTTTTGTATTTTATCGGACTAAACATTATGCAGTGTACACACGTCGATGTATGATCATACACGTGGCGATCTAACGAGTACAGAAGGTGGAAAATCGGTGGCAACGGTCTAAGAATGTTAAGTACGCCGCAATCCGGAAGAAGGCTACTCCCGAGTCAGCTGTTTCTTCTGCTTATACTTCGCACACTAACGCGTGGGTGGAACTCGAGTGGATTTGTTTGGAAATTTACCTGAAAAAAAGATATGTCGTAGCTGCGTTTACATTATGTACGGTCTATTGGGGACCCTACCTGTTTTCATCTGATCGCAAACAAGCCACACATAGAAAAAGTACGCAAACATTCGTGCACGCGTGCACGCGGAACAAGTCTGTCTCCTTCTACCTGCTTTTCTTACTTTCTTCCTTCTCCCCGTCTGACTCTAGCTCAGGGCTGCACTTAGAAACTACGGTCCTTCCACTTCTCATCAATTATTCAACAAACACGCAACGAGCGTAAAGAATTTTCTTTGAATTATCATTAAACTCGAGGAAATAGCAAAAAATCAGCTACTATATTTTTTTTACTTGGATCAGTTTCAACAATTTACTCTCAGTGACTTTGAGATAATTGTTATAATTGCAGGTTGTTCTGTGATATAGTGATTATTCAATTACTACGAAATAAAAAATCTGAATCATATACTGGAGTTGTATACTTTTGGGAATTTCATAAATTTACAATTTGGAAATTTGGACCAATAATTTGATGATTAAGAAATTGGACTTCTGACACATTAGAGATTTGAAAGTTTGGAAATCTCTGAATTCAGAAATAGAAACTTTAAAGCTCGAAATCGAAATGTTTGTAGATTTTCAGATTAAGAAATTCAGTCGTTGACCTCACCAATATCTACGCAGTTCTATGCATCGTTGCATTTCAATTTTATAAGGCAAGAAAAGTGTTTTTGAAATCCGAGTATGCTTCAACCCTCTCCCTACCATTCTTTACTCCCTCTTGGGCCTAACTGTCCACTCGCCGACTGACCAGTTCGTAACCAAACTTCGTCTCGCCTACATTCGATCTTTGACACATGAATCGCTTATCGTTCCTTGCTATTACGAATGCAGGACACAATCAATAATCATTTAAAACATGAAGATGAACAGGAAATCATGTGGTGTCTTGAAAAAATAGTTAAAGTTGTTTAGAAATTCGAAGTACAATATGTCAGGTACGCGAAAACGTTCGGTCATTCGCGCTAGTCTCCGGAAAGTATCGGTGACCTTCGGTAGGTCTCGGGTATCCTCGGCAGCGCTCGTAACCGGCATCCTCGAGGAGGCGACGCACGACAGATGCCTCGAGGACCAGTGACAGAATGTTGTGTCGAAATCAGGTGAAATTTGGTTGATTCATGTGTGATTGTGCGTGGAAAATCGGATGTATATCATGCCGATTGTATATATGGATTTTCTCGCGAGTATCGGATAAATTTGCTACACCAGCACATCAAATTTAAGGTAATGATCTACAGAGTACAATAAGAACATACGAATGACTTTTTAACATAAAAACTACTGGACGTGGTAGGTGTTTCATTAAATACCGAAGATCATGTTCTATTGCGTTTAGATTTAACTAAGAAAACTGCAAACGAAGAAAAATCCTTATCGTAAAACACACTTGTGTTTATTGTACATATGAAAAAATGAAAATTGAATTACGCGCTCTTTTAGTACTGTCGTGGAGGTGTGTTATAAAAAAATATACAACAATTTTTTGTTAGATCGACAACAGGACGAAAGAGATGTACTCGTAAAGTGTGTCGTGAGCTTATTTGAGCACGATCGACGATATACACAGTCATCTGATGATGAATCAGTTGTCCTTTCAGAAGTTTTCACCGAAGATCTTGTTGCAATCTTTGTTAAGTTATACATTGCTTGTTTCAAACAAGGATTACATACTGCATTGTATTACGATCTTGATTAAAACAGTAGCTTATATGGTATCAAATTTATATTTATCTTGCAGTTCTTTTATTATCTTCGCGAGCACGTACACTCCGGTGCAATGTAGGCTACTTATGGATAAGGATAAATGTAGAGGGAGGAGTCTCTCGCCATTTGTCTTCCAGACAAATATTTGAACTTTTAATTTTTAAATTATCACATTTCTAAGTTTCCGAATTTCCACGTACCCAAATTCTCTTAACTCTTGGAACTTCTCGCATTTATCAAGTTCCAAAATTTCATAAATTTAAAATTTGAAAACTTGCAAGTTTTTAAATTCAAAATTTACTGACTAAATAGCTAGCGAGGGGGATCCCCCCACGTCGCCATTTTCCCTAGGGAACCCCAACATGCTTACCATTGTACAAACAACAAAGTACACCGACATGAACTACTTATTGCTAAACGGTACATGAAAACACGCGGTAATTATTACATCGATTGTAATAAGATAGCCTGAAGCAATCAATGAAGGCTGTTTAACGATGACACAATTCTGTACTCGTGTTCGCGAGGACTACTACGTGTACATGATCGGCTTGCGAAATAAGGAATCTTGGCTGTTACTGTTTGGTGACCGAGAAAAATCAATGATAAATCGAACGCTTATTCGTGACAATTAAAACTCGTACCGCATAGTCCCACGTTTGTGCCGACGGTATTTTTTTCTCTAGCGAAATCGTGACGTACCGTTTAGCGATCCCGATAGAGGAGCACACGAGGTCAAGAGAAATGCGCTTACGTACTGTTATTTCATATTTCGTGCAATAATTATGGATCCCTATTTACCGGTTACGCCGTAACATCGGGGAAAGTGTGTTTCTGAGTTATTGGAGATGAGAACGCAGCATTGACGTCAGCTGGGAACGAACGTGATCCTTTTAGCACGCTTTTGAGCTACGATCAGTGGCTAGGGCGAAAAAGTAAAAAGAAGATGGCGTTGAAATCGGTTGCCCTGATTTTTGCAGTTGGTAAGAATTTAAATGGCTGCAAAATTATTAGAACAGAATTATTTTTCTACTTGAATTATCTTAAAAACTATTAACCTTTTTGATATTATATCTTAACACTTTTTTATAGAGGGCGTTCCAACGAATCTGTCTACAGAAGATATGTATACTTCATAAATTTTAATGACTTTCAAGGACATTTCAAAGTTATTAAATTTCCCAAGAGGTTGATAAGCGCATCGGTGTACATGAAATTACTCAGAACCAACGTCCTGACCAATACCTTATAATCTATCGAGATCATTATTAATATTAATGAAAGTAACTCATTAATATTGAGTTACACTGTATAATTACTCAAAACTGTGGTATAATGATTTCTGATTACGGAGTTCAGCACTAATAGGGTTTGGCGTCCAAAAAGTAGGGTGCTGAATAATTCCTCCATTTCTTGGAATCGTACCCCACTGTAGAAGTATAAGCACGAAGTAGGTATCTGGTTGTGTAGCGACCACTCGAATCGTTTGACCTCCTATCGTGCACCTCGATGGACCGAAAAACCGTTGGTCAAGAACGGAGAAAGTCGCCAGCACACTTTTTCATTACCTCTATGTGCCTCTTTATAACCTGAACTGAATGGATACGGTAGTGGGTGTCGGATTTTCAAACACGTTTGCACGCGTGTCAAATTTTTGATGTACGAGACCACTTGGCACGTGTTGTTATGGAAAAACTGTTTACTCTTGAATTTTTTAAGTATGCAATTTTTAATTATTTCAAACACTGATGTTATTTTGATTCAAATTTTAAATCAGCTATCTGGTTTTAATAATAAATGTTTAGTTAATTATTATTTATTGTTATTAGGAATAAAGGAGTAAGAGTCTAAAAATAGAAGGATATAAGGATTTAGAAATGCAAGGATATAATGGTCTAAAAATACAGGAATTTAAGGATCAAGATATTTGAGAACATAACACATGCTTCACCTTTGTAGTAATGATTATTGATCATTATCGATATTTAATTTGCTGTTCATTAATTATAAGATATTCTAAGATTGAAGTTGGAATTAATTTTCCTAGATTTTTAAAGAAGTCATAGTGACGCATTATGATTAATTACATGGCACGATGATCGGCCATTTGTAATTGTTGGCATTCGAGGCACGAGCAAGTCATCGGCCTACGCTTTCTAACTATTGCTGGACGCATTCTCTCAGTCATCGGGGATTCCTGTGACGTCATGGAATACAAATTTGTCGACTTGAGAAAAAGTTCGAAGTGGTCGAGGTCACGTTCATATATCGGAACCGGAACTCGTCTGCTCACTTAAATTGCTAAGTCGTAATTTTGAACATTCCGAGAACTGATACTGTGCCAAGGCAATGAATTATGCGACTGCACGAACAAGGAATAGCAATATCCAGTTTTTTCTCCATTTTCGAGAAACATAGTCGGTGCTAAAATATGAAGATTCTTTTTAAGCTCAAACCTTTTTCATTTTTATAAATTAACAATCTTTTAATTTATAAAAATTTATGTTATTATTTATGGATCTGCAATTTTTATAAATTTGATGCATCTGAATATTTCTGAATTTCCAAATGACCAAATTAAAAAAGAAGTCCACTCGCTACACGCAGCGTGCACATGATCAGCCAATCACTATTCTTGCCGTCTAATAGAGGCAACCTTTTATCTCGTGTACAAACGCGTTTCCACAAAAACGACGTGAAAAGAGCACGGTTTCAATCGTGGCACAGACAACGCGGCCAGACAATGCGTAGCCAGAAGATTACCTCGCATCGCGAATACCAGGCTGAAAAACAAGCTTGTTCGTAGAAAAAGGTTGATTTAGTGTGGCGCATTTCATGGATTAAAGGGCGAATTGATTACGGTGTGAGTTAACGTGGAATCGAGCGAGGGAAAATACGACGGCCGTTCGAACAAGCCTAGGACACGGTTCTTGACGTTGAAAATCGAACATCTCGAACACACGGGATTACTTTCGCTGCCAGCAAAGAGACCATCGACCAAGTGGAAACGGTCGACTCCCCGGACGCGTTTCTCGCAGCAGCCACTCGTATAATTACAACGTGTACAGCCGTGAAAATTTGCGGCTTCCTGCGATCCGTTGCCACTGTAAATTTACTGCCACCAACACGTTATTTTGCTACCGACAACACCCTCCTTCAAAACGATGATGCCACTTTGCTGCAACAAATACGCTGCTATCTTCTATATCCTTTCTCACGTCATATTTTTACGATTAGCAAAATTTACGTTTTTCTACTCTTAGACTTTTATAATAATTATGTGCAAATAAAATATGTAGATACACAGATGTGCCTGTAGGTATACAGATGCATAGACAAATTTTTTTTAATATAGCAATCTTTAAAAAAGTTTGTAACATGGAAACTATTTATTATTTTGCTGCATACAGAATGAAGAGGACTTGTAGTTAATTACATGAGATTCATGTAGCAGAATTTTTCAATATATCAATTACAGTACTAGGTTCACAATAAGTATTACAAATCTTCGTACAACTTTAATTTATATAAAAATGAATTTGTTATTGTTACTCACTAACCAACATCAGTAAATTTCATCTCATAAAAATTTAATTTTTAGGAAAAGAGGAAAATTGAAGGAAGTAATATTAAGATACTTGCATGAAAAGAAGGTTCTTTTAAGATAGCTGGAATTTTTTTACTGCAAATACCAATGGAGGAATGAAAGGAATTTGTAGGATGACCTAATATTGCCATAAACGATTCGCAGTGGGTTGTGTATTGGAAGCATTAGAACGAAGTTCGTGAAATGTCAGGAAGTGGTGTTCGCGCTGTAAATATCTTCGCCACAGTTCCGTTACCTTGGGATGTACCTTAATTGAAAAGACGCGTTCTTGTTCGCGAGGCGATTAGCATCTCGCGATTTAATTGCGCCCTTCCTTGCCCTTGTGCTCGATTTCAACTAATGACGAGCATTCGACGTGCTTTCGTAAATATTTTCTCACCAGTCGATCACCGTGTTACTTCGCACTCAATCTTCGGTCTTTACATCGTGATAATTGAACAATTTCAACATTGTTCTCATTTTATTTATATTCATAAAGGATGACCTAAAGATATTTATCCATAAAGCATGACCTAAAGGATGATGAAGTGGATTATTATAAAAATAAACATTAATAAATTGTTAAGTTGTCATTCTTTATTTATAACTAACATACTCTTGATTTGTCAATAGGTTTACTACAAAAATTTGCTAGAAATTATCACATAAAAAAATATTTAAAGCACAAATAGTTAATGTGCTTATTAAATATATTAGTTCAATTGTACAGTCTGTAAAATTTATCAACAGCAATAAGTATCACAAACATCATATATTTAATGACAAACCAAACTATACAAAATAAGTAATATATATTACAAAATAACAATCATATAAAATAAAACTAAACACTTTATTCAAAGAATTATATTATATATATAAATGTATATAATATAAAGATAAAGTAAAAGCTTGCAAAGAAGAGATCAAACCCACCGCTGATGGCTTCACAAATTTTTAATGTTATTGCATGAAAGATACAGAGTAAGATATGCAGTTTTTAAGCCGAGTCTCGAACAATGGATCCCCTTTTTATTTTGACTGGGTTCCCCTTTTTATACCTGGCCTAGCAGCTTCTGCAGGTCAGGTCCTTCCGGTCCTAGTGGTGTCTACACCTGGACGAATTCCAGGGCTCCAGAGTCAACCTTTGAGATTTCTCTTCTGAAGGAACAAAGCAGGAGAGAGCCTTTGGCTTTCGTGTTCCCATTGTTCATATCCGACTTGCAGCATGCTTCTGTCGTCTTTATATTCCATTTCAAATGACTCAGACTCACAGAGAATTTCATAATTCACTGTTAATACTTTGTCAATAGACTTGCTTTAATAGAGTGATGTCTGCTGGACTGAGACTTACGGTTTGAGGATTTTACATTCCGCTTTGTCGCAATTTTAGGACTTTAGGTTTTGGTTCATTGGAATTTAGGAACGTAGAAACCTTAGGTCGACTCCTTAGAATTTGAAGACTTTAGGAATTTGAAAGTTCAGGACTTGTAACTTCATTTCTTAATTTTACAATTTCACAATTTTTGTACTTTGTAAGTTTGAAATTTTAGAAGGTGAAATTTTATAACTTTGACATTATAAATTGAGGCTCTAAAATTTTTTGGAGTTTCAAGAATTTGTAACTTTACAATTTTGCAACTTTGAAATTAATAATAGTTCTAGCAAAATTCCAATTACGATCTAAGTTGCCTAATTACAAAGAAACACCGCCCTAATCTTTGTAACCGATTGCATTCCAGATGGAAACCGAGGTACGAACGCTGAAGCAAGAGCTCGTTCGTACCCAGGAGGCCTTGAAGACGGCGACAAAGAGATGCCGTGATCTGGTGAAAGAGCTGGACAATCGTACCGCGAGCCACGAGTCCGAGAGAACCCTTCGAGATCAGCAACTCTCTCGAATACTTCGTGCTCTGCTAGTCCTGGAGGCGCGGTTGAAGCAGGAGCAGAAATCGATCAGGCAGCTGCTCTGCGAGAAAGATAACGTGATCAGGAATCAGCAGCTCGAGATCGCCAGGCTCAGACGTTACACGAAGAACTACATCAAGTGCAAACGCGAACAAACGCTGGGTAAAACTTTGGTGAAGGTTGAACCGACCGACATCGAGGAGGGTGATCTTCAAGTTTCCAATGTCGATGTGAGTTTCGATCGATAAATGTGAGGACAAAAAGTTTGCAGAAACTGTTCATAAAAATACTTTGTTTTTCTGCATCAGTATTATCCAGAGTAGTTGGCAGTCATACAATTTTGCTTTTACTGCAGTTCGTTTGATGAGCTCTCCCCACTATTTCCCATTTGACATACTACTTTTTTGTGACATTAATCGATTTCCACTTTAGGAAATAAGATAGTCAAACATTCTGTTGAGTACGTCAAAAACTTAATCAAATAATGTACAAAGAGTTAACGTGTTCAATGTGTTAAGCTACATCAAGAGAAACTGCATTTGTAAACTTTTTGTCCGTATCGTCATGAAAGTATATTAAACGACAAATCCTTGTTGCAGCAAATACGCCTGCCATCGTTTCAAGCGAACCCCCGACAGGACTGCAGTATTAGCAAAGACATTCAGACCCTGAAGTGTGAGATAATCACGAAACTAAACGCCTCGGAAGTGGTACCTGTTGCGCTCGGGGAGCTGGACAGAGGAGTGAAGAAGACCCACAGCTTCGCCGGCAGCGATATCTCAAAAACGAGCTTGACAAGCAGCGAGAACACAGATGTGTCTATTATCACGACCACCACGGAGGGTAGCCCTTCGTTGCTAAGCACAGAAGGTTTTTGCGAAGGCGAGAGCACGGACGTGTCCCCTGGCTCGACGTTGAACAAGTCCAACAGATGCACAGAGACTATATTTACCGATAGCGAGAACGAAACTACGATGATCTACGACGACTATGACGAGGATGAAGAAGCGGATGAACAGACGATGATCACGGAGAACGGTTCGAAGTTGACTCGTAAGAAGGCTGGAATCGGTAGGTCAAAGGTACAGAAAGCTTGCAAAGACGCGGAGGTAATCGAGGCCACGAGCATCGCGAGGACAGAGAGCAAAGATGATGGAATGGACTGTAATTTCGCGTCGGAGGATGAGGAGAAGGAGCCTATCTACGTTAACGCTTGCAACGAGACGAATTCGAGGAACTCGGAACGCACTGAGTGCATCATCAACGACGCATCCAAGACTAACGACGATTATAGTAATAATAATAATCACGGTAGCGGCAATAACAACAATAATAACAACGAAGTGTAAGTGTCGGCTACAGTGTTAATGCCTTATAAAATGCCCTCTTCCAAACTCATAGAATCTCAGAACTGAGTCTGAAACTTTTGATATTGTGATAGAAATTTGTCACCCATGTATATTCTCGTATAAACATACCTAATCACCTAACCACGTACCCAATTAAAAATATTCATACCAGGCATTTAAAGTTATAAATAATACATATAACAAAGTATTGTGAAAATGATAGATAAGATTATAAATTTTCAGTATTTCGTTTAAAATTTATTTTCAAAGAATGTCTCCATCGTTATCAGTTATCAAAGATAAAATCCATTATAGATAAACAAAAATTTCCACGAATAATTCCAACAGCTTAGTAGAATTTTACAGATATGTTTTCTTGTTTACAGGCTGTTAAAAATGGAAATGGAGGAGCAAACCGTAGAAGAGACCAGCGGGAACTGGTACAGTGACCCAGACGAAGATAAAATGAACGATGATGTCTTCAGGCACAGCACATATCGACCAAACAGTAATCACAACTCTGTCTTGGAATGCGTTAATCAGATCCTTCTCAGAGACATGGAGGAAGAAGAAAGCATCCTTTCCGTACCTAGGAGATTCAAGCACCGTGGAAGAATCGTTCGATTCCAGCCAGCGAAATTGTCGGACATCGAATCAGTGGGTTCTGAAATGGAGAGGAAGAATTCCGAGGAAGGCATCGCGGAAAAGGAATCGCCAGGGAATGATTTCAACGATGTTCCTGCTAGTAGTTTCGAAGCTACTGCAACGGAGGACGAGTTTGGAATGAGTCTTGCTCAAACTGTATCAACACCAAGCGTAACAACTAACATAGTGAATCACGAGTCGAGTCTCGAAGAGGAGTCAGAGGAATCGAAAGCTATTCCGATTGTGATCATAGAGCCAAAGGTCGAGGTTGAGGAGACGAGGCACAGTAGTTTCGCCTGTTCACCGACGATGCAGAAGACGAAATCGTCGTTGAACGCCTCGGTGAATCCGCCTTTGAAACTGGAGCGAATCGAGGAGAAGACATGTTTGCAAATGTCGACAAAAGGGCTGACAATAGCAAAGAACCTCGATTACGAAGACATCGAGTCGCTTCCAGAGATAATATCACCTCCTCCCAAAACACCGCCAGCGTTACCGCCCAAGCCGCAGTTTAAGAACAACACATTGATCCTGAAAAAAATTCCTAGTCCCTCGTTTCTGATCGACGAAACAAGGAAGAAGCAGCAGCTGCTGGAGTCCAGCTCGTCAGAGCACAGTAACAAGATTTTTGGCTTCATCTCCTCTCCCCTGAAGGCGGCAGGGATCAACGTATCCTCGGCGAGGAGCTTGAACTTTGATGACACTGTTAATAAATCACCCGGAAACAACGAGGAAGGGAACTTTTGGAAAAACAGATTTAACAATGTCCGTTCCTCTTTCCAGTCGCGTCAGAATCATGAAACTAGCGGCGAACAAACGCGGAAGGTGCCGAGAGTCACAAACATAGTTCGCCACTTCGAGGAATTTAAAATTGGAGGTGATTCCGACGACCAGGCGAAAGAACGCGGCAAAGTGAAAGAGAAACACTCTCATTCAGAGTTCGATCAAGAGTTTGATATCAGACAGAATTTCGAAGAGTTCAATCTGGACGAGTGTGATCTCTCCGATGATCCTGATCGACCCGAAGGCGATGGCTCGGAGAGGCTTGGCAATCTTGGGGCTACAGTTGGCCAGAACGAGAAATCTGCCGCAACCAAAGACAATAATAATGTTCCTTTTACCGCGACCAACCCGAGTAGCGGCTACGATCACTTCCTAGAAGCGACAGGGCTTAGCAATAAATCTATACTGACGCCGTCGAGATTGCTGAGTAACCATAAAAGTATGCTAAAGCCGAAAGATGTAAAGTATAAGAACAAAATTAAAGCAACCGCGGTCTTGGAGAAGCATGGTGTATCTACGACCACGAATAATACCACACATGTGAGACATTGGACTGGACCGTTCGTTTGACGACTGGCTCAAGTTTTTCCAAAAAGTTTCTTTCACCAAGAAGTTGTCGACAAAGAAACGTAATTTAAAAAAATGTTGTGCACGTTATTGAGGATGTTAATGGCTGTAGGAATGTTCAACCGTGTTTTCAATACTTTGAGCTTTTTAAACACGTTTTTGAAGGTAAAATGTATTTCTGTAAATTATTATTGATGTTTTTTTTTCTAATACAATAGATAGAAAAAATGTAGAGATAATTTATTTATAGCGGCTTCGAATGAAAAAGTATTTTGATGTGTTGTATATTTTAATAAAATATTTCTTACTTATTTATAGCATTTCCGATAGGAGTGATGAAGTAATTCACGGTAACTAACTATGTACGGGTAATCTGATATGTTTGATATTTGAGTTTCGGGTTGAGTTTGAAAGTATTCAAATCCTACTTACAAAGTTACGAATTTCCCAAATTTTTCTAAACCCAGCTCGAAACCATAATCTCGAATGCTCGTACATCTCTAGTAACAATGTATGTATATTAACTTAACTATTTTGCTGTGAGAAATACTGCGGAAATTATTGTCTTTATCGCAGAAATGTTTCTATTCTGTTTTTACAGATTTATAAATTTGTAATAATAACGACATGTTTCGATTTAAATTATTCTGTGATTCTATACTAATCCGTAATTACTACTAACAGTTCCACTGTATAAGTCTCATTAAAATGTATCAGTTACCAAATTTCAACCAATACTATTCTTTATTGAAATTTGTCATGTCCATTTTTGTAGTCAATTTTTAATTAAAATTTTGTCAAATTTAGTAAATATCATGTAATTACGGGTTGCATTAAAGAGATAATAAAATCAGAATATAATCCATTAAAGCATTTAAAGGTAATGTAATCATGTTAAACGTCAGCTGAAAAACACCAATATGAGGATAAAAATAAAAATATACATGTTTCTTCTATTGTTGGAAATAAAATTAAAAATGACTTTATTGAAAGATTTTTGCGTTTGATTAAGAAATAGGAGTACACCAGTACAATGTTAAATATCTTGTGACGATTTATAAACAACTAGAACATATGATACAATTATATATAATATATATAACTTCTACTATCTATAAAAATACAACGCAACTCTATAAAAATACAATGCTAACTGTCACTGGTATCAAAATCTAAATAGGACACAGAAGAAAAAGTACTTCAGAAAATGGACATTATTTAAATTCGAACATCTCACCAGTAAATGTTAAAAGGATTCCATTTTCGCAGGTTAGTATGAATCACTCGTTCAGGCACTCTATTACACTTGGCTAGCGCTATATTATCAATACAAATGTATAGATATAGCTGAAAAATTGCATGAAGAATCACACAATTTGGCACAGTGGTTTCTTCAAGTTTCCCTTTCCGCACGAAAGTCATAAAAGAACTGGAAGATTAATTAAAAATAAAAACATCAGTACATTATATTAGTATATAATAAACGTCGATTAAATATCTTACCTCCTTATCCAAGTCTTTTTGAGTCCAAACTTTAATTACAGGAAGTTTAGTCTATAAATATTATATTTATTAAATATATGTTAGAGATAGTATAACTTCATTCTTCATAATTCTTAAAATTACTTACATTTGAAGAATCAGATTGAACATTAAGACGAGGGTTAAGAACAAATGGAACTCCATCTAAATCTGAAGATCCTGGCAGTGTACCATAAATTGATGAAGCACCTGCAACTACCGTTGTCGGTGGTTGTGGAGCAGGTCTCGTAGGTTTAATTTTTGCATCGGGACTTAAAATTTCATAATCTCTATCGCTAGATTCTTCTAAATCTTTTCCCCCACTCCCAGAAATTTGTGGATAAATTCCATTTGTTGGTTTTGGTGAAAACTTTGGTTTTGGTGGCCTTTCAGGGGGTACCCTATGAGGTGTTCCGTTTGATGGATTTGGGGAAGCACTTTGAAGTAAACTATAAATAACATTATTTGTAACATTTGATAAATTTTCGAACACACAATTAATTTGTTCTTGAATAAAAGTAACTCTTACTCTATATTAACATACGATTGTGAATTTGTATTCCCATTTACAATATCTACAGTTTTGTAGCAAACCCAAACTCCATTTATGACACTGAAAAATTAGAAAAAATGTTTTAACATGAATAAAAATCCTATTTGATGAACATAAAATTTTGTACACATACCCAGCAGCAATAAATCCATTTGGAGCCATGTTGGAGGTATAGACCTTATTCATAATTCTACTACATATAATAATATCTGTAACTGCTTTCGAGCATAGATCCTTATTTCTAATTTTATAGCACAACTGCTTCTTCCTCCATGCCTTCTGCACTAAAATCCATTGCCGCAATGTACTAAATGAAAATATTTCTCTAATAAACAATATTCTGATCAGTCTTACGTATGCTCACTTGAATCAACAGTATTAGAAATCATGCTGTATCCTTCTGGAGGAGAATCTCTTTCATTAATAACTACTATGTCTTCAACCACACACTGAGGTAACCCTTCAGTCTTGGAAAAACAAATATATCTGCCCTTCTTTTTTATGAAAAGTCCACTTTCTCTCCATAAGTCGGCATCAGTGTCCTGATCATATGTTCTTGAAACCTAATTATAAAATAGGAATAATTACTCCAATACATGCAACATTGTTTATTTCATTAATATTAAGCATTACCAAATGCTCATTTTGTTTACCATTATCACTTACCACTGTAAAATTTGGTGGACATTTATCTATATCTTCAACAACTCTTATAGATGTAATGGGTCTATCATCAGGTAATACAGCTGACAACTGATGAACCAACATTTTGTTACAGGCAGTCTTCTTAGACATTGTTACAACCCTATTAAGAATATAAACACATGATTATTTCTATTTCCAGACTGGGGTCAAAGTTTGAAATGTATGCTGTAACTTTTTTTATAAATCCTCAGCTTTGATAATTTTCAAATTCACAATTAATATAAAAATTTAATTTTGATATATACAACATTTATGTCCACTCTTTATTTGTGTCCCAAGCCATTAATATATTCAACAATCAAGAGCACAATATGTTAATAATTACAGTTACAAAATCAAGGTAGTGTTTCTTTGACACAAACACGCCTCTACCCGAGTTCATTATACTTTGAGTCATTAAAAGTGTAAGGAATGTAACTACCGACTTCCCCTACTTTATCTTAATGACCTATTTTCGATCGATAAAAGATTTTTGCGGGGCAAATAGATTGTTTGCGATAAATAATTTTTGAGTCACGAAACGATAACGATAAAACAACGAATATGTCAGTTACTTAATTTCTGTAATATTCAGAACAATACCATATTCTATGTTTATTAATAAAGGAGCCACTAATATGTCAAAATAATAAACTCCCCAAAATAAAATTGCCACTTTATTTTAGTACTTTATTTTTAATCAAATGCTTTGGTATTAAAATTGAAAAAAATTAAAGAATTCCAATTAAGAAGTTTAGTTCGTGACCAGCTCAAATGACAAGTAGCTGCATATTCTCAAATAACTCACCTTCGCGAATATTGCACAACACAAACTTACAAACTCTGCATATTTCTTGATGCGCTTATAGTCGTACTTTTAATTATTCAGAACAAAGTTACCCGGTGATTTTCGATCGAGCGACAATCGACTCGTATTTTCTTCGACGAACTATCTCGTTCTTCGGTAGCTTCATTCGTAATAAAATGAAGGTACTCCGATGCATACGAACAAACAAGGAGGAGAGAAAGAATCATAGGAACAAACAGAGAAAGAAAATGGAAAGACTAACAAAGAAAGAAGTATAGTTATTGAGAGGAAGAAAATGGTATATGTATATGAATTATCAATTGTTCGCCGCTAATAAGCAATGTAACATTTGTATATCTCTAATCGGCACTGAGGAGCAGTTGATAAGATAAATTTTCACTCTCACAGACACAATTGCTTATGAAAATTGATTTTCTTCTTATGTATGCCTTCTCCGTTGAACGTTTTAACTAAATTGATATCAATGACATCACTTGTGCCACCACCACTACCGTAACGACTACCATCTTAACTGACTAGGGTAGTTGTGTTCAATAAACTAACCTCTATTTCCGTTCCTTTCACGCCGCGTACTATACGGCGTTATTCTTCGTCCTTGCTGTGCGCGATTCGCCTTTCCCGGATATTCGCTTGATCGTACACGTTTTAGTCAAATTCAAAGCGAGTTAATTGATTTCCCAAGCGATAAGAAAATGAATGAGAATCATACGCCACCCCTTTGTCAACATTCTTACCGCGAAATATGTTTAACAAATTTTTAATACGATTCGGAGTTACAAGGGCACAGCACTTGTCACAGCCGTGGCCGTAACCGTAACACTGATACTGAGGCTATACGTGGACAGTATAGCGTCTTGTTTATTACATTGATATTTATCTATACTCTGTTACACTCGGATAACTTCAGTAGGGTCGCTACCATTCGGTGACGAATCGCCCTCAAACGCTTTCCGCTTAGTGATGCATATATAGGGTGGTCGAATTAAACAAACAACAAGAAGGAACATGGACCACCTATCAGTACACTTGAAAATATAGAAATTCGGAGTTCTGCAAATTTGGGAGTTGGGAAATTTGGAAAAAAAGAAACTTGTAAATTTAGATATTTAGTATTCAAGAATTAAAATATTTGAATCACTGGGTACACACGCCCTTTGTCACCGTCCAAGTGATAAAGGCGCATGCACGTTACACTTAGTTATACTGGACTAACCGGAGATGTCATGCGCAGAACAACAAATATTCGTCGTGTGATGAATTTGTTCTTTTATTGAACAAATTATATGAAAATAACTATTTATAATTATTTAAAATAGTCTATGAATAAAATGAAGTAACTTATGGATACAACTACTTTGATATTTTAAATGTATTATGTTTAATTTTTTGAATTATAAAAGGTTGCAGATGGCGCTGTAGTACTGTAACAGTCCAAAATAAACATAGAATGAGTTCGAATCATTTTACGTATGATAATTTTGTTGGTTCAAACTGGCTTTATGCCAACATCAACTGTAAAGTCATTTTTCGAACTTTATTGTGCACAAAGAACAATTTGTGATTATTAACAGAATATAAATCTCTTTATTTTAGGAGGAAAAAAAATAATTTTTTGTTTTGGCAGTTTGATGTTCTATTGCTAGGTGGCACAAGTGATACATTTCCCGTCAAAGCGCAAAAATATGAAACTTAAAATATATGTAATAACTAGGTCTGTTTGATTGAGGCCACGGTGACAAGCGGTATATACGAGGTCATTTTGAATAATTTATTACACGTTTTGTGGATATATTTTGTGCACTTTTATGATTGAGGAATTCTCAGCAATGTATTATTTACATGGGTGGATCATAAAAGTTCATAAATAATGTTCGGGTAACGAGTAATTAATTATTTTGTGTCAGCATTCCGATACGTACATAAGCCGCCTATGTCAATTCTACAGCGCATACAAAGTGCAATATTTCGGCACTTTGGCGACGTAGTATGGTTCCTGAGGCATTTAGAAACAAATTTCTATTAGGGTTTGATGCGTTTTGATGCCTAATAAAGCCAGAAACTCAATTTTTGTCGAATTCGGTCCAAAACGGTACAAGTGACGCCATCTAGCGGCGAGCAGTGGAACTACGAAAAATTAAAATCTCGATTTTCTCCAAATATAGCGACTTTTCCGAAATTCTGAGATATACAAATTGTTCCTTGTCGCCTACGGAATCAAACGAATGTAATTACAACCTCCTAGGACCGTTATTAAAGAAAATAGAAAAATAGCCCATTTCATGGACTAAAAAATTGGCGTCCATCTAGCGGTGAAAGTTGGAACTACAGAAATGTAAAAATGCGATTTTCTCGAAAATTAGCGAACTTTGAGTACTTCTGAGGCTCAGAAAGTGTTATGTGATCGCATTAGAAGCAAAATAATGCAATAAAAGTTTCCTAAAGGCTTTAATAAAGAAAATGAAAAAAATGTAATTTTATGGAGAAAATTTGTGGCGCCATCTAGCGGCGGAAATGCGAACTAAACCGAAAAAACGTATGCCCGTACACGCGTTAAAGAAAAATATAAAAAGTAATATTTCGCAACATTGAGGACGTAGTATGCTTCTTTAGACTTTTTAAAGCAATTTTTGTTCAATAGGTTATTCATTTTTTTGCCTATTAACGCCTATTCGGGTTACGCAAATTTTTTAATCCATGAAATAGGCTTTTTTTCTATTTTCTTTAATAATGGTCCTGGCAGGCTATAATTACATTCGTTCGATTCCGTAGGCAACGAGGAACAATTTGTATATCTCAGAATTTCGGAAAAGTCGCTCAATTTTGAGAAAATAGAGATTTTAGTTTTTCGTAGTTCCACCGCTCGCCGCCAGATGGCGTCACCTTTACCGTTTTGGACCGAATTCGACAAAAATTGATTTTCTGGCTTTATTAGGCATCAAAACGCATCAAACCCTAATAGAAATTTATTTCTAAATGCCTCAGGAACCATACTATGTCGCCAAAGTGCCGAAATATTCATTTTTTTATTTTCCTTATATGTATGCGTGGTCGGACGCAAACTAACTTCTTAAATTAATAACATTATAATAACCTATTGTTCATATTTCGATATGAAGTGAACCTTTGAAAGTAAACATTCTTTTTATAAATTTTATTACTTATCGTTTCTGTGGATTAGGCATAATATGTGGCCCAGCATAATTTGACCAATAGCTTTTCTCTCTTTGGCCACCATTTTCCCTAGAAAAGCCAAATTTGCACTCGAGTGCACATTTGCAACTTTCTAAACACTAATAATATCTATTCATAGTACTATTTTCTCGCAGCTTCAAAAATGTTTGCAGAAGAATGTACAATTTAAATTTTACAGTACCACAATGTCTTTAATATCATTATTATTACATTTTAGTGGAGTCATCCAATTAGCAAATTTTATACAATTTTATCATATCGTACGATATCATATGTATGATCCCTGTGTTAACTTTAGTTAACATTTTAACCCTGCAAGAGTAAGATCAGCTATATCTTAATTTACGACTTAAAATAAATAATTTATTTTGGGCATTTAGAAATACTGCAGAAATATATTAAAATGACTTCAGCAAAGGTAAATTACAAAAGTAAATAAAAGAAATGTTACTTATAATTATAAAATCGTATATTTATTATAATTTCAGATCGAATTTGCGGTTAACATGACTTGTCAAAACTGCGTTGAGACCGTACGCAAATCGTTAACCGGTGTAAATGGAATTGATAATATTGATATATCATTGGAAAAAGGAAATGTTGTTGTTGAAACAAGTTTACCATATTCTGTAATTCAAGAGAAAATCGAAAAGTCTGGAAAGAAAGCAGTTTTAAAAGGATATGGAGGTAAAGATATGAAATATAGTCAATATTGCTGATGTTAACTATAATATATAACTACTTAATTAATATGTTATAGATAATTCTAGCGCAGTTGCAATGTTAGGAGGAAACTCAGGTTATAGTATAGGAAACAAAATAATGGGAGTAATTAGATTTGCACAAACTCCTGATGGATGCATAATTGATGGAACAATTGATGGGTTAGCACCTGGTGAACATGGCATACATGTACATGAATGTGGTGATATCTCCAGAGGTTGTGATAAGTAGGTATATGTATACTTGGATGCATTGTAAGATTCCTTTTAATATAGGCAAGACCATTCTTATTCCATATTCTATTTTTAGTGTTGGAGAACATTTTAATCCAAATAATGCAGCACATGGAGGTCCTGAGGATAACGTACTTAATAGAGTAAATATAAAACTTTACATTAGTTATGAAAAAGTATGAAAGTCATCATTTCATTGAATGTTGTCATTAATTACAGCATGTTGGCGATCTTGGAAATATAGTAGTAAATGATACAGGTAGAGCTACTTTTAGAAAAGTAGATAAGCTGATAAAAGTACCTGATATTATTGGAAGATCATTAGTTGTAACAGAAAAAGCAGATGATTTAGGTAAAGGTGGTAGTCCAACATCTAAAATAGATGGAAATAGTGGAAATAGGTAAAATTCATATTATGCATTTAGATATAATACCATATACTAAGGATTCGCCATATTTATAATTATGATTATTTATTAGGTTAGCGTGCGGCATTATTGCTCGTTCGTCTGGTTTGTTCCAAAATACAAAAAAGATCTGCGCATGTGACGGACTTACGCTGTGGGACGAAAGAGATAAAGCACTTTTAAATAAACAGGAACTTTCCACTAAATCCGAAATAAGTAATACCTGTACAGTATGCTAATTCTTTTAATATTTGTATAAAAGAATAACAGACCCCAGAATGTAGCTACACTTATTAAAATTCAGCCTTTGTTTTGCATCATGTTTTCTTTAAATGTAAATTGAAATTATATACCGTTCAGTCAACTTATAATTTCTATTTTATTTATGCACATTTTACTTAATTATATAATTACCCTCAGTAATCAAAAATATCATTTTTTCCTTTTTCAGCGAAGTTATAAGCACCACTCGAAGATGGCAGAAATAGTTTCATGAGATGAAACATGCAAGTCATTCCAATAACTTATTGTACATATAATACAAAGTGTCTGTATAATATAATAGGAACGAATTTATATTTTTATATTTATAGTTGTATTTTATTTACATATATAAGTTGTATAGTTCTTGTAATAGCTGTATACACTTGTAACACGCACAATGGAATTATTTTGTTTGTTTCTTTATTTAAAATAATAAATGTGCATTAATATCTTTGATTTTTACTTTTGCCACCCAGAGCGTTGCGATGCAATATCAGTCTCAATTGATACAGTAGAAAACCTACAGATTAGGATGAGTATTTGAAGGTAATTTAGGTAAAAAAAAAGATTTTTTATCTTTTAACTTTATTTTATAAAATCTCACCATAGGTGGCTAACATATGAGCCAGCTAATTAATAAAAGATTTAATAATGCTATTAAAAATTTTGTTTAAAAATTGTAAAATCCAGTTGCAACGAATTGATTGAATGTCAAATTTGTACATATTGCTTAAAAACTTTTAAAGATTTATAATGTGTTAATATTATTAATTAAATCCAGACCCATCTGGGTGTAACACTTTCGAATTCGAAAGTGTCTGGATGTCCTATATGTGATATATTAGGAAAAGTTGCAGACCATTTAAAAGGGGTTCGTGATTGTGATGTAATTGGTCCAGAAGTAGCTTCAAAGTTTTCGAAGCCATCAATATTGGTTACTAAAATTTTGGTATCTATAACACCATATGGTAAAGGGACATCCTCTAGATCTCCTCGGTAAGTTAATGCCTGCAACTGATCTGTATTGAAATTAGTTTCCCTGGCAGTGCAATCTTCTTGGCTGCACCCACGCATCATGTTTTGAAATTGTTCTAACGTAGTAATATTTCCTTGTATACGTGCTAAACGAATCATCGAATCGTTCACATCCTTCTTGGCATGTTGTACGGTGTCATTGATATTCTGAAACTTTGACACACCGACACAGAATATAAAACCTGTTTTCTTAAACTCCTCTGTGTAATTCATTGCAACAGTTACGGTTGGTAATTGTTCGACTAACAGCATTGTCGTTGAACGTGGTTCAAAAATAATCCATTGTAAAGCAGAAGCACCGCCATTTTGATGAGATAAAGTATTGAACCAAGATTGACCACTCGTTGCCAATCGATTTGCTGTCATTACTCTTACGGTTAGCATTACCTATAACATTGCAATTACTGATTTTATTTGTATATGTATGGTTAATAATGTAATGACTGATTATCATACATGATCCTTGGAGTGTAAAAAGTTCCAATGACTCCAATTCGTTGAAACCATAGATGTTCCGGTAACAACCAGTTCACGATTTCCTCCCTGCACCATATAAAATTCGTCTCGGGACGATAATGACCCCGGATAGGAAGACATTACGATTGTTCTACTCGGAACGAGTGCGGCAGTTTTTATTGCAGGTAATACATGATAGCCAAATGTGTATTTTTTTAAAAGTCTCAACATTTGAGTGTATCTAGAAAGCAAACAAAAATTGTTTACATAAACTCGCTCATTTTTTATATAACATTTATTTAAATCTGTTCGAGGAATTTATTATTAGTGGAATTGTACCCACGTTTATCGTTTTCCTTGCAGCCAAAAAATGAAAACTTATGTTAATACGTACTCGAAATTCTAAATTCTATAATAAAGATAATAAACGAAACTTACGATGCCGCAGTGTTATGACCAACTGCGACCAAAGGTTCCAAATGATCTCTTGGAAACGATTTAAAAAAGATGGAAGAACTCATGGGCGGACCAGAAATATTAAAAGCTTGTAGAAGACCAGATAAATCGGATCCCAAAGCTAGCCATAAGAAATCTTCTGATTCAAGCGAAACCGACACGCGGCTTCGTCGTACAGCAAATTTCCAGCCAGCTTCCATGCCATCCAATTGTGTATAAAATAATCGTACCTAAAATAACATTGATTTATTGATGATTAAATGTAATCTTAATAACTCAATCGAGTAAATTACTTTTGTAATCTACGATAACTGATACGATCATCGTACCATATGCCAAAATGGATCCGTGGATTCCATGAGTTCAGCGCGTTCGCGAATGATAGCGGTATTATCTCGAAGATACCGTGTCAACTTTTGGCACTCCACAGGTTTCGCTTCGCATTCTGGTCTTATGGTGTTGTACCAATGATGATGAATTAATTGCCAAGTCAAACTTCCTTCCAGAAGTCCAGCAGCGTATGCTTGCACTGTGTCCGGATACTTCGATGATGTTTCGATTTCAATGTATGACCACCTGTAACATTTGATAATCGTTAACTAATCAACGTCTCTTTTTATCTTTTCTAATTACTTGTAATGATTGATGGGGACCCTGTCTTGAGTATCAGTGTAACCAGAAGTACTTAATTTTTATATTTGAAAATTTGAAAGGTACATGTAGCAAGTGAGGCTCAGCCGGGTCTCTGGTTACATGAATGACTACACGCGAGTCAGAACCAACTGACTAGTTAAGTCAATGAAATTGCAACGAATGCAACAGGTGTGATAATATTTTTATACCCATGCTCGAAAATTCCGGTTTTATAGTACGCTCGAGCCGCATGCAATGGAACGGCGGTTAGATCGTTGCCTTGGCCCCAAAAGTCAATACGGTATCCTCCTTTGCGGTTCCATAATACAGTAGCTGAATATGTTCCATCTTGTTCAACACTGTTAACACATAATAAGTAATTAGAAAAACATGAGTTGTATTAAGTATTCTTATTATGTGTCTAATATAACAAAATACATATCACACACAGTTCAATCAACTCTAACTATACGTGAGCGATCGATGCAAATGAACTATGACCCCAAAACTTTTTGAACACCCTATACACGCACTTTCATCGTGCGTTAGCCGTCAATTCATTGTCAGAACAGTTCAGTCTGGAGGACGAACTTGAGATGGCAGACATCGCGTAACTCAATCCTTACTCGCGACCAGTCTCATCGAGCTTGTTACAACTAAAGTGCTGATACTTCCGATCTTTGTAACTTGCAGCACGCGTTACATACGCGTATCAATCACGACAGAAGCTATCGCGAACGGGAAGCAAAATATATGACCATATAACGCTTGATTCATTGGCGTAATTTGATAACGAGTTTTAAAGTTATCAATTTTCAAAACCCTAACTTCTCAGTTTCAAAATTTTCAAAGCTTTAATTATTAAATTTTTATGTTTTGCATGTCGGTTCTTGAACTACTCTGTGTGCTCTGTGTGTTCTTGAATTCTTTATTCATCACTGACTTAGAAGATTTGTAAAAGTTAGAGTTAAGGTATTTCTCTTTGCTTGTGAGTAGGTATCTGCGTTGATTAGCCTAATGTTAAGAAATGATGAGCTTACTGTCCGAATTCGCCGAGGATTATAGCTCCAATTCCTAGCAAAGCTACGGCGAGTAATATGTAAGTAGAGATGCGTGTCTGCAGCCAAGAGGCTCCTACTACCTTCAGCATGGCTCATCGGTAAGCGATACACCTTGGTTACGAGAAAAGAGAAAAGCTGAAAAGCACGAATTTTGCGTTCTCAACCCATCGATTACAGAAGCCTGGTCTTCGGCCTCTTTGGATGTTTCTCAACAGCTGCCAATACGCGCCTGTCCAGTGATCACTGAAACAATAAAACCACTGTCAGCACAACCATTGGCAATCACATAGAATATAAATCTTAACTTTCGCTACAACTATCATTCAATTCAATGTGTCAAATATTGCCTAATAACATAGTTTTTGTTCATAATTATCAGAGTTGAACTTCCTTAAATCTTCATGAAAGTCTGATGAAAATCTTCATGGTTTTATTTGCATCGTTCTGTTTTGATTATCGCGTAACGATCAGTATATCAAAGGCATAGCGAATTATGAAAGAAATCAAGGACAGAATCAATTGTGGCTGCATCGATGAAAAATCAAGTTCGATCGCATATCAACCGGATCACACTTGTCTCATGGTATATTCTACACTCCATTGTTCATCAAGTATAACAGCGTTATTTATGCTTTTTTTAATCGACGGTTTTACGAACTAATGTTCTCTATTGTCTACTGGCATATAACAAAGGAGACGAAGGTTAAGGTCAAGTTAGTGGGACGGTATTTGGCACTCGTTATTATAAGTGTGAGTAAATCGGTAAACTTGCGATACACGTAATGCCACTATTAATATCGAAAGTGACTTATGGACTTACGTATACTTTGACTTCGGAACACTAACGTGTCGATTACAAATATCGGATTTTTTAACAACCCAATTGTTATGGGGGTCACTGACCGGTGCTACAAGTCTGATTTAATTGTACATAAATTCAGAAATTAAGAAAGAAGTTTTAAGTGCAAAAAATAATATGGTTTTAAAATGACAAATTCAAGCGTTACAAATTGTTTGAATTTTACCTCCATTGCATTAATTTCTGAATTTTTACACTTCCTAAATTATATTTGATTTTCCATACGAAGCTTTCAGTACGTGCTTACTAATTGCAATACTAATTGCTTACATCATTGATACAATAGTGGTAATATTAAAATGTTCGCGGTGCAAGTACAGTTTGCTATTACTGAAACAATCGACATGTAGATAGATGATTCTAAATAAGAAAACCTCACACGTTATTACACACATGTAAATTATTGAGGAAGGCGGAGGTCAGAACGATCCGTCATTTCTGCGTTGATATTTGCAATTAGTTACATTTAGTCATTTTAATTATCGTTTGTTTAATGAGTTTCACTTATCGGTACCGCTTAACACTTATGTACTAACATAAGCTGTGGTATTAAAATTTTAACGTTGCATCACGATAGAAAATTTACAATGTATCTACAAAATAATTCATTACTATTACATCACACAAAGGTGTTTTAATAACATTACAGTTTCGGTTCGCAAAACGAAAATCATAATTTCTAATTCATTTTTCATGTATATTTGGATCACCGAAGTTAACGGAAGTCAAATAAACATTCAACTTTGAAGATGTTTCTTCAGTAAAGGTTTCTGGAAATAAGCCAATTCAAGTTTTTCAATTACCAGCTTTTATCCTGTAGTTTTCTACATTTGAAAGTTTCTCCATTTCAGAACACTTGCACTTAGCAATACTTCGACACTACGCACCAGTGATACTTATTACTGAGACGTGTTTACGTAAACTCTACTATCAGTGGTACGTGGGATATTTTAACATTTAACATTAAATAAACTGATTTATAACATTTCCACTTTGAACACGTTATCACCCGATTTCTGACGTACAATTTAAAGAAAGCATTTTGTTTAATTCAGAAATATTTCTATATTTTCGTTATATCGTATGTCATTGAATTAATTCGATAATCGCTTCATTTTTTATCTGTCGCCAAAAATACGTTTCATTAGAATAAATGTTTTATATTTAAACCGTAGGTTTAAATGGAAACTTGGAATAATGCTTTAACGAAAGTTACTACACATTTCTGACTCAGACACATGATTTCTATTTTTATTTATTGTGTATCGGTATCATCAAATTATTTTTAGAGTTTACAGAAATTTCCAAATACAATTTGAGTAACCTCGTTTTCAAATTATGAGATTTCATAAAAATTGTCAAACTGTCAACCATGAAGAACATAAAAAAAAGTTAAAGCAGGAAAATATATATTGCCTTCCGTTCTATCGTAATGAGTGTTTTCGAAATGAGTCACAAATGTCATATCGTAATCGACATAATATACGTAATGTACACGTTAACACATTCGCGAAAGTCTAAGATAAATGCTAATATAAAATAGAAAAACTAAAGCTTTCGCAAAAACCATAATCAGTTTACAAAGGTACTCTTCACAGAACCGGAAACAGTTTTCCTGAGAAACCTAGGCGTGTCGCATAAAGAAAAAATGTACTGTTCTAAATGCATATTCATGTAGATCGCAGTTGCATAAAATTCTTTAATTTATATCTTGCTCGTAGAAAATAAAATTCATCAAAGACACGTATAGTTTTTACATCAACTTTTCATAATCAACAATCGTAAATGATTACTTATACATTCACATTGAAATTGCTGTTATATCTGCACGCTTTTATTTCATATCATTATTACGTTTAACCAGGCTGTTTTTTATGTGTAGTGAAAAAATGTTGACGAAGAAATTGACGTTAGAGAATGTTGATAAAAACGTATTCTAATTACTATTGTACCTTCCTGGAAGGTTTCTTAACAAAAGAACAATTGATTGACTCAGTTAATGTTAGCTGAGAATTCCGGAAATCGAACGTGTAAGTACTTATATGATCTCAAGATCACTGTCGTTAAATTAGAATCCTTTTGTACACTTAACATGAGGAATGCGGGTCTGCTATAAGTAGTTTCCTGATAAACTCGTTTCAGATATAAAATTTAAGCAGTAATTTACAATGATTACGTTCTTTGTTCATTATTTTGCAATCCATTAAAAAAGTTTTACTGAACTATCAAATCAGTGCGTTTACTTCGACTTCTTTATCATAACATGTTGCAACAAGAGCATTCGTGTGCAACGATTAAACACGCCGATGAAATATTTATTAAAGTGATGCAAACTCGGTACATACATCGTAATATGTTAATCGTTTTGAATGTATAATAATTATTCTTCCACCTGCAGATTTCGTATTTTAAAAGAACTTTGAGGAAATCATATGTGTTCAGAAACGCACTGATAACGAAACCAATGTATACAAGAATAATACGATTCGGACACGCGTTTCTGTATTGACGTAGAAAGTTCATGCAAAATTCTGACAAACTACTCCGCACTCAGTTTGCGAAACACGAAACTGATAACAGAGTAATTTCAGAAACGTTGATCGTGAAGTCGTAAAATATGAGACCGATGACATATATTTCAGATATCAAGAATTAAGTTTAGTCGACTAAAAAATATAAATTAAATTTTCCTAATAAGTAAAGTTATAATATTGTCAATAATTGAGAATTCAAAATTATTAATAATACATATTGCCTGTATTAAAATAATAATTAAAGTGGAACGAATACCAGAACCACGTGCTTAGGCGCATGCTATAGCGCGACTATTTTCCTCCAGGGAATTTATAAATAAAATTAGAAAAAGAACATAAAGAGATCTACTTAAGCGTATAAAGTATCACGTGGTTCTTTACATAAATGGTCAGAGAGGCGAGTATGAAACTGCAAAAGCAAACTGAATGATTTCACAAATGTGGAGCGTAATCCGTCAACTCGCAGAATATTTCAACAGGGCGTGCGCGCGCTACGAGGCGCGTGTTGAAAATACACACGGTTCGGTCTTTTCATTAATATTACTTACCGTGGACAATAGAGAAAGTCTGAATTGAAGCGCGTCGTAGACGGGTAAAAGATCGGTCATTCGTACGGAGATTACATTCCTTTGACGTGCTTTTTTGTCGCGGCTTTACGACGTGGACCAGTTGCTCCGACACTGAAGTCCAAGCGCGTGCACTCGCTGATTCCCGACTGCCGCTCCGAACGGAGCCGCAGCCCGTCCTCAGAATTTCGAGTAGTTGCACTTCCCTTCCCACCTTCGTTCGCGCCAACCGGAGTCGACGTCCTTTATTGTGTCGTCACCACTGCTGGGTCATGTTGCTGAGGCGCCCCGTACACTCGGCTGCAATATAGGCCTCTTTTCATTTTGCAATTCTTCCATCTTCAAATTTTTTAATGTTTACAATTTTTATATTTTCTGAATTTTAAATTAACTTTATAAATTCTCAAGTATTTCCATCTCCAAAACTCCTCAAAATTTTTTACCCCAAATCTTCAAAATCTCATACCCCTATAAGATCAAGTAAGCTCTTAAGAAAAGTCTTGAAATATCTCCCCCTTCCTATGTTCCAAGTTTCTAGACTTCCAGAATTCCTATACCCCTGAATTCCAAGATGTGTCTTGAATTTCAAAAATCTCTGCATAAACGAGAGGGAGGCATTTTCCACTTGACAGTCATATTTTCCGTAAGGAAATTAGATTTGCCCTTGACTGTACAATACCGTGGTTGATACGTTCTCTTATCAATTTGCTTTCGCTTCCTAGACGGCACGTTCTTTCAACTTCTTGCAGCTGTTGCGGCGTGACGACATTTCTTGGAAAATAGCGTGCTGTTAGCTAAATGAAAAATAATATTTTTTTATATATTGGCATATATATTTTATATATTGCCAATCATCAAAGCTTTCAGCCGATAATTATATGTAAGCTTTAGAATAGTTAATAACACACATGGTTTACCGATGAGAACCGATGAGAAAACGCTTTCTGCCTTTCGAGTTCCATATTGGTGAATGAAGGTACTTTATCAATGAAGGTGCAAGTGCTCCCAGATATGTCGTGTAGATCGCAGATTAGCTGTAAATCAAATATACAAGATATACCTATCCAAATAATTTTAGAGAATAGAAATTATTAAAGTTGATAACGTTATCAGAATTATAGACAGATTATTTTGTAATTGTTCTCAGTAAATTCATCTTAATTTTCATTCATTAATACCTTTATAGTTCAAACAATAAAAACACGATAAATATTGATGATAAAATTATGTATCATATTCTCTGGAAAATATTTTGAAGATTGAATCATATATCATTCATAAAAATATTTGTTGAATTTTTCCCGGAACGGTAAACTTTGTATTCTTTTTGCGATGCTAGTAATTTAACAAGTTGGTCCAAGTGCTTCAAACAAGTTTTCATTCAGAGCACGAACTTCCATCACCCAAAGAATAAAAATAGTCTTCGTTTCAGCGTTGTTCAAGATTCAAATTAAATATGGCTGATCTATATTACTGTACTACAAATATATAAGTTGAGAAATAATCGTCTAATGTACAAAGTTAATAAGCTCTAATTGGAGGTAATTGAAAATTTTAGTTGCTCGATAACTATACCATAACGGATACTAATTATACAGTTAGCGATTCAAGCCGGGCAAACGATTAGTGATTGTCTCTTAAAAGAATTATAACATTTTCCGGTGACGCAAGAGTCACAGTCATTATGTATACAATTCTAAGACAGTCCTAGAAGTGCACGTGTTAATTATAATTTTAATCATATAGCTCGGTTATCTTTGATAAGTCGATGAATTGTTATCATTGCAATAAATTCCGGGTGTCATACAAAATCTCGACAATACATTATAATGGGAATTTCCTAACCAGTTATGGGCTGAGACGCACTTTTGAAATTAGTAATTTGATATGACCTGGTCTGTCAAAGTTCTAGTTTCGAAAACCTTCCCACATCTTCAGAATTTGTATTTAGATGTGTATACGTATTTAAAACTATTTAAAACGTTAAATCTGTCAGTAGTAGCTATATGAATAAGAAGTCATCAACCTTTCATCATTCGGAAGCCATATTCGACCTTCGACTCGAGAAACTCGATCCTCTAACATTCGCGTCTTTTTCATTAAGTCGGCACTTTTATTATCCGAGAAATGTGACATTCCGTAAAATGCGATAACAAGATAAGACGCCCATGATTTTTCAATATAACGCAAATCATGTGTGTACATGTTTGTAAGACAAGGCTTGTCGAAACAATCTAACGAGTGAATTACGTAATATGAGAACCTAGGCGCCTCTAGTTTATCGAGCGATTAAAATTTTCAATTAAGTTCAATCCAGTCTCGTCAGCATCCACAACTTACTGGCTCCTTTTCCTCCGTCCGCGATCTTCCGTGAAAGATCTGAAAATAAATTTCTCTGTCTTATTTCCTTGAAACAAACATGCGAATAAACTGGATAGTTACGGATAATTTAATGATATTTTATAATTCGCCGCTATTCTTTCGCAACATTGCATAATCGTCTAACACGGACTGAAATAATTTGTAAGTGTATGTTGCGATTGTAAAAAAGAGAAACTTCTTCGAACACGGTTTTTCATTTATCAGCAGCGATTGCCCGACGTTCAATACAATATACGATTTCTGTTAATATTGATAACCGACGTATATTTCCTGCAATAATTCTTAAGTACACTCTCAGTAAAATAAATATATCATTCTCTTATCTTTCAGGCGTGTTCGCACATTGTTGGAAACAATTAAGAAACTACCATATGTTTTAAATAATCAAAATTACATGTACGTCCCATATCTTTTTGAATATTACTTATAACCAATACAGTAGAAAATCCAAAACTATTGTTCGTGATGGATGTTCTAAATATTTATAACCTCAATAGGGCCAACATAATACTAATTTAATTTCAGTTCATTTTACTTATTGTTATATGACACTAAAGTGTGCTATTTTATTAGCCCACCATATATTAACTTTCAAAGTGTTAGAAACTTCTAACCTGTCATAATTCTTTGTATAGTACATAGATAAGTTCTACATAACTGTTAAATGTAGAAGCTATCGGAAAGTCAAGGTTTCTGGGTAGGACGGTCTACTAGAATCTACCTGATAGTCGGTATGCGTTTGTAAATTCGTGAGAGCAGCCTGACCATAGGGTTTCGCACGACCGACCACTGGCCATAAAAGGGGCTGATGCATTCATTGATCCTGAGAGCCGAAGGTTGCTCAACTCTTCCCCTTATTCAGAAAGAACTAACGCACAATAAGCTGCTGCCTATTTACAGGTTCGTCTATGCGAGTTCTTCATTCTAAGAAGAAATAAAGGAAACGGGGTTATACAATACTTGTTAGGAATGATACTTCATTATTATAGCTTGGTTTGTACATGTTTGTACATTATTATTATACAGTAGGAATAAAGTTTCATCAATTGTGTAATGAATCATACGTTAATCGAATGCATTAATGTAGTGCTGTTTGGCGCCATCTATCATTGGTTATTGAAAGTTCAACTTTGCAATAATATTTTTACTGTACTTACAGTCAACAATATATGTTCAATTAAAATTCTTTCATCAATAAATTTCATAAGACCTATGGAAAATATTTATTTATTATTTTGCAAATAATCTCCTTTTGCAAAAGAAGATATGAGAATGGTTGTTGGCGATTTGAAAGAAAATTTGTTGCCATTCTTATGTCAATCCCTATATCATCGACAAGTACAGTGTGCGAACTGTTTGGAGACATAATCAGCATCTTTGGACCCATGGAATATATTGCAAACAATATAAAATCAATATTAATAAACATATAATTAATATATAGTACATTAATCAATAAAATCAAAATTAATTGAATTCTTACGAAAATGTAATTAGCGGTGTCATCTCTCCGGCGAACAACACACTTTTGAAACTGTCAAAATTTTTCGTTCCAGTCGACAAAAACCGTTCTCACAGTATCCCGAAGTTTTCCCAAATTTGGAAATTGGGGATTTAAAAATTTGAAAGTATTTAACCTTACCAGTTCTTACTTGGTTGTGCCAATAGATGAATGTTATTATTCACCCGCGTTAAATAAAGCATTTGTCGAAAATTGCGCGCGCAATAAGAGCCATGGAATTTCTTGATTGCGGTCGAGACAAGAAGCACGCGCGTCTTTGGAATGCAATATTGCGCCCTCTGGTATTTGATTATTAAGATATTTTCTCGGGCTTCGGAATTTCTTTTATCAACCTAGAAAATGCGTATAATGATGCATACATATCAGGACACATTTTCAATAAATGCTTATAGAGGTCACTGATAAAAAGGAATATAGTTAATTAGTCATAAATACATTGTTACTGAAATTAAATTTTTAACCATGTTTAATTATCGCATTTATTTCCTGCCCCGTTTTCTTATCATAAATGGTTATCTGCTTGAGTTCTTAAAGAGTTTTATAATTTCACCTGATATGATTTCCTGTTTATTAGAAACTGATGACTTCGATAATCGGATATCGATTAAGCAAGAATAATGTAATTGTGGGAAGATGGATTTTATGAAGATGAGGCTTGGAATATTAACGATAGTATTATATAATTTATATACTAACTATGAAATTAAGCATATTTGATAGTTATACATATGATATTTATTAAAATTACCTGACTTCTGCTTTTGTCTATTAAAGGTTCTTTGATAAACTTACTTTCGAACATTTAGTTCCGCGCATGCCGAAGCAATACTTAAACTTCGAACATTTAAAATCCACAAAATTATAATTAACAAATAATTTGCACACACGGTTTATAATTTTTTGAAACACTTTATTAATCATATATTCTCCATAAATCGCGATTAACATTTTTTTTAACAAAAAGAATCAGCTTTGAAGCGATGGCGCTTTCGCGCATGCGCGCCGCAAGGATGCGGCGGCAAAACTGTCTCGTACGAAGTCTTCGTCTTTCCGACGCATTCAGATTCGTTTAGTAGAAATTAACGTCTGGATGGTGAAGGATCATAAAAATGTTAGCGAAAGACTTGTATTAATCCAGAAACTAAAGTCATATGCTCTTATAAAAATACACAGAACAAAATTAAGTAATTTTTAAACTGCGAGTATCGTTACTCGCAAAATCGAAAATGTTTATTGGTGTATACCTATTAATTATATTAGCACTCTTAAAAAATGGATTCTGCACATCTTCGCACAATCATCAGGGCAAAGAAGAATCATCAGAAGACAGCATCATTCATACTGTTCCACTTGGTTCGGCAGCTACTTTTCATTGGAGGTACCTTTTTCACTATATAATAATTATTTTCAAACAGAAAGATTATAATCATAATTTGAAATGAACCAGGGTTGATTTTATGAGCGAAGTTATAATCGCGGAAGTTCATTACAAAGGTACCGACAATACTTGGTTTGCCATTGGTTTCTCAAACTATGGGGAATTGCAACCGGCCGATTATTGCGTCTTGTGGGTCGACTGGCACCGTCAAATTCAGCTGCAGGTATTTATATTCTCTCTATTTTTTATATATTTACATTACATTTTGTTTTATAACTTCAGGATGCATGGGCGAATGAAGAGGGAAAGTTAAACCTGGATTCGCAGCAAGATTGTGATAACTTTGCGTGGAGAAGAAAAGGAAACGTAATAAAGTTCACATTTTCTAGAAAGTTTGATACTTGCGATGAAAATGATTACATTATGGAGGTATATTGAATTAACAGTTAATGTTAATATTTTGTTAAGCAGTTAAAGAGATGAAATAAATTTTAGAGGGGCACGACGCATTTAGTATGGCTGAAAGGTGTGGGGCCATTATCTTCTTTAGCTGGTTTGCAAGTCTCGGACTCGGAAGCTTCCGGTATGGCCAGGACTGAATTGATTCGAGTCCATCATAAAAAACCAACATTTCCTTCAAACGCATGGCATTTTGAAATACTGGCTGATCAAGTGAAAGTGCCGAATAAAGAAACGACTTACTGGTGCCGTGTTCAGAAATTACCAGCCGTTCTCGCTCAGAAGTGAGTTAATTCTGTGACCATATTATAATTGTTAGACTAATCGAATTGTTCATTCGTAGACATCACATTCTTCAGTTTGGTCCAGTTATTCAAACAGGCAATGAACATTTGGTACATCATATGGAAGTCTTCCATTGTGCTGGACCTCCGAATCTCGAAATCCCCATGTACAATGGTCCGTGTGACGGCACTGATAGACCAGAGAAGACGCAGGTATTATTCGGTTAAGACATTTATTTCTAAATTGTGTGGACCTTTGGTTCAAATCATTTGGAAATAAAAACTGTCAGTAGATATTCCAGATCTCTAAAACTATTTCATTTCATATGTATCTTTTCTAGATATGTAAGAAAGTTTTGGCAGCATGGGCAATGGGAGCAGATGCATTCGTCTATCCAGACGAAGCTGGTCTCTCGATTGGTGGTCCGGATTTTAATCCTTACGTTATGTTGGAAGTGCATTACAACAATCCTGAGCTTCAGGATGGGCATACCGATTCCTCAGGCATTCGTTTTATTCTTACAAAGAGTCTTCGAAAATATGACGCTGGAGTGATCGAACTGGGATTAGAGTATACTGATAAAATGGCAATTCCACCGCAACAAGTAATAAATGATTGTAACATGGAGCATAAAACAATTATAGTGAAGCTTAAATTGAAATTATTACTCTTGTAGGAAGCATTCACTTTGTCAGGACATTGCATACAAGAGTGCACAGGCGTTGGTCTTCCTCAACAGGGTATTCACATATTTGGTTCCCAACTTCATACGCATTTAACAGGAACAAAAGTTGTAACTCGACACATCAGGGACGGAGAAGAGTTGCCTCTTTTAAATTACGATAATCATTATTCCACTCATTTTCAAGAGATCCGACTTTTGCCTAAACCAGTCACCATCCTTCCTGTAAGAATCTGATGTTTCGCGTTGCTTGTGATTTACTACGAATTGTCTTATAAATTACAGGGTGATTCGTTGATAACGACTTGTACGTATAACACAATGGACAGAAAAAATATTACGCTGGGTGGATTCGCCATCTCGGATGAAATGTGTGTAAATTACATACATTATTATCCGAATGCTAGGCTAGAAGTCTGTAAGAGCGCGATAAGTGACGACGCTTTGAGAACGTATTTCCGATATATGAAAGAATGGGAAAGTCAGCCAACCAGTGTGGACGAAGGAATTTCTACGAATTATAAAAGCATCGAGTGGACTAAAGTCCGTGTACAAGCTCTTCATGATCTTTACGAGGCTGCTCCATTAGGTTGATAATTTTTTAATTTATTAACATTTATTTATCAACATTCCGCTAACTAAATTGTGGCTAATTAGGGATGCAATGCAATGGATCAGACGGATCGCGACTTCCTGGATTATGGGATAACATAGCAGCGACACCCGTCAAGCTACCTCTGGCTCCTCCAGCTCGAAATTGTCCAACTTCGTTTTTGAACCAAGAAATTAATTCTATGTAAATCTCTTTCTCTGTCGAATAGTATCTAGTATTTTGAAACCCACTAAGGCCGGTAAATGTCATATTTAAACCTGAAAATTAAAAAATAAAACGAAACTTATTGAAATGTCGATTTACATTAGTTTCCATTAAAATGACAGATATTTCATTACACGTTTTTTATTGCCAATATATTCTTCCAAGGTCGTCGTATATTTTCATCCTGCTTAAAAGAATATAGCTTTGTAAAATAAAACAGCAAGTCTAGTTACAATACAGTGTGCTTGAATGTAAAATACTTTGCGTTAAAGTAGAAGAAAAGAGGGAAAATAAAAAAATGTTAAAATCATTGAAGTAACTAGGTAAGGACCAGGATGGACCTCACTCATAATAGCTCATATATTCCATATTAAGAATTTTCATATTTCCAAATGTTACTATGACCTGGACCACACCGATCAAAGATCCTAGTTACGTCACTGGTTAAAATATACCACGGGATGACGATAAATACTTTCGATGTAAAAGTTTATAAACCTCCAGTATATTTATGCACTTTAAGGGTTCTTTTTGGCAGTACATCGTCTTGCTGCGAGTAAGCTAAGTTTAATCGAACGTCGTTAACAAATACTTGCTCTATGAAAATTGTTAACTGTATAGTACGGAATAATAAAAATAATAATAGTTATGCTAATAATAATGTTAATCGCAATAGCGGAAACTTTGTCTTTACACGTTTCACAAATGTACAAAAGAGGAACGCGTCTTAACGCTAAATGCGATATAAAAATTAAAGTTATCCAATATTTACGATATAATACACATGAGCGGGTTACAAATACACACATACATTCACACGCGCACGCTGTGACCACGCATACGATAGTTGCCTTCGTTCAAAGCACGAAGATCACTTCCGAGGAAGTACCTTAGCACGATTTTGTATTTTCTCCTAATTTTTGTTTTCATTTCATTTAATATTCATGTACGATTCCTTTTTTCATTTTGTTTATCGAACACTTGTCAGACTTGTCTTTTAATCTTGATTACAATGTAGCTCATAAACGTCCTAGCATATAATGCGGGATTCTATCGAGTATTAAATTTGTACTGCCAAACGTGCTTTTCGTCGTTTCAACCCTTTGAAGCAAAGATGTCTAGAGTACAGTACCCATTCTATGTTCACAGAGAACGATTCTGTAAAAGTTACGACGAATACAAATTCGTTATATACTGTAATAATAGAAAAATACAGTTTAGTAATATTTAGAGATATGAGGATAATCGAATGTGGCGGGTAGCTGAGCTGTCGGGTCGGGTAGGGAAAAGTCGATTATGTTCGGATAAAATCGAACTGACTCGAATTTTAAAGTTTTCAAATTCATAAATAATCGTGCTAGTCGAATTTGTGTTTATGTCGGACAACTCATCAGACTTTAACCGACACGACTCGAGCTCAAATTGAATATCGCACATTCCTAATAATATTGCAACATAGATACTCAGTACATGATACAATATAAACATTTATTTTTTTAGACACTGATAAAATGATTGATTATTTTAAAATAAAATGCTTCAAAGGGTTAACTATGGTTCTCTATTGAATGTATGAGAGAGAATCGTTCTCTTTGGTGCTTTATTAAGCTGTATTTAGACTGCAGGAAAATTAATAGGGAACTAAAGTAGCAAATATAATAAATGTTTACCTTAATGGTAACGTAACAAAGGAATGTGTAATAGATATATTGGTGAATACTTTATCACATTTTTATAACATAGACTTTATTCCCTAAACTAGCTCTGTTTAAAATTATGATGTATTTTTAGGTACTAAAAGAAAAGTTGCCCATGTTAATCAGGAAAATTCTTATACGTATAAATTGTACGTATATTTTAAAGTTAATAAGTATTTCAATTATTGAAGATACAATTATTAAAATTATTTGTATGTACCGGATAAAAGAGGGAAGCAAACATGAGTCTAATCACAGCTTAAACATCAAAAACTTGGTCTTACTTATTTACTTCGCAATATTCTTTACAAAAAATCGAGAGCATTTCCATCAAAGTATCCATATGAAGAATAGAACAGTTCATAATTTGCGAAAAAACGTGATCTTCTTAGAAACAATATATATTGAGTAGCAAATGGAATACAGCTAGTATACTTCATATTAGTTAAGCATTGTTTCGCACATTTTAAGGAACGTGCTTCCTGAAATATTTAGGAACGTGATTCGTTCGAATACGTGGGCATTCTCATGGACATACAACGGGTATGTTACGTTATCGTGTAAAAAAATTTAGATTCTCTGCTAGGAACACGCCCCCATTGGAAAAAAATATTTATTTTCTAAAACGTGGATGCGTAATGACCAAACTTCCTTGTTTATGTCTCTCTTTTCTTTTCTCTCTCTCTCTCTCTCTTTTGTTTTTGTGGGAGAAATTGTTCAACGCATGCTTTTATGGAAACGTTTTACGCGTGAACCACGTAGAAATTATCGTAGCTAGGACTTCAGGGAAATATAAATATAAAATATATATTACGGAGCTCGAAGTGTGACCGGTACACCTACTCCAAGACCACATTTTTTGCTACGTTACTCGTATGCATAAAAAATACATTAGCGTAACTAGGTATGGACCTGGGTGGACCCTCTCCCTAAAAAAGATGGACTGACCCAACACACGTAGTGTGAGGGACATAGGACGTAGAATATCTCATATATTTCGTGAGAACTTTCAAACTCCCAAATTTCAAAATCTTAAAGTTCCTAAAGTTTCAAAAGATCGTGTCTGATACAGTTCATTAAATGGTAATAAAGCTACATGTCCTGGTCCACCGTAGACAAAAATCCTAGTTACGCCAATGATCGAATACATGTAAGAGGAATTTCGTCGATCGGTTTCGTCAAAGCCTGCTCCTACTTATGCGTCTAAGTCAGCGTTGTATAAACGATACGTCACAAAACTAATAAAATATATTATAAAAAATCGTTAATTTTACAATCCCAGCGTAAGTTGCTACGAGTTCAACGTCAAACTCGTAGAAAGCAACTAACGCTACGATGTATCAACAAGAACCTCTCGACTAGAGTGACTGATTGTTTTGTTGCATATGCATCTGCAAGAAACAGTAAAGTATACCAGCCTGAGCCATCACGTCTACAGTGCCCGCGGCTAATGGATCTCGACTCTTCGCGTCGGATCGCGAATTCGTTCCAGGTCGTAATAGCGTCGGTCCAAACACTGTCGCCAAGTTGTGCAAAGACATTTTATTCTGAGCCTCGTGTTTGTTAACTCGTATCAAATGAGTAAGCAAAAAGTCAATAACCGCTTTGTTTACGGCTGGCAAACTTTCGTAGACTCTTCGTAAAGCAGCACCTTTTGATAACTCGCCTGTTTGGAAAGCTTCTAAGAATGATGGATAAAGAGCATCCGTAAAGAGAGCTTCAGGCATTTCTCGAAGGTACAACTTGAGCACACCTGTTACGGAATGAACATCAACCTACACAAAAATAAAAAGAAAGTAAATCAGTTCATATAAAAATTGATTAATATTTTCGTAATTCTATAATACCTCTTTAAGTAATTGTTCTGCTTCATATGAATTGCTCTCGAATGATTTACGCAATTTCGTCAAATCGGAAGCTGAGCCAGAAACGCGATATAAACCCACTTCTCCGACTCCCCTCCTTTCTACTTCTCTGACACATGCTGTTATAATGAAGGGAACATCACGTTTTTCACGCCTAAGTACAAAATATACATATTAATTTTTATGTACATAAAAAGATATAAATTATAAAAATGTTGGAAGACATACTTGCACACTTGTTGAATCTTAGCTCCAAATAAACCCTGAGGTTTAGCAGAGGGTACCCGTCTTAATGTTACTTCACTTGGAACGAAACGAAGAGCTACGTCTAAAGTAGCTGGTCCTAAATTTAACGACCTCTCTACTTGATCTGACTGGAGCCAAGACCTGCTCAATCTTTGTATGCATTTGCCTCTCAATACGGAACGAGTTCCGCATTCTTCATACAATAAAATTCGAACGTTCTGACTTCCCTCGAGCTCAACAACAAATGTTTCACCTTTATTGAAAATGAAAAGTTAAAATCAAATTAAAAATTTTGATATTTCTCTAATTATTTTCTGTTAAAATAAAATTTTACCCCATGTTGGTGCTTGACCCCTTGCAACTCGACTTCTTGCTCGTTTAAAATAGTGTCCATAACTGTCGACCTCCACGATAATATAAAGATCTCCTACTCTATCTAAACCTGGTGGTGTTAAACCAAGTAAAGTTAAATGAAGATCACCTAGTAATAGGCTTTCGTCACGCCCTGATCTTAATAAATAACTGCCCATATCTGTTTGAAGATAAGTTCGGCAAGCAGTGACCCAAGCTTGTAATTCGTACATTGATAAAGGTAGTGGACCAGGAGGTTGGCCACCCTGAAAAGTGAAAGAAAATCAGAGTTAACATTTATTTTGCTTTTACTAATAACATAACTTTTGTCAATATATTTTTACTTGCATCCTCGTGTTGGATTTAATTAAAAGTGCATTATTAATTATCTTTATTTTACTTATTTATTCAAAATGTTTAAATTACGCACCTTTGACTTATCTAGGTACATATGGGAACGCATTACCTGTTGCAATGCCTCCACCGCTTCAACCCATTGAGAACGTTCAAATTCACTGGATAGAAAGAATGTGTACGAATTTTGTACTCGATGTTGACTCTTATGCGCAACACGTAATACTAAATTTGGAGATGCTAATACTAACTGAGCTTCGAGCTCAGCAAGTTTCTTCCTGTTCTTTTCTGAACCTCTACTACCAAGTCTGATTCGTTTCTCGTCATTTCGTTCTTCCCATAAAATCTGATCACGTACAGTACATGCTTGTGATCTAATTATTGAAAATATAGATGAAATTCACACCATTAATTGACATAAACAAGTATATAAACATATTTGTCAATATACCTCAAAGCTACAACGTTAGCTGGACTAGTCTCCCGCGGTTCAACACCATCCTCTGTCACCACTGCTTCCGCAACTGGCACATACCACTTCAATTCAAATGTAAATTTGTCTCTACCAGAAGCTTTATATTTAGCGCAGGCAATTACGTCGTTAAAAAGAAAAAGGTGTCTCAACTTTCTATGACCATCAGATAATTCCACTACAAATGAATTTTTCACTAATCTTCGTTGTGCTCTATCATGACTCTGAAATAAAAATAACAATATTTTTTTCTCACGCGTATTTAAACCGACGATAATTTGGATTAACTTAATACTTTCTTACCGGAAACATCGATTTCGTTTGGATAATATTAAATTCGTCTAGGAAATTTCTAGTCATAGCAAGAGCTTCTGAAAGTGGTGCATGATCTGCATGATTCACTGGTGTGTGCTTAAGAAGATCCTATAATCAATTGAGACAGAATTATCAGTGCGAACTAAGATAAGATAAAACTAAGTACATTTCCACATCATTTTCACGAGTTATCCATTTGTCCATGAAGTATGTACACCTATGTTTATAAACATAACTAAATAACCAAGAAAGTATATATATGTAAACTGAGATATTTACATGCAATACTAAGGCGTTTTTCTGAACTCGAGCTACTGGTTTATGTAGAAGATCTTCGAGAGATAAACCTGGCCCTTTGGGAAAACCTCTAAGTCGTATATCTCTTGTAATTTCACCAAACTGAGTAGAATGTGCAGAACACCTTCGCACGGTGTCAGTAGCGCGTGCATAATTATGTAAAAACGCTCCATATAACCCTATATTGCTGGCCATCACCTTCATGTTACAATTAATAAAGAATAAAATAAATTGTTTACTTCTGACACCAATATATTTTTTTATTTTCTTTATTCCTTACTTTAAACTGTTCTCCTATGGTAGTTTTGTTATCCCACTTTTCTAATTTCTTTCTAAGACCATCCAAAAATGTTTGATGTAGAGCATGTAGTTCTGGAATTTTGTAAAACATTGTGCCAAATTCATCTTCTGAAATAACGGGTTGTGATGTTGTCAATGTAGCTCTGATAGCTTTCATGTACTGAAAAAAAGAATATATTTAGTAACAATTCTAATATTCTTGTATTGTATTTAAATAAATAAACAAACGACATACTTGTAACATCACGTTTAAACATTCAACATATATAGTCTCACTTTCTACTACCGAGTTTACAATACACTTAATCATAGACGTTCTATCATCCTCACGATCTTTACTTTTCTCTTGTCGACGAGGTGTAGTTGGCGTCGGCGATTCTAAACTACCTTCGCTTAAACTTAAAGGTTCTGCATCACTACTACCAGTTTCGTTATCGGTACTAAAAGCGCGCAATAAAATCGTTGGTGCAGGGCTTGCACCTTCTTCATCCTCGCTATCCATTGCCGCCCGATGTCTAGAAATAGTTTTTACATATAATTTTACCTATCATAACCACATATTTCTTATATAGATTAAATAAATGATATCAGATTATATAAAATACTTAACATAACTTACTGTATAAAATAATCGATGTTGACATAGTTACTCTGAGTTCCTGGTGAATCTGGAAGGGAAGGTGGTCTCTTTGGTGGTGCTCTACTGCCATTATTGTTTCCAACTGGTGGGACACGATTGGGACCAATATATATATATTCTCCTGCTTGATCTACAGCTACAGAATCATAATAAGGTTCCTCCTCAGATGCTTCAGCATCACCATCTTCTCCATCTTCATTAATTGCATTCTCCAGATCTGTTTATTAAATAAAAGCATAAAAGGTACTGAACATAGGTACAAAATTAATATATAACAAACACCTTTCTCATCCTCTTCCTTAAGAGATTCCTCATTTTTATCTTTCTTTGAGCTTCCTGTTACTTCAATTACAGTGACATAATTACTTGGCACATCTGGATCACTGTTTCTTCTAAGTTCAGGCACTTTATCAGGACTTTTTGGTATCTCACTTTTGGGCCTTTTGCTTGTACTAAGAGTAGAACTCAACTCAGAAACACATTTGTCCTGAAATTTACTTATATCCTCGCGCACTGGAAGTGGTGGAGCTGATGGTTCCACACGGTTAACTCTAGACAATTTTGTTGAATCTGATATACTGTTTTCCGATTGACAAGCATTCTGATTATGAGATTCTGCAAGTTGCTGTTTCTCAGGTGTAGTTGCTGTGTTACTATTTGCCAACTGTTTGTGACGTTCAACATCAGCTAATAATCTTTCCAAATATTCCACATAAAATTCTTCTTTTTCAAGTTCTTCCCTCAAAGCTGTTACCTACAAAAATAACAACATGTTAACCCATTCACAATTTAAACCTTTTCATAAATATTCTTTGTGTATTTGTATCATGAAACAACAATAATGTAAATAGAATATGTTCATGATAACAGCAAGATAACCAGATGATGATTCATTAAGGACGAACCAGATTATGAAATTTAGTAACCAGAATTATGATTCTTAATATGACATTTAGTAGACATTTGATGATTCAATTTCCTGTTGAAATTAAAATAAAAATATTGTTATAAAATACAAATTTCAAATAGTTAAAACCTGCATTATATTTCAAACATTAACCTCGCTCAAATATGAATTAAATTAATTTCCTAGTTGAGCAAGATGACTCATGAAATAAAGTTCCTGTTACCTCAGCAACAAGGAAAGTTCACATAGTCAGAACTTAATTTATTGTACAAATTTCTTTAAAAGTATATTGGACAATCTTTTTAAAAAAGAAATTTAAACAATAATGCTGCAAAATTCAAATTTTTAAATTACATCTCATTAAGTAATTATCAAAATAACATGTTAATTTACTTAAAATATATACAGCTTGTTCACTGATTTCAAATATCTAATTATTATTTAGAGCATAAACTTTCTGCAATAATCTGTGTCCAATTCAAAATATGCAGAGTTGTATCATACAGTTCCAGTATCTGTAACTTATAATACTCAACAAAGAATTCCTAATAAATCACATTATAGTAAAAGTTTGGAAACTACGTTTAAGACAAGGCTTTGTTAGAACAATTACAAGATGAAAATATGAGTTAGGAGTAGGTTTTTACCTTCTGTTTATGCTTGACTAGGTTGGCCCTGACGTCTTCCTCCCAAGCCGCCGGCAAGGCGCTGTCCGGGAATCTTTGTACCCAGACACGCTGAAAATCCCCGAAAACGCTCATCACTTCACTCCACGACGTTGAAGGAAAAGACTCCTCGGGGATGATGACGATTTTGAGCAGGATTCAGGCCGCTGTGTACATTGCACGGGCGCGGCGATCGCGGTTCTCACCCGAATTCGTTCGATTACGATCTCGTTTCGAGACAGAAATTCCAGTAAAATAAAGCTGGCACCGTAACGAGGCATAAGTCGTTCGTTTTATTTGCGATACGATTTTCTTTCGTAGTACATGCGTGATTTGTAGTCAAGAATCAACGAAACGGGCGTCATACGGCCGCTGTCATCTTGTCGACATCTCCTGCGTAGCTCACCACGATCCGATCCCCATGCCCTCTCCTATCATTTTGACGCCTCCGCAGCGCCGGCGGAATATACGGGTGGAGCGGGTGATAGCCTGGGGCGCCACTACGCGAAGGCGCCGTAATCCATAAATTTGAAAATTTAAGGATTTAGACATTTGAAAATCTCGAGATTCGGGAATTTGAAAATTTGAAGACTTGAGAATTTTTGAATTTCAGCTTTTGCAAAGTTAAGAATTTGATGATTCGGAAATTCAATAATTTATAACTTTCAAGGTCTAGGAATTTTAATACGCGGAAATATAAACTGTTAAAAATTTAGGAATTCGATCATTTCATTTACATCACAAGAAATTGAAAAATGTCATTAGAAAAAAATGAACAAAAAGTACCAAAGAATGATTTCGGTCGATAACATATTTTATCCGTCCCTGCGACTCTGTTATATTCTGTTCGCGGACACCGTCCTCGTAGAAGCAGGTGCACTTCATGGATAATGATAATACTTTTCACGTTTCGCATACGCACAATGGAAATTTATAATGCTTACGACATGTTACAATATTCTACTTCCCTTTCTTTTTTTATTTGTTTTCATAACAAAATAGATGGCGTTTGACATAATTATCAAATAAAAAAGAACTTTATTCTTATTTTAATGATAAAATGATCCATAATCTATAGTCTATAGCCGCGATTCTTTTGTGTTATATTTTGAAACTATGATCATGTATGTACAAATTATATCAAAAATTCATGTATTTTTCGAATATTTGAAAGATTATTATACATTTCTTTAAAATCGGAGTTGAAAGTTTCATTGCATTTAAAGTGCGGTTAGATATTCTTTGTGATTTTTAATTAAAATGACATAAAAGATTCTTCTATATATTGAAAACGAAACTATTTGTAATAAGATATCAATTCTTGAGATGTATGATATTATTATACTTGACAAATACCTTGTTTCACTCATTATTACTCTGCTATTATTTCAATTATGTTCTTCGATTGTATGTACAGTCTCTGCATATGACACTGTCAAAATAGTACGACATTGCAGTATGTATATTTTAAACTAAAAAGTAGCGAAACACTTCAAATAATTTTTCTATATAACAATTAATCAATTATATTTATAAAGTTAAACACTTAATTATAAGACTGATACGATATACACAGTATAGCAGATATTCAAACATGTTTTAATAAAAAAAATAATTAATTATTTTTTCCAATCTAACTTTTGTCAGCTACTGTACGGGTGTAGCTGTCAATTTCGTCGACAGTACAATTTAGAGGTTATGTTTCTTTTAAAAAATTAACGAATACTTATGAATTTTCCATTTATTTGTAAAAATGTCAACTGTAAATGAAAAACAAGAATGTCCACTACTACCAGAGTTATTGAAACATATGAAATCAGGTTCGAAAAGTGGAATATCCTCGTGTCTAGAACGACTTAAAAACGAACCGAACTGCTATAAGCAGTTCACAAAAGATGCTGGACTAGGCATTTTAGTAAATTTACTTCGTTTTCATAATCTAAGAATACTGAACATGACTCTCAGTATTCTGGCAAATGCATGTATAAGTTCAGATGCAAGAGAAAAGGTATCAATGCATTTATTTTTATATTTTTTGAAAATAATCAGCCTTATGTCAAGCAGATAGAGTACTCTTTTTGTAGGGTAAACTTTAAGTATATTATATTACAGGTCAGAGGATCTAAAATAGCAAATCGTGTAGTTTCGATAATTAAACATATCAAACTAGAAAATACTCTACACTGCCGAGCTTGCAGATTGATTGGAAATTTATCAGAATGTGATTGGCATGCTAAATCATTGTGCGAAGCTGGTGCAGTTCAAGCTTTAGTTAATCTTCTGCAATTGGATACAAATATGCAAACATATTTAATGGGTGTTAGAGCTATAAGGTACTGAGATATAATTATCCTTTAATAAGATCATGATAAAAACATATTTATAGTCTCTTTGTAAAGTAAAAGTGTTAACTAATATTTTTTATTAATTTCTAAATTATTGTTATAGGAATATTTGGAGTATGCATGAAGGTAGCAGGGAAGAAATCATGGAATCTGGAATAATTTATAGAATTACAAGTCTATTGGTGTTGGCAAAGGAAAAGTCAGAAACAAATTCTAAATATTTAGAGTTAATTGAAGCTTGTTTAAAAGCAATGTGTGCTTTTTTGGGTACAGTAGATCCTCGTATTAGAGAACAAATGAGAGGAGAGAAAGATGTACAAGGTTACAAATGCATTGTACAATGTTGTGATACAAATAATAAAATGGCAATTAAGTGTCTGTACAATCTCTGCCAAATTGCAGAATGTCGACCCATTTTGGGAAATTTTGGTGCTGTTGAATGTCTTATTGCTCTCATAAAAGATCATTCAGAACTGTCTAAAGAAACATTAGTTAGTCTGTGCTTGTTTTCTAGAGAAGCTGTAAACAGAGCAAAAATTAGAATGGGATCTGGCTTAGAATTAATATTAACTTTATTGAAAGATCCTGATAATGAAAAGTATCATCCTATGTTATTACATGCACTGACACAATTTGTTTATGATGATCCAAGTATAGTAATAATGGTGAAAAACGGTTTGCTTGATATTTTAGTTGCCAGATTAAGAAAAATGGTGACTGAAACAATATATGATGAGGAAATTAGTGTTTCAAGGAAAAGGAGTAATGATTCTCCTCCAAGTAAACAAACAGAGTTCAAATTTAACAAAACTAGTGCAGGACGGTATGAATATAATATTTCTTCGCGGCATAAAATTGTAGAAAATGTATAACTAATGATCACACTTTTTACAGATTTAGTTTAGATTACTATCGTGACGATTGGAGTCCAGGCAGTGCTTCTAGTGTTTCTTTCTCGCCTCCTAGTACACCACCATTACCTTTTTATGATTCAATAGAAAACGATGAAAACACTGAAGATAATTACAGTCCCGTTTGCAGCGATACAGAATTTATGGATAACGAAGATGGTACACTAAATTGTACAATTTATGATTTTTAAAAAACAATTATACATGTATCAATTAATGTCCTCTGTTTTCAGAGCCTCAAGAAGAGGTGGAATCATTGAAAAGTTGTAAATCAATAACTATAAACATAGAAGAAACTCAAGATTCGGATAAAGGAAATAAATCAAATGCTTGTGATTATACAAACGACTGGACATTAGTACTATTAAGTCGACTAAGTCATTCAAATGACCCAATCGACAGATTAGCCGATCCTACAATCATTGAAGCTTTAACAGCTTACATTAGATGTGCCAAAAATCAAAGAGCATCTAGAATTTTAACTAGAATTATAAGGTAAACGAAATATATTTATTTTACAAATAAATCTTACATCAGTTAATATAAACATTTATTATTTTGTTACAGAAATGGAGCATATTTAATACCATTATTAAAACAGGGTTTTGTTTTCGAAGCTCAGACATTATATGGTTCAGAACAATATACGAGACAGTTATGTGCACTAGCAGAAACCGGCGGAGCAGTAGGTGAACTTACGTCGATATTGCTTCGTGGAGAAGAAGCGCACAAATCTGTCATTGCAGTCTCAGTACCATTCCTAATTAGATCACGATACATTCTCAAATCTTTATTGAATAGTTACGGTGGTCTTCGATTAATATTTCGCGTACTTTCTGACCAACAACACAGTCTTTATGAGAATGCTATTTGGTCAATTTGTCAACTAGCGAACACTCTAGAAATTCAACCTGAAATAGTAGAAAAGTGTCAGAACACAGATACTGCTTCGACTGATTTTCCAACAGTTTACGACAATCATCCAAAACCTGCAACGGTCACGTTTGAATTGGACGATGGTACAACTGTCGATGCTTGCAGGCAAACGCTATGCCAAAAATCTGACGTTTTTTCTGCGATGCTTGAGGGAAACTTTTCTGAATCCGGGAAAAAACGTGTCAAGCTACGAAATACGTCCAAGGAAAGTCTTAACACATTGTTGCTTGCTGCGAACGGAGCAACTATTCAAAATAGAACTATTGAGTCTTTGTTAGACGCTGTTTTACTGGCTGACAAGTTTCTGATGGCTGATATATCAGAAATTTTAACGGAGAGTTCGATATCCAGATTAAACTACAAAAATTTTAGCAGAGCTTGGAACTGGGCTAGGTTAAATTCTTGCCATGAGTTGAAAACTTGTTGCGTGAAAAGCTTTTTAACTGCATCTATGACAAAGTCTGAAAGAGTTCAAGCGTTCCAAGGTTTCTCTACCACCGGAAGTTTTCACGAGTTTTTGGACGAAGTGAGAGAAATTATTAATAACGTTCTGTGCCAACGTTAACGATAAACGTATTTTATATAATTGTGATACTTAGTAGAAGTGATAGCGTCCAATCATTTAATCTTCATTCTTTAATTAGGATGCAATTAATAAGACTTTTATATTGTAAAATATTTTATTCAATCTATACCCTAATCGTGCTTATTGTGAATATATTTTAAAGCAAGGGATTGATGTATATTAATAATTTTGTGAGCATCCTTTGATGCACTGAAATGATAAATAATTGTACATATATAATAGCCAAGATATATAAAATCTGGTTCATTCGATTCTAGCATATACGGATAAAATATATAAATGCTTCATGATGAAAAGGAAAATGAATAAAATCAAAAGTACGAATGGAACATTTACTTCCCTGTATTCTTTTCTTTACCTCCTGCATTATCTTCGCTTCAATTTCAATTTTATCGATTCCGATGGAATAGAAATCAAGTGTAACATTAATTCCACTTGATCTTTGTTTATACATTCTATTTCAAATTTCTTAATCAGCTGCAATGTTTTATATAATAGTTTATAAAATATTTCATTTGTAATACATGTCGATTTTAATTGTATAATCACCTCTGCCAAAGCAAGCGATATTTGTATCTCCGCAAGTTTTCGACCAATACAGCTTCTTGCACCCAAGGCAAATGGTAGACTCGCGTGTGGGTGTACTACACCTTCATAAGTACCATCTTCCGTTCTAATCCATCTTTCCGGAAGGAATTCATTCGGTCGCGGAAAATTTACGCTGTTTCGACCGCTTGAATAAAGTGAAAGCACCAGTAATTCCTGTAGCATAAAAGTAATAAATTAGATCAAGTATTTTTTATTTAACAACATAGGAGTAGCCAGGTTATCAATCTGGAAGAGGGAAAAAATTATCTTACAATATATTTCATAATAGTGCATTAAACGGACTTTAAATTTGTTTATCTTTCATATTAATGCAATTGCAAAATTTTTTTTCCTCAAAAATATGTGAAGGATTATTCTCTACGTTCCTGGCTACTCTCATGTTTAAAAACGTTCTTTCTCAAAGAACGTAGTAACAAAATCATTTACCCCTTTTGGTACAAAGTAATTACCGATCACGCTATCTTCCGGTAAATATCGAGAAATGAATGGAGCAATTGGATATAATCTAAGAGACTCTTTAATAACTCCTTTTAATAAAGAATCGCGCAGCAATTCTTTCTGTTGAAGGTTCTTTAAGTGTTCGAACAATTTTTGTTGCTTGTCAGGATGTCTACAGAGCAATAATAGTATCCATTGCAGATTAGTCGCTGTCTAAACAAAAAACATTGTTCAATCTTATTTTTTAAGTAACGTCAATCTACTGCAATCTACTGCAATTTTATTTTTAAACACACCGTATCGCCAGCTGCTAAAATAAAGTCGGTAACGATACAAATTGCATCCTCCTCATGAATCCCCTCGTCCATCATTCTTTTTAATAAACCGTCGCCAGCTACTCGAGTCATTTCCGGTACCAGAATTCGAACGATTTCGAAAACCGTGTCGGCTGATTCGACAAATTTCGTCCAGGCTGGTAACCGTAAAGTCATCGCTAATTTAGCCGGCACCGTATATAATTTAGCTGAATATTCAAATATTTTATACAACGTTCTTGCTAACTTTTCGTAATCTTGAGATAATTGTTGTTTACAAGAGTGCCAATATGTACCCATTAAGGTAGCCATCATCGCTATCAAATTAAAATGATATCTACAATATTTTCTATTTTTACCTTATTAATCAATTTATACGTGGAACTTGTTTTTACCCTCAATAGACCATTGATAAAGCTGAACCTGTATGTTCTCGATAACAGCGTTTGTGTCAATTTGTTTATCCCACTTTTGTACGAGTCTTTTAGCTACTTCGTGACAGGAATCACCCATTAAATTCGTTGGGTCTGGCATTAACATTATTTTGTTTAATATCTTACGAAAGTGTATCCACTCTTCGCCGTTCCTACGCGTTTCGAAATTAAAACAGAAAAATATAAGTGTTTGTTTATTAACTAAAATACTCTGATCTACGTATTAAAAAATGTCATACATGAACAATAAACCGCGTCGCCGTTTTCGTATCTCATTGTAGAGGGTCCACGTTTCCGGCAAAAAATGTTTCGGTGCTGCACCTTCCAATCGAAATATCTTCCGATACTCATCGGGAGAATTAACAAACACCGCCGTGATGGGTCCCAAACGTTCTCTGTAAACAGGACCCAGTTCCCTGTGTCTTTTATCAACATACTCGTGCTGTTTCTTCGGTCCGCCAAAAAACAAAAACTCGAAAAGTGTTCCAAACACCGGAAGTCCCCACGGTTCCGGTGCTTCTTGCAGAACGTTCCCCGTTGCTGTAGCCATAGTGGCATATTTTCTGTCACGTGATTTTCCCGCGATTTCTGTCTTCGATCGACATGTATCATCGGTAGATTTCGAGATATCGGACGGATCATCGATTCTCGACGTGCGCGACGCGCCTGCATAACTGCAGTCCGTTGCGCGCCATTTCATCGAAGTAACACTGTTGCAAACACTTATGGATTTGACACTTTTGGAAAAATTACGAGTGAAATTCATCTTCCTGCTTACAGTTTCAAGCTGCTTCTTCCTTGTGAGGTTCTTGTTTTAAAATTTCTAAATTTGAAAATCCAAAAATTCGTAAATTTCTAATTTCTCAAATTCGAAGATTTGAAAGTGCGTTCGGAGTACTAACGATCGTGCTAGTATCGATGATACGATGCAGATATTATTTCACATTGACACGCTCACGACTAATTTAAAACTTTTATTTGCAGACGAATCGTTTTCTCTGGAGATGACAAACGTGACTTTATTGGAGACAAAATGACCCCGTACCTCGATCGGAGCTCCTGTTTTCTTTCCTCGGTGTCATACTAGATAACACTTGATGAAGACCCGCGAAATGATAACGATGGTGACAGTTCAAAATGAAAGCTACGTTTTTTAATTGACATTCGTTTTTTATGGTAAAAAGCGAAAGTTTATGGTAAGAGAGACATGTGAGGTAATTGAAATGTTTGCGGACACTGTTTGTATACCTGGGTAACTGTCGCGGTTTCCGACTGTAACCGGAAACAGGTACGGTAACAGGTAGTGTCGAATTATAGGAATGATAGAATTCACAGAAAATATTCAAGTCACACACTGATTGCAGAACACTGGTTCATACGTGAAGAAGATCGAATACCGTTTACTATGCCGTTATCTAGAAGCCGTTTACCCCTCCGCTGCAGGTTTCCACTTTCTTTCAAGAGAATTCCACCGTCTCGTCATTCACAGTATTTTTATTTTTCAACGATTACAGTGGCGTCGAGATTACCATAATTAAGTGTAATTAAGGCGGTAAGCAGAGCGGTGAAAATTGTATGTAATTTGGCATGTTATAATTGTAATTATTCGGTATGTGATCCTTTCATTTTCTAATTTAAATTTACCGCTTGCTACTCTAGGAATTTAATCTGCGATGAAGCATCTTCATCCACGATTAAAAAAGTTGTGGAGAGAACTATTTAAACTTTTATGCAGTGATGACATCTGGAGATCTGGCGCCGAAGGTTAAAAAATGTAATAAGTTGGTACGTATAAATTGTTAAATTTGATAATTAGGAAAGTCTGAATTAAAAAATTAAGAAATATGTAAAGTTCCAAATTAAAAATTTTGTAAGTCTGTAATTGGATGCAATGTAACAAAACCTACAGCTATTATCAGTATACATACAAGTTTATATACATTGCAAACATAAATAACTCAATTATCGTTATATTTGGCACTGATAACTTTCCAGATAAAAAACGATAATTTTTTTCTCATATGTTTAATGAAAGTTATTATGCAAGTTGAGTGGCACGTCATTAGAGAAATAAATAAATATCTATTTTTTACACACCTAATTATTTCCGTCGGCTCTAATAATAATATTCATTTGCTTTTTACAAACAATTTCATAGTACGTTAAACTCATTCTAAGTTACGAAAGCTGTTATAATATATTAAAAATTATGCTCCGGTATCTAGAAATCACGACGACGACCACTATACACTGTTTAACAGTTTCGAAGATATTTAAATCGACTGCTGAAACTTCTGGCAAGAAGTGGGGACCACATTCAAGATTCTCGGAATAAAAGATTACGAAGCGTATAAATTTGATCGAAACGTAAGAATAATTTGTACGTCATAGATGAAAGTAAAATACGATATTTATTTCGGATGGTTTTCAGCAAAGATTAATATGGCAATAGATCATATATTACAGGTATATCAAATTAATCTTTACTTTTCCTTACTCGTCGCTTTCACCTTTCTCACATTAGTAGTCTTTTTTGTAGCAAGTAAGTACAAATACCGGACCACTGTAATTCGTCAAATATTTCTGGAAAGACCTCTTCGGCCATACATTCATCATGTACCTAGAAACATAGACAAATGTAATTTACATAGATAAAGAGGAAAGATATTCTACGTGCATAGTTGAATAAAGTCAGAACTCTGTAGACAAGACGATAAGGATTATAAATAATGCAATCGATGACCACGTTTGGTTCAAATATCTCTTTAAATTATTAGCATAGTAAAGCTGGTCTGTATAGAGAAAAGAGCTGTCGATAGAAACACGGATATGTTAATCTTACTTCTAGCGATACGCTGTTAGTTCTTTGGACTTCTTTTATCAGCAGTGGAGTCTCTCTATATGGCCGCGAATGAAGTTTTAATTATCAGGCCTCTGTTATCAGCGGTTTGCTATTAAAAATTTGCATTGGATTTGAAAAAAGTTTATTTTTCTCAAATACGATTAAAGTCTTTGACTTAAATCCTTATGTAGAAAAATAACTGGAAATTTATGACTGTTATCAACCGTACATTAACTTATCACTAATCCCTCATTATCTAATAATGTTTTTATCAGAGAAATCAAAAAAAAGTAATCATGAAATGGATAACAACTGCAGAACATAAGGGAGCTTGTTTACTGGAGAATGCAAAGTACCTTTGTCTCCGCAGATCGGTGGAGCTGCCTGGTCAACGACCGTGAAAAAATTCGCGTGTTTAACAATACGACAGCACGCTGGTTAAATTAACCAACTGTACATACTGGCGATTCCATGATATGTATTTACGTATTCAACAGCGTGACCTGTTCACACGTGAATACGAATAATCCAGGAGCACAAAGCATAGTGAAATTAAAAAATGTAACTCGCTGGACATAAGAAATTCGACTTTGTCTGTAGACACGTGAACGTTAAGAAAAAATACACAATATCGCAATTTAAAAATTAATAATAATAAATACAGTTTAGAGTTATGAACAAGCTAAGACTTGATAATTTTTATGTTAACATTATATTGCTCATACAAAATAGTGCATTGAAACAATTAGTAATCATCATTATTAATGATTTTAGATTGAAATTCTGGGTGATAATACACAAGCTTACAAGATCGATGAGGGTGTCATTAATTATTGTGACTCAAGTTATGTAAGTTAAATATTACTATTTTATTCAATTTCGTCAAGAAATTATCTGAACACGTTTCATCAGGCTTCCGGCTGTTGGATGTAATTTGATATAATTTATTTCTAATGAGATAAAGGTACAGATATCACAACTTTGCAATATTTGGACTTCGAAACTCTGGAGTTTTTGCTATCTTGCAACTTCAGATTTAAAAAATTTTGAAACTTCATAATTTCAGAATTTTATTAGTTTGAAAAGTACTGTGTTACAATTTAGTGCGTCAGAAAAAGTAGCCTTTTATCAAGATTTATTACTCAATTATACCTTATTGTATGCATGGTATAAATACGTATTATATGCTTTCAATGTTCTTTTTTATCATACGTCGGGTCTGAAGATCACGCTTCCTACTCTGTCGCTAGATCCATACACGGAAAAATATATATAGGAACATAGACACAGATGGACATAGAGTAGAAGTCTGTGGGTATAAAAACACGACAATTCGTTGCATATATAAATTCTTAGTGAATTTTCTTCACCATCCCATTTTGTCGCTACGATGGATACCGATATTGAGTCCTGTTTAAAAGATTGGACCGACCTAGCAAAAGATTATAAGGAATTAGAAGTAAGATTATATTTTATTAAACCTGGGTACTAATATTGTCGATGTTTAACACGTTGGATCATTTTCATTGAGGTTAAGTGCACATTTTATTTATCTCTGCTTGAAACCGGTATATGAAATGTTTTCTGTTTCGTACAGTATCGAATTTTGACAATTTTCATTAACTATGTCTTTAAAAATACGATTCAATTTTGATTTATAAAGAAATTTGTTACTCTATTCATAATTATTCATTATTTGATTAAGCTTTTGTAAATAAAATGTTTTTCCGTTTTAAACAACATGATGTTTCAGTATTTTGATTTTATTAATAGGTATTGAACAGGGAATACATTGCAAAATTAGAAGAAATAACTGAATTACAAGCAAAATGTTTAAAAGGAATTTCCCACCAGAGATACCGAATGGGTGTAATATCAAAATCACTCAAACAGTAAGTACTTAGCTTTCAATATATGTGACATATTTTCAATATATAAATGTATTAATCTTTATTAGACTACATGCAAGCGAAGCAAAACAAGATTTAGACAAACAAATGGCAAGAAGAGAACAGCAGTTACATGATATAGAACAAACCTTACCAAAATCAAATGGCACATACCTCCAAATTATTTTAGGAAGTGTTAATGTATCCATATTAAATAAAAGTGATAAGTAAGTATGAAATTTAGTTTCAAACAATATATATGTTTAAATCAATCATTTATCTTTTAGGTTCAAATACAAAGATGAATATGAAAAGTTTAAGTTAGTTCTTTCTGTGATTGGTTTCATTTTATCCGTACTAAATTTAGTCACTAATATCAGGTAATATGTTACATGTTTTATATCAAAACTTAACAAGTACTCTATCAGAAACTAACATAACAATATAATATTACAGAACCTTGGAACTTAGTTTTATGTTCCTTTTAGTTTGGTATTATTGTACATTGACAATAAGGGAAAGTATATTAAAGGTAAATGGTTCAAGAATTAAAGGTTGGTGGAGATTTCATCATTTTCTATCAACTGTAGTATCTGGTGTTTTATTAGTATGGCCTAACACTGGGCCATGGTATGCATTTAGACAACAATTTATGTGGTTTAATGTGTATATCAGTAAGTTCTTTTTTCAATATTCTTAATAATAGTATAGAATAAAGAATCAAAATTGTTTTAATGTACACTGGGTATTTACAGGTGTAGTACAATATTTACAATTCTGTTATCAACGTGGCGTTTTGTACCGCTTAAAAGCACTAGGTGAAAGACATAACATGGACATTACTATAGAAGGTTTCCATTCATGGATGTGGCGTGGATTATCATTTTTGTTACCATTCCTTTTTGCTGGATACCTTTTCCAATTATATAATGCATATGTATTGTATACATTAACATCTCATCCAGAAGCAACTTGGCATGTTCCAGTCCTTAGTAGCATGTTTCTAGTATTATTCTTAGGTAATATGATAACAACTATTCTGGTAATTCCTCAAAAATTAAGACAACGCGTGAGGAATCATTTTCCTGGAGTATTTAGTTCTAAATCTGAGCAAAAGAAAGAAGTAAATGGGGAGAAGGATGTGAAAATTCAGAAAAGTGATTAAAGTATTGTAATAAGATATTTCATGCGGCGAATATAAGAAATAACAAATAATGAATGGAACAAATAATTTATGAACGTAAAAAATAAAAACAAAAGAAAATCACGGAAAATTAAAAATAGTCTGATAACGCAAGTAGCATAAATATATCAGTTCTTGATTCAAGAATGCACAGGAAAAGAAGAAGAAAGAAATATAAAACCTTTCCTCCACATACTGATGCCAAGCACAAGATTACCTAATGTACATTAGCTTGTCGTAATACAGGGAAAAATTCCTAAAAAGTATTTGTTTAATATTAATTTTCATATTTTAAGAAATATCCGCAACTCTGTTGTTATTTACCGTTACTCTTTTTTTATTTAAAAAGATAAAATTAAGGTATAGCTGTATTCCATCATTTCGTAGGTTAAACTTAGAATATAAAACCATAACTTAAATTAAATAATTAAAACCACTGTTAATGTTATTCATGGTAATTCCTTAAAAAATTTTGCTCACATCTTAAACTCTTTCTGTTCATTTTTATATTCGTGGACTTTAGATTTTCATTAACGCAAATTTATACCGATAACATTTAAAACAGTTCTCTTTTAAATATGCATATTTTTGAACTGTGATACATTGATTTCGTACGAGGAACCTGTATCTATATAATCGTGCATACGTATATTTAAATGTACATATAATACTATTACAATTATTTAGTTAGAATAATATGTAACCATACGCACATCTGTACATTCTGTATTCACTGTACTACTAATAATCATTTGTAATTGTTATGCATGAAACCCTTATAATTTATATGATATAAATATGTTTTTGTTTTCATTGTATTTATTGAATTATATGTGTAAATAAAAAACTGATATCGCTCGCCTAATATTAAATAAAATAGCATTTCCCAATAACCGTGTGCATATGTGTTCATAGAAATTGTTTTTTGGAATTGTGAAATAATGGAATGATCTTCTATATAACCAAATATTATTTTATTGTAAAAAGCAATTTTCGTGAGCAGCAATAAAGAAGAGCATCATGTTATTGCAAAATAATTTATTCAACGAAGCAAATATACTACATAAATTTCATTTTCATATTTATAATTCTATAGTTGCCCCACTATGTGGCTTCCTTCTTTTTATATCATCTGTTTAAAGTCAGGTCAATCGATCATTGTTTAAATTGCACTTAGCTGTAGAACATTTAACTAGCGCCACACAGTGCAAAATTCCATTGTCGGTTAGCTTCGTCGTCGATCACAACATGGCGCTAACGCTAACTATTTTCAAACTTCATAATGATATTAAATTACAAGTCATAAAAAAATAAGATTTACTTTCGGTTTATTAATTTAATTAATTTACAATAACAAAATACTCTTCTTTACTTTTATATAAACTGAGAAAGTATAAAGTTTTATAAAGAATATTACCCATAAGCGAATTGATGATACAACCACTATGATAAAAAGAATTTTAATTAAATTTAATTGAATTCAACTGAGTACACGAATAAATTAACTTTGAAAAAAAAAATGAAAAATATAACAATTCAACATTATAAAAATTTTGATGAATATGAGTAGTTCTTTGATAGGAACTATATAGCTTTGCAGAAAAAATTATGTAACCCAAAATAGCTCATATGGACAACTAATCAAATAATTTTTAAGTTTTATATTATTGCAGATTATAAATATAATTATTTAATCATTTTAGTATACATTGGCAACCCCAGTTGGCTTGACATAATCTGAAACAAATAATCATGATCAACTACAGATAATCGTAATGTCGTACATATATATGTACTGCTGCACATGCAATATTCAAATCAATACAATATAACGTAGCATAAAAATGACAATGAAACTGAAAAGTCCCATGAATCGTTGAACATGAAAGTGCATTGCATAAGAAGTCTATTCTGTATGTACCTCGTTTGTGGTATAAATGACATTGCAACTTGCATTAGTCACTATTTAGTGACTTAGATAACAAATGTAAGAATATAGCGTAAATTCGCTCCATAGTCTTGTTTACAATAATTGCACCACTGGAAGTATCGTCAGACGTAGTAGACAGCGTTGTACTTTCTCGGGCGTGCCCTGTGCTATCGATATTCGATAACTCATCGTTTAAGGATAACGCAATAAGTTTTTATTATAAATAAAATGCCTGTGAAAATATCTTGGCCAATTATAGGAGCTATTATCCATCCAAATATTGGAGGATGGGCTGGAGCGTGTATTACCAGAAAAAATATCAAACCTTGGTATGAGGTAACTAACTTGATTAATCTTTAAAAGTATCAATGGGAATTCAGTAGGTAACATAACACTTTTAAAATCTGAATCTGAATCTACATTTGAAATTAACTTGAAAATACTATAAACAAAATAATGTATCTTTGTATTGGTATTTCATAGTCATTAAAAAGACCCTCTTGGACTCCTCCAAATTGGGTATTTGGTCCAGTGTGGACAACCATTTATTGTACAATAGGATATTCTTCATATTTAGTATGGAGAGATGGTGGTGGTTTTAGAGAAGCAATAATACCACTTTCTATTTATGGAACTAATTTAATACTAAATTGGTCTTGGACACCACTGTTCTTTGGATTACACAACATAAAATGGGTATTTTATTAGGAATAAACATGCTACTCTATCTGAATCATAATCCTAATTGTATTTTTAATATTATAGGCTTTATATGAAATCACATTATTATGGGGAAGCACCGTAGCAATGGGTATTTCATTTTACAACGTGAATCCAATTGCTGGCTATTTAATTCTCCCATACTTAGTATGGAATTCTTTTGCTACAGCATTGAACTATGAAATTTACAGGAATAATAAACCAAATATAGAGACAATTACAGATGGAAAGAAGGAATAATATGTAATGATATTTTTGTAGCAAAAAAACATTGATGTATATTAATAGATAATACTTCGTACTTTTAATCTGGTTCCAATTATTGTACCACCATCATTTAAGAAATGAGCTTTGCACTGAATGCTCAATGCATATTAGTATACACATGTTTATTGTTTGATATGAAATAAAGGTTAGTCAATCAACCATACGTACATTACAATGTATATATATATTATATATATAACATAATATATATATTATATATATCATTAATAAATCATATAAAGAAACTTGTAAAGAACCACCGTCGTACTCTTTCATGGAATAATCTACCCTATTCTGTGTAGATCTAACAAACCTTACTATATATGTTATCTTATTTTTCTACAATGCCATCTTTGTAGCGCGATCATGATGATCAATGAATCAACAGTTTTTATACGGAATAGGGCAGAATATCTTACAGAAAGGAAGTATCGAGTATGGTATGGATTTGGGCGGGTCGTTGCACTTTGCCGCGATGTTTCACAAGCGCTATGTAGGATCAGTTGCATAAATGTATCCTTGTTGTTGAAGTACGTATAAACGTTTTTCAACAGCATCTTTATCTGAAAAAGAAAAAGATACTTATAGCATTTCAATTTGAAACACTTTTAAATTACCAAAAACATTGGAACGAAGAATAGCGCATTTGTTAAATAAAATTAAATTACATTTAATAAGGAGAGCCCTATCTTGACTGTGACTGACATGCTGTGATAATGAGTGTAACAATATCTGTGCCGAGTGATATCGCTGAAAACATTCTGCAGGATTGCCAAACAATTCGTCAAGTGCTGCCGATTGACACTGTTAAAAAAGATTTATGCATGAATAGACATGTACATGTTTTCGATATACGAAAATCGCAACATTTATATACCATTTGGATAGCATGATTATATAGAATTTTGTCCGCAGTAGCTCCTGTTTGATGAAGAAGTCCAGCGCTATTGAGCTGTTTACATTCTGTGAGGCACGTTCTGAACTTTTCGTTCATTGTATTCACAACTGCAATATAATAACAGTAATAACGTCATAAATAATAATTAATAAATATAACAATGATTACAAAGAAACAAATTTTTACCTTCTTTTACACTGGCAGTTGGCTGCAATCTACCAGCCTTGAGTTGTTGCGTCGCAAGACTTAATCCAGAACTTAGCCACTGAAGGGCTCTAACGAGTAAGATTACTTGTTCAGCTCTTCTTCTTGTTGCAGCATTACTTGCTTGTTCGATACCACCTAAAGGTGCACCCAAAGGTCCAGCTCTCGTTCTGGCTACTTCACATACACATTCACATAATGCAACAACAAAGTTTAACTTTGCTAATATTTCGTTGTGTTCTCGTTCCAAAAGCGTTTCTTCCGGAAGTTCAGGTGCAATGAATGTCAATGGACGTTCATCCATTATCGTAGGATTTACTTCTGGGAGAAGATTTTGGAAACTACCTGCTTCTGTAAATTTCATCAACAGTAAAACTATTTTTCAAAAATGATAAAAATGGTTTAAAAATTATAAAAAAAGATAAAGTACCAGATATTTCAGGAAGAGTAACAGCTCTTGTACCAAAAGGAATAACAGGTGAATGCCTTAACGTGTTATTATTATCTTGAAATGCTCTTGATGTAGGAGAACCTAACACTGCTAACGGCCCTGTTAATAGTGGCGAAGATGCACTATTATTGCCAGTTGAGCGTCGTAACGGTGACGTCCCGCTAGAAGTATGCGAATGCCTTGCAACAGGACTAACTTGCCATGTAGTTGGCGGTGGAGGCGTCTCGCTTAATCTGAAGATTATTACACAGTTGAATAATATGTATGATTTGCGCAAACTACACTTACATACCTTCTACTAGGTGGTGTACCAATGACAAACTGAACACTAGGTGGACTAAGGGAGCCAATATCAGGAGCATGACTTCTATGAGTATCCACACTGCGCTTCATACTGATAGGTTGAGAGCGAGGAACAACACTACCTCCGGATCTTGTGTTAGTAGAAGGAGATGATGGTTGCGTAATGCTTCTTTGAGATGGAACGGGAATTGGTTCCGAAATAGGAAGAAAACATGGTCGCGGTGGACTTACTGCTTCTCTACTCGTTTGTTTAACGTACCTAATTAATTTAAAATAGAATAATATCGCAAGTTTAATAAATAATATGTAGAATAATTTACTTACTTCACTTGTTGCGTATTAGGATTATTGTCTGTGTCACTACTGAGATCACTTGGCACAAGTACAAAGTCATCTTCAGGACTAGAACACGGACTTGTTGTTTCTGGTTCTGATCTTGCAGCAACTGTAGCTCGTTCCTGAATTACTAATGTTCCTGGAGAAGCAGGAAGTTCAGCTGGAACTGGACTTGGGCTTTCCCTAGTTCCTTGAAGAAAAGCATGTCCAAAAAATTCATCGAACGGCATACGATCTCTAGCATTCCTTCTCAAGAGACCCATTAAAAGATCAGATAATTCAGGAGAAGTTCCAGCTGGAATTCTGTAATAAAAACGATCAAAACAAACAAAACAATTAATAAGAATTACTAACTGACTAAAGGTATCTGCTTGTTATAAATGCAAATACATGTACATATATTATAAACAATAACATACTTAGGTCCTAAATTGGCATTCTTTTCATAGAAGAGTTTTAAAGCATGTGGTGTGTGAGCCTGAAACGGTGCTTTCCCAGTAAGACACTGAAAGACTATTGTTCCTAAAGACCACAGATCAGCTTTTGCATCGTACTGAAGTGACATTATGACTTCTGGTGCCATGTACATTGGTGACCCACATAATGTTGCAGCCATGACACCATCTTGTAAGAACCTAGCAAAACCAAAATCCGCTGAAACACAGAAAAACAATCTTTAGATGTATACTTTAATTTTTAATTTTAAAAGAAGTACATATATTATACTTTTTCTCTGAAATGTAAAAATAAGAATTTATTACTATTAAATACACCTACCAATTTTTAATGTTATTTGATGTGGCTGTGGGCAAGCTTTGCCACAATTATGACTAAGTAGAATGTTTTGTGGCTTAAGATCTCTATGAATTACACCTTTGGCATGCAATGCTTTCATTGCACCTGCTAACTGCTTCAAAAACACCCTGATAGTATCTTCAGAAAGAGTGCCTTTTGCTAATAAAAGCAGTGTAAAAGGAAATAATAAAATGAGTTCAAATGATTTTTAACATTCGCAAATGTTCTAAGACATTTCTTCAAAAAAAGAAAAACATACCACTTAAATAATCAGCTAAGTCCCCTCCATTACAATATTCCATAACCAGGAAGACATTATGATTAGATTCCTAAATAATGATTTACAAGCATATTAAATCATTAATGTTGTCATATAATTTTTATATAAAGCGTGTGTAATAAGCATTATATTAGTTCACTAACCTTGCAATCCAATAATGCAACAACATTTTCATGATGTAATTCTGTTAGTTCCTAAAATAATAATGTTTTAGTCAACAACCAAAATCAATAAACAGCTGTTATTAGAACAGAAAAGAAAAACATTACAAATGTTTCTTCGATGATAAAAATTAATTATAATGATTCATTATTAGAAAAATGATTATTACTTTCAAACTCTGAAATATTTTTATATTGAATTATGTATTTTAATATCAATTGGTGAAATATAAAACAGTATGATATTTTAAACAAATTACACACAACAAAAATCATACTATTTCGTCAACTAAATAAAAACATCTTTAAATTAAAAACCAAGTGAAAACAATGAATATGTTACGCTCACTGTTTTTCTTCAATTGCAAATACAGAGGTAAAAATCTATTACATTGACAAACCTTTAGTATCTTGATTTCTTTTCCAAGTAAATTCTGCGATTTTGCCAAACTTTTTTTCGTGATACTTTTGATTGCCACTACGAAATTTGGTTTCTACAAAAAAATATATATACATTAGCAGAATAATCGATCAAAATTGAACAATTTTTTGCCGCTTTAAATCAACGATTATATTACTGATCCAGAAAAACAGACTCACTTTACGATGTCTGCCTCTGTAGACTACAGCGAATGCGCCGTGGCCTATCAGATCTTTTGTGTTGTATTCGTAATCGCCAACGACTTCCATTCTTGATTTCTCAATGATCGAGAAGATTTCACCGATTTTTAACAAGCAAGGTCAAAAGTTTACAAACATAGCATGACAAGCAAGGAAGATGCATTGCCTGCGGAGAGATCGATACGTGTTGTAAGAAAAGTTGCGGCTCGTAGTATTTTCGCGTACGATCGTTCTCCAACAACGTCTTCAACAATGAGAACAATGTTGGTCTACATTTTGTCCACCTTCGTGAATGCACATTGATCATTAACTCGTATCACTACACTGATGGCAGAGTATACTTGAAAATACAAAACACGAAAGAGCACACACCGTGTTACATACTTGCCGTCGCAAAATGTCAGACGATCGCGCACAGAGGTCGTGTTAATGTTCGTAGATGCATGCAGGAACGGCGCGAAGATTTACGGGCCCACTACCAAAATTTTATAATGTTAAAAGTATGTATCAGAATTGAAAATAAATTTGACTGCTAAACAACACTTCGTAACAAAGAAATGTTAAAAACTGAAACAAGTGAAATATGTAAAATTTAGATAGATGAAATATGTGAAATTTTGTAATGACAAAATAAAAAAGCATATCACAGAAATTGTTAGTCCGATTTTGTTTCCAAAACTAAAATACATCAGTTTGATCTATACGCTATGGGTTGTTAGATAACCGACCACTTGCTAATTGTTCGTTCGCTAATAAACCGATTGCTAACGATACTCGTGTTGTGGACCCGCTTTACACCAGCCCTGCATATATGATTAAAAAATGGTTCGTTATGAATCCTAATACAATATGCAAATTTCTACGAAGCACTACTTTCAATGATTTCGCGCTATTTTATCTTTGTATCTTTACAACTACCATGAACTGTTTTTATAAATCAAGATATTATATACTTTAGAATACATTATCCAAGCTTTTATATGCTGAATCAAATAGCTCAATGTTATCTTCATATATTTACAGTCCGTAAATTTGATTATAATGAATACTTATATATACACAACTCAAAGGCTTCCCGATCGATTTCAAAATCGAATGATGAGGAAATTTCAATGGAAGTCAGGAATAAAATGAATACATTCTCTGTTGATGACGCATGGCAGCAATACTTTGTCTTTATTGTCATTGAAAAGTTTCACAATATTAAAGTTTTATCATTGTTATCAAAGTATTATGGTATAATTATATTTAAAAAATTTTATTCGACGCAGATACATATCTTGTAGAAAATTATTATATTTAAAAATATAAAATGTAATATAAAAATTATATATAAGCTTGATTTGTTTAACGAAGAATCAGTACTAATAATTAGGTACAAAATTTAAATGTCGCGCTTGAGATTGCTAATTCATCATCGGTGCGCCCTCTTGAACATAACATTCATAAATCGAATTTGCTTTCTGTGAAGGAAATTTGTGTTATTATAGATTTGTTATTACGAATACTATTTTTATATACTGCAATTAATAATACCTTAAGAAGTTTCTATGTTATTACTTAGTATTAATAAAGTTATAATAAATGCGAATACATAACCTTATACTTGAAGTATTGTTATTATAACCAAATTACAATTAAATATTTGTATGATATGGAAGTGTGTGTATTTTTTTATGCTTGTAAATGACTTTATTAATTAGAATGTAAATATAATAAATCGTTGAAATTTTATTTCAGACTCAAAGAATGTTCGGCATATTTAAGTAATTATGAAGTTTTGGACATTTTGCAAAATATAAAGGCAAATAAAAAACAAAAAATGAAACAAAACCAATTGGCAACCATAACTTATCAGACTGTAAGGTACTTGGAAGAAACACCATGTAAAGGTCAATCTCCAGAAAAAATTAAAAATTTTCTGAAAGCAGTGGAATCTTTTAAGTTGACAAAATGTGAAAAACTAACTCTTTTAAATTTGTGTCCCAAAACACCTCTTGAAATACAATTGGTAATTTATCATGAAAACAAAAAAATCATCTAGTATAATTGAAACTAAACATATATTGTTTTCATAGATTGTAGAGGATAGTGAAGACCGTTTAACAGAAGAAGAAGTACTATCTTTACTTCAAGTGATAACAAATTATTTAGGTGAAGATCAGTTGGATGATAAAGATGGGTAATATGTTTTTGCATTTTAACTTTCCACCTTTTAAAACATTTTATATGTTAGGTACATCTTGTATGTTATGTACATTTTATTTGTAATAAACGGAAATAAAAATAGTATAATATTAAATACAATTATGCAAGTAAAATTGGCCCATTATCTCTTTTGATCCCCAAGATCATCTATAGAATCCTCATCAATCTGAAAATGCATTAAATGCTGAAATTCATACACTTTTCATTCATATTTGAAATAAAACCATTACCCTTACCTGTGGCCACTTATCCGGTATTACTTCAAATAGATCATCCTTGACATCTCCTTGTATAACTATTTCATCATCTCCTGTTACACTTGAGCCACATGCAAAGTAATAACCAAAAAACTTGGCAGCTACTTTTAAATCTATGTCTGGAAATTAAAAGTGATTTGGTCATTTAATAACTGTGATGATTTTTCAACAGAAATATATTACACATAAAAAAGTATTTTAAGTTACCAAAAGTACTAAGACCAGTTACAACTGTGACTGATTTCTTTTTGCCTCTAGGTGCTCTAGATACAGTCACTAATTTTGGAACATCTTCTTTCTTCTTTGTTTTGAGCATACCTTTACCACCACGTTTTTGACGTTTCTTTTCATCTTCACCTCCACCTGCCTCTGTAGTATTATCTTCTACTGCTTGGTAAAACATGAAATCATTTTAGGATGATACTTTCACTTAAATAAAAATTGATTCTACAAATGAACACAATGATTACCCAATTTAACTTTCTCAAATTCTGTTGGTAAGTTTCTTTCTAGCCACTGCTTACATTTTTCATATTCTGGATAATATTCACAGTACTGTGACATAAATGGTGATCATAATTTTCAAAGAATTCGTACATTAACGCGTTGTCATAATATACAAATTTCAAATATCGACTGTCTGATGTTTCCTTACCTCGATAGGAAGAGAACAATTTCCACAATATTGTACTTGAATCGGATAAGTGACGTTAGGATCTGGCCCCAAACGCAGATCTGTCTGTTCTTCTGCCGACATTCTTAAACACTTAACCTTACTTTCGTGAAATGTACTAAAATTTCACTGATTAAAATGTTATTATTTCTTTAAATCATTAAATTTACTTCTGTTCCCTTTCGTAAAGTATATCTTTATCGCTGGGCAAGATTTCTTGAAATTAAAATACAAATTGTAACCTATTCAAATGAATATCGCATACGTTAGAAATTTGCAATCTAGTAATTTTATTCCATTCCGGTTTGAATTTCCCTAGCTGACAACTGCTACCAATCAGAAAGTATTTCGATGAGAACCAACTTCAGTCTTAACCATATCATCCGGTACATCGGCAACAACCAATCACAAATACTTGCCGGATAATAAGGGGTGGATCACGTGAGTAGGAAAACCATTCAGAGAATTCTATGCGATAAGCCGCTAGACAGATCGACCAATGGCGTACATTAGACTTTGTACTTCGTCGAAACGCACGTGCGGTAGAGAAAAGCGGCTCAGGGTGTTTCAGAGTTAGTGTGCTTCCTCGTGAAAGGAGTCAGGACGTCGTTTTGGGAATAAATTCTGAGAGGTGTGCGTGAGGTGTTATCGTGGTTAATAAAGAGCTGCCGAATTAAACGGGAGCCGTGTGAAAATTTGAAAAGGTTTATCAGAGAAAGATGACATTGGGCGCACAGATCGAGGCCTCCACGGAAAATGGGAGTACGAAAATCCCTCTGCTGAACGGCAACGAGGATCAAACAACTACTGGTTAGTAATAGATAGTGATTTTATAAAATCAACGCCTCTCGATTGTCGTTTATTTGAAGATTAAACTGTACGGATGATCACGTTATGTAATGATTTGGTCAAGATACCGTGTGTTTCGTTCATTTTAACGTGTGCCTTAACGATGCCGCCTCGGCTAAAAGCCGGGCCCTCGATGTTATGTAACGCGCGAATTGCGCGAATCTATGTACCGTAGGGTCATGTGAGCCACGAGTTTTAGAAGAGGGAAACTAGCAGAAGACACGATTCCAGTGTAGCAGACGAATTTTCACACTTATTATACTAATTATCATGAGTAATCGTGCTTTCTACCTTGTCGATATTCTTACCGCTCGTTTTGCAAATAATTGCACAAGAACGCATGAACGTATCATTTGACGTGCTCTTCTGAAGACGCATCTACGAATCGATTCAAATACGTTTTCGATTTAACTTTTTTCTTTCCTTGTTTCGTATATTTTGTATTATTGCGGTTAGTTTTATTTATACTTCAAAGAAATTAATTTCTTGGAGACACGTGATCAGTTTCTCGTCAGATGATGAAATCGTCTGTTACCTGTCCTGTTTAACTATTCATTTTATTACATCTTCCTAATGTTTTAACGTGTAGTTTATCTTATAATTGTTATTAGACATTTATTTAATTTGTTATTTTTTTCTCTAGTGTGATTGACTTCGACGTGTGTTAGTAATACTTTGTGTAAATTTTATAAATATCTATATCTACATAGTACAATATTTAGTTATCAAATTGATAAGTAAATCGAAACAGCATTTATTGCATTAATGGTTTTTGTGTATGAAGTTATGTAGTACAAGTCCACAGTTGATGCATAGTATCTGCTAACAATAAGAATTATGTAAATTATATTGCACAATCGTGTGTCTGTTTTGTGTAAAACGATAGTTGTGATTGAGTGTTGTTTCTTCAGTCCCTTTTTTCAAAGTCCAACGGTCGGAAGGAAACAAGTATCTTAATTCGAACGAAACCTAATCAATTATCGAGGGATGTGTTATTCATCACCGTCAATTCACACTTAGTCCATTCCGTTAATTCCATCTTCTTTTAGAGCTTCGTTTCCTTCAAAAAACCAAATGGAAGAAAACACGTGCATGTTAATGACCCCGCGCGCATAGGCGTATCTACGGAGCACATGAAAATGATAAAAACAGTTCTAAACAAAAGTAACCATATCGATTAACGAGATATTTATTACTGAAATTTGGTGCGTGTTTACGAGTGACTACTGTTGACGTAATTTCGCAATTTGCAACATATCATTATTTTTGTAATATTCATTACAATAATTGTAGTTAATCGTTTAACGATTAGATAGTACGTTACAAACAAAAAAGGGTTGAATTTCAACGATCAAAGAAGAATAACATTTTATAAAAGGGTCAAGTGTTTCGAAAGAACAATAGTAAATTATAAAGAATTACCGATAACAGAGGTTATCGGTCTTCCTTTTAATGTTATGCCGTATTCCTTGTGCTTCACTTCGATGCTAGTGTATTAAAAATTATATTTTACTGTAATATCTGGTTTATTTTTTAAATAAAATTCGATTTCGATACAAATTCGATATTATAAACGTGTATACTGTAAAAGCTAAATGTATGTGTGTATTATAAATTCCTAAATCTCTATATCCCTATGTCACTAGATACCCATAATATCCCCCAATATTTCTAGATATATCTAATACAAATAAATACCTGGATATAATTAAGTTCCTCATATCCTTAGATTTCCACCATTTTGTAATTTCTCTAGACATTCCAAGATTTCTTTAAATATCCCTAGATCCATGTGTTCTATATCTTACATAATAAAGATTGAACTAGTTTGCCTTGAAATAATATCTACTTTGAAGGACCGTGTACTAGCGTACTAACACGTGTTCGCCATGGAAGTTTGTCGAGTTTTCTTACAGAAGGCGTGAGAGTGATAATGAAAGAAATAATTAACATGGCACCCTACTGATACATTTGAGTGAACCATATGTGATGTATTATATTCGATATTTGTCTTTCGATTCGAATAATTTAGTTGAACGTAGTCATATATTTAAAGGAAACGATTTCGGTACAACCATCGACTTCGATACTCGAAAACATCTTCACAGTACATATCGATCTCAAAAAGAACAATTAGTAAAACGGATGTGTTGAAGATTCGAAATTGATTCAGATTAATTCAAGTACTTCCTATACTCGAAATTTGTATGTTTACATTAAAAGTACTCAACTTATCGTCGATAAATGTTTTATCTTCTATAAATTTTGCTTCGTTGTTCATTTATTACTAGATGAAATTTAAGGAAACGTTTTAAAATTAGATAACGATAAACTTAAATATATTTTAGATTTCATCTTTTTTCATGCTTTTTTATCTGCTTATCTTCAAAGTATTTTCTGTGTTCCTTTTCTTATCTCTCTTCCCGATAACGCTTACTAGTTAGAAATGGAGGACAGCTTTATATCGAAATAGTAAAATGTATGGACAAGAATGCGATAAGACAATTGCTCACAAGATAAGTCACTGTAAATTATGACACTCATATGTATGAATATAGATATTCGTAGAGTAAAAGAGTTTAGCTGTAATTATAACAAACCTTGTATGTACTGTACATAGTCGAGTAACGTTACTTTTATGCAGTATATTATTTTCAACCAAATTCTAACACAGAAAAAGATATTTTCCGATTAATCTGTTCGTGTTTGTTATCATTAAACTTTCCGGTTTTCTTTTGATCTTGATGTAGCTGGGTGAACGTCCTCTAAATCAATAAAATTTTGATTGGCGACAACTCGATGATCAATCGATAATCGATAGCAAACAGCGAGGCGGCAAAGACTGTTGTAATCAAAACATCGTGTCCAGTATAAATATTCTATTAGATTGCTAACTAGATTTGTGACAACCAAAGCAATTTTTACGGAAGTAAGCACCATTGAAAACTCTCTAGATGACAATATCTCCAAAGTATCACTAGATTTCTAATTATATACTGAACTACATTCAAATGTGTAGTGTGTCGGTAATAAATAAACAATAAAAGTTTATAATAATAAAGAGCTATATTATCATAGATAAGTATATTTAGTTTTATTACATTGTTACGGTACTTTGTAAATTATTATAAACAGTTGTACCAAGGTCGTTTAAGATCAAGGTCCCACAGGTGCGAATTGTTTGAAATATGTCCGGACGTTCAACAACCATCGTGATGGAATCACAATGAACACTGATAAACGGCGTGTCAGTTAGATCGTAATTAATAACATAACACAACGAAGATCGACATACGCCAGGAATGGATGTATATTGCAAACATGAGATCGATAAAAATAGTACGGCATTTAAGTGCGTACTATTTACATTGCCGTTTATTTATAAATGCATTGGTGAATGCAACTGGTAGACCTACGGATATCCATAGCCGTATCTAGTCAGAAATGTACCCCATATCTATAAAAAAATTTTTGTTTTCATTTCTTCTTATGCAAATAAGTTGTGAATACTATTAATATCGTTATAAAAAAATTTATTATATCTTATGTAAAGATATCTTCTTTCAGTTTATTTTTTTTATGTTCACTGAAATGAATAAAAGTAATTAAGGAAGTTACTTAATTCGCTGGTTTTCGCTACCACTTGCTAATAAAAGTTGCAATGTATGCTAATAAAAATGTTTGTGCATTTTATTTATTCATATTATTCAGTAACCTACTTTCATTGATACAATTGTTCGAATGTAATTTAACTATTTTATAAGCTTCGGTAACTTGATTAATTTTTCTGTTTAGATATGAAAGAAACCGCGGAGGAGACCGGAAGTGCGAGTACGGCCGCGAAGAACGTCGTCGAGAAGGGTGAAGTTGAAGCCACGAAAGAGAAAGGTGATGAGAACGAGAAAGAAACAGAAAAGGAAAAGGACGAAGAAAAAGACAAGAAGAACGATAAGAGTGAGAAAGATGCAGATGGTGATAAGGATGGCAGTGAGCAAGAAATTGTTTTCATTCAAGACATGGGATTCACTGTTAAAATTGTCAGTCCGGGTGCGGAACCTTTTGACATACAAGTTTCCAGTATGGAATTGGTTCAGGTAAATATACCCTCTCTACCTATTTTTTCAACATTTATACAGTAACTAAACATTTATAACGTTTTACAGGAAATCCATCAGTTACTCATGGATCGCGAGGACACATGCCACCGAACATGTTTCTCCCTTCAGCTGGATGGCAACACTTTGGATAACTTTGCCGAACTGAAGAACATCGAGGGCCTAAAAGAAGGATCGGTGATTAAAGTCGTGGAGGAACCATATACAATGCGAGAAGCTCGTATACATGTACGACACGTCCGTGACTTGTTGAAGTCCGTAGATCCTGCGGACGCGTATAATGGCGTCGAGTGTGCCAGTTTATCGTTCCTAAATGTTGTCACGAATGGTGACATCCTCGAGAAGAAAAAAAGCAGGGCAGATTCGGTCGATTGTACTCCGCCCGATTACATTATACCCGGGTGTAAAGATAGACCGTTACTACCTCTACAACCGCAAGCCAAAGAGCAGAAATGTCCTCCTTGTTTAAAAGTAAGATGTCATAATTCCGAATCACTTTCTGTTGTTTCTTCAGTTATTTTGATGGTAATCACATCTTGCAGGTTTTAACAACGTCCGGATGGAATCCACCACCCGGCCATAGAAAGTTGCATGGTGATTTGTTATACTTACACGTTGTAACATTAGAGGACAAACAGTACTATTTAACTGCGTGTGCCAGAGGGTTCTTCGTCAATCAGTCGACAAAAGAAGTGTTTAATCCGAAACCAGCGACCCCGAGTCATCTGTGTCACAGCTTAATTGAACTACTGAACCAGCTCAGCCCGGCATTTAAACGGGGTTTCGCTGCCATGCAAAGGCGAAGAACACAAAGACATCCTTTTGAAAGAGTGGCTACACCGTATCAGCTGTACGCGTGGTCCGCACCTCAGATCGAGCATACGATCGATGCAATACGCGCTGAAGATAGTACGCTTCATTTTATTAGATAATACGGGTTCTTAATCTTTTTGATATGATAGCGGCTAAATCGTCAACTTCGATCGATTGACTATGAATAGCGCTTTGTAGTTGAACCCTATCATACTTAAAGGGTTAATAACATATTAGGTACTTAACAGTTACCTTAATTACGTACGAATCTGGTAAAATAATATGTGACATACTTTTTTTATAGCTTTCTCATCTAAGTTAGGCTATGAAGAGCATATACCAGGACAAACTCGAGATTGGAACGAAGAGTTGCAAACAACTAGAGAGCTTCCTCGTAAAAACTTGCCAGAAAGATTGCTTAGAGAACGTGCTATCTTTAAAGTATGTTCAGTTTTATTTATTCATAGTAAATATAGAAGTGTCGCTTTTGACAAATACATATCTTTGTTAAAGTACGTCGACCTATGTCAAATAGTGATAATATTAAAATGCTTGTTTATTATTAATTAATTAATTGATTAGGTTCATAGCGATTTCGTTGCCGCTGCAACTCGGGGAGCGGTGGCGGTGATAGACGGTAACGTGATGGCAATAAATCCAGGAGAAGAGGCAAAAATGCAGATGTTTATATGGAACAATATCTTCTTTTCGCTGGGATTCGACGTGAGAGATCATTATAAAGAGCTTGGCGGTGATGCTGCTGCATTTGTCGCGCCTCGTAACGATCTTCAGGGTGTGCGAGTGTATGCTGCCGTTGACTTACCCGGTCTTTATACACTTGGTACCGTTGTGATCGATTACAGGTTTGTACAAAATTAGGTACACGCATTCCTTTCGTCACATTATTTGTACGACGTGGATATTTTGTAGCGGATCATTTGTACATACTTGTTCGATGTTCAGTATTCTATCGCAACTTACATCTCGATTGAATGGATGTTAAGTTTTCATGGTAATCACTCGTATTCCTCTGCATAGAGGATACCGTGTCACCGCTCAGTCAATCATCCCAGGAATCTTGGAACGCGAGCAGGAGCAATCTGTTGTTTATGGTTCTATAGATTTTGGAAAAACGGTTCTCACGCATCCTAAGTACCTAGAACTGGTTAGTTATTTATCATAATCCTGTTGTTAATATTAAGAAGCATTTTTCAAGTGTTTCATAATGTATTGTATTTCATAGTTGAACAAAACTGGTCAACAATTAAAAATTCTTCCTCATAAAGTTATCAACGACGCTGGTGAAGAAGTTGAACTTTGCAGTAGCGTAGAATGCAAAGGTATCATTGGAAATGATTCGCGACATTATGTGCTGGATTTGTTACGAACTTTTCCTCCTGATGTCAATTTCCTCAAATGTACGTAATTTATTTAATAACTTAGCTGAAGTTAATTTTTACTATTACATTTTCATACGTTTGTTTCTTTACAGTGGAAGGCGTTGAGCTGAGCAAAGAAGCTAAAGCTTTAGGTTTTCCAATTGAGCACAAGCATAAATTAGCTTGTCTTCGTCAGGAATTAATAGACTCATTTGTTGAGGCCAGATACGTTCAATTCATTAAGCATGCCGCTGTTCATCTTCAACAACTAACGTCTGCAAGAAGAGTGCAGAAGGAAAAAGAGACTACTATTAAGGCAAGAATAAATAACTAATCTAAACATGGCATATGAATTATATAACATTATAATTTAATGTTTAATTAATTATAGGAAGGTAAAAAAGAAGAGTCGAATGCCGTTGCAGTGGATAGTAATAAAGAAGATTCTACTCATGCACTGATCGAGACGGATGAAGCCAAAAAAATTGTGGAAAGTATTACTGATTCTATTACTGGTGGAGAAAAGCAAGAATGTACGTAATACGAAAATACATATTTGATAATCATTTTACTTTAAGATTGATTTATTAATCCATTAATTTCAGTGGAGGAAAGTACGAAAGAAATAGTTAGACGAGCTGCCGCAGCTGTTGGAAGTTTGCGAGAAGCTGAATTCGATGTTAGGTTCAATCCAGATGTATTTTCGCCGGGTGTAAAACATCCAGATCCAAATGGCCCTGCTTTAAAAAAACAGAAACAGTTGGTACAAGATGCTGCTGACTTTTTATTAACGGTGCAAATTCACACTTTCGTAAGTTTTGTTGAAGAATATCTATTTTGAGAAATAAAAAAATTTAAGTGAATAAGAAATTTACATGAAGTTTTTTTGTTACAGATTCGAGAATGTTTAGATCACACAGCTGCCGCAATGGACGGTAGTACATTAGTAGAAGCTTTGCATGGTAAAGGTATCAATGTACGATATCTGGGTAAACTAGCAGTCATGTTAGCTACGGTTCCACAATTACAATATCTTAAACGTATTGTTGTTTCTGAACTTATTTTACGCTCAGCGAAACACATCTTCACATTTTACATGCAGGTATATTAAATGAGTTAAAGCGATTTCTAATATGATTGCGAACAAAAAAATTTAATATTAATTTTTTAGGGTACAGAATTAATGAGCTTGTCTGCGGCAATTAGTCATTTCCTGAATTGCCTATTGTCTTCAGCACAAATCATTCATCCGCAACAGAATCTAGAAGAGGTATGATTAATACTGACACAGGATATTAGTTCGTTTCGTTCGTGGAGTTCATTTAATTATCAAGATTAAAAATATCAATGGATAAAATAATTTTCTAGGTAAAAACTTATATAACTACTAATTTCAGCTTCAGAGTAAAACTGCCAAACGACGCAATAAAAGGAAAGGTAGAAATAATGGTCCACAACAGTCTGAGGTGGAGTGGGCTTCCTTAACACCTAAATCTCTTTGGCAGCAAATTAAAGGAGATCTGAAAAGTTACTACGACTGGGAAACACCGTGCCCAGAATCATTGGACGCTACGATAGATCATTTTCATCTTCAAAAAATCTCTTTACTACGTAATTTCTGTATAAAGACTGGTATTCAGATATTGTTACGCGAATACAACTTTGAAAATAAGAATAGAGCCACGTTCTTTGAGGAAGATATCCTCAGTATATTCCCTGTTGTTAAACATATCAATCCTAGAGTAAGTAAAAGACGAATCGTGTGTAAAATTTTATTATTTTATATGTGATCTGTATTCAATCGATTTCTTTAGGCAAGCGACGCATACAATTTCTATACAACGGGTCAAAGTAAAATTCAGCAAGGTTATTTAAAAGATGGCTATGAATTGATCAGTGAGGCACTGAATCTCTTGAATAACGTTTATGGTGCTATGCATCCTGAAATTGCACAGTGTCTCAGAATGCTTGCACGATTAAATTACATAATGGGTGACCATACAGAAGCTCTTGCTACTCAACAAAAAGCGGTACTCATGTCGGAAAGAGTTAATGGAATTGATCACCCATATACTATTACAGAATATGTAAGTCTTAAACGCAGTGACTGTTTAAATTAATAATCTGTGTTACGTTAACATTATTGTTTATATGTGTTTAAAGATTCACCTGGCTTTATACTCTTTCGCCAATGGTCAAGTTTCCGTGTCATTAAGGCTACTCTATAGGGCACGCTATTTGGCATTATTAGTTTGTGGCGAAGATCATCCAGAAGTAGCACTTCTTGATGTAAGTTTTAATATGAAGGGTTCGATAAGAAAAATCTGACAATATTTAATAAATTTTCTATGTTTATTTAGAGTAATATATCGCTGATACTTCACGCCGTTGGGGAATACGAATTATCGCTCCGCTTTTTGGAGCATGCTTTAGCTTTAAATCTTCGATATCACGGCCCAAGATCTCTAAAAGTAGCAGTTTCTTATCATCTTGTTGCTAGAACTCAGTCTTGTATGGGTGATTTCCGTGCAGCTTTAAATAACGAGAAGGAAACATACGCTATATACAAGCAACAATTAGGCGAAGATCATGAAAAGACCAAAGAAAGTAGCGACTGTTTGAGACATCTTACGCAACAGGCCGTCGTTTTACAAAAGAAGATGAACGAAATTTATACTGGCAAATCGGGCGTTAGTCTGCCACCAATTCAAGTGCAACCACCTAGTATGGGATCTGTGTTGGATATGTTGAATGTAATCAATGGTATTCTGTTTGTTCAAATCAGCCAGCAGGACATCGAGAATTTCAAAGCAGAAATGGAAAAGCGACAGAAGGAACAGACACCTGACGGTGAAATCAAGGCTCTTCAAAATGGAACCAAGAAGAACGAGAAGGAAAATAAGAAAGAAGAAAAAGAGAACAATAAAAAGGAAGAAAAAGAAAATAGAAAAAATGAGAAGGAGTCTAAGAAGGAAGATAAAGAGAACAAAAAAGATGAAAAGGAGAATAAAAAAATAGAAAAGAAAGTTGAAGCGCAAAAAATAGAGTTGAAAAAATTGGACGAGAATAAAACAACATTAGAACCAGTGGCTGCAGAAAGCTGAGCTCATTCTAAGTCGCTAATGATGATACTTAGTAATTTTTTTTCTGAATCCTAGTCTCTTTCCTGCCCGCGTCCAGTCTTTGCAGGAGTAACGCGCGTATGGTATAATATAATTGATTGGGATAAAACGAAAATTGCGGTGATCGTTCAATGAGGATCGTTATTTGATGTATCGGTATATACATTTATAAAGTGCTATCAGAATTGAACTTTTACAGTGTGGCGATTATTGACAATATCAGCGTGAAATTTTCGGGAGCTAGATTTTTTAACGCTCGCGATGCTCGAGTACGATACGCCAAGTTAAAAAAAATTAATTTGACTGATTTCCGACTGCATATATATTCACTAATATATAACTAATTCTTCACTTGTGTAAATAATTCTGAACAAAGAAATTCATTGCCTTAGCACATGTGCTTATCAGAACGTTGTTCATAGTTTGATCAAATACAGACTTAATGAACCACTACGAACAAAACGGGGTATGTTTTCAAACAATTAAAGAGAGTTGTGTCGCCTTTATCCATGGACCTAGGAATTCATTCTTACACCCATGCCTGTATCATTACATTTTTCTAAAGGCTCAATTAATTGTATATCGTAATGATGAAAATTCTGAATATTACACCTTCCATCGATCAACGAGATAATTAGCGTTTGTTCCAGCGTATTGCACAAGTGTTGCTAAATTCAAACGGAACGCAAAGTACACCGTCAAGCATTGTAGACTTCCTAAGGAATAATGACAATGTAGGGGAAATAAGTCCCACCATGTGTTGATTTACGATTGACAAATTTTAAGTTTTCATATTTCATCCCCGCAGAACTGAAGGCAAGCGATAGAACGTTCTTCCCTTCACACTTGTCCTTAGCCGAAGGAAGCCTACATTGCACTAGAGAGTACCGATAAAGTTATAATGATCATGAAATGAATAATGGATTTTATTATTATAGATTATAAGTCAATTGTTTTTCTTTTTTTTTTTGTACCTCTTTAATAGGCTATTTTGCTAGTACACATTTGAGATCATTGTTTGTGCCATTTAAACATTACTGTCAGTTTCCCATTCTAGTTGCCATCATTAAATCCAGTGCATACTAAACGAACAAAAATATTTATTATTTTAAATGAAATATAAAGTTAGTTCTGATGGATTCAATATAAGTATAATTGAGGAAATCTACTGATACCAAATAATTAGGAGCCTTTAAACCATAAGTCATTTATAAACAGTATCAAAGTACATAGAGGTTGACATGTAATAAATATGTTATATTTGAAAAGAATAACTGATGCAACTTTATTGATCATTTTTATACCATTTATATCACGTAAAAAATTTTCTTTCATCTGTCATTGTTTTATCGTTATTGCATATAAAGATTTGAATCTGAAAAAAGATTTGGATTTTATATATGCTTCATTACTGTTTATATGAAAGAAAAGGTATTTTATAAAAAAGATGATGGCAGCAATAGCATGGTATAATGACAGATGCGTTGTTGCATTCACGAACATAAATAAAGTTATCAGGAGCAGCTCATTAGTCAACATATTATAGAAGTAGCGTCAATTTACTAATTACTACTAGAAAAGTACCGCAGTTAGTCTTAGAATTATACAAATGAAAATCTACTGTTACCGAAATGTTAGTCTACATTTTTTTGTTGTTTAATCATACAATTTTATTAAATAGCATTTGTTGTATAAAGGATGTTAAGAATAACATCCCACATCAAGATTTTATCAGATTATTATAATCACTGAGTTTGAAACATCAGTGATTTTTTGACGTTCATTTTAATACAAATTTACTTTATGTTCTGATTATTACATGTATAACAATAAGAGTAATAATGAAAGACGAATAAGTGGAAATGCTGTGTAGTTTCTGTTTAACAAGTTTATACTTTACAACATAAAAGATCATATTGCACTTGTTAGCCAAAATGTATGATAAAAAAAATGCTAGTTAATAAGGACTATTGGTTATAAATAAAGTTAAATACTTGATTTACATATATTTTACCTGTTACATAATTTCATAAAACTGAGATAAAATAAACCATTTTATACAGAACATGAATTAACAATCTAGACAGACTCCACACTGTTTTCAAACGATTTTTCGTCTTCTTGCGAACTAACATCAGTTTCACATTTATTACTCGTATTACTTTTCAATCGTTTTCTTTTCTTCTTATTAGGCCTAGCACTTTGCTTTTGAAAATACTCTCTTAGATTTAATTTGTTTATTAAGTACTGTTTAAATGTTTCTAAAGCATTTTTTCCACCTGTTCCTTTTTCAAAGATCATTGATATTTTTATATCATCATTTTCAGATTCTTCTTGTTCTATTAATTCAACGAAAAAACTACATATTAACAAAGGTTCTCTAGCAACAGATTTTTCTTTTGATGGTGGAATTGTTTTTTGTTCAATTGTATCTTTTGAATTATTTTCAATTAATTTCTCTGACAAATGTTCTGTATGATTTGATGTACTTCTATTTTCACTGTCATGATCTTTAAATTGGTCCAATTGTCTTTGAGCTAATCGACGCTTTCTTCGTGCATAAGACCACGTATCGTTTTCCGCAACCAACTGACACGACCAACCATTGAAATCATCAATGGGTAAATTCAATTCCTTAATTTGCACCTATTTGTAAAACGTGATATATGTTAAGATGCCATAAATTTAGTACAGTATAGAATAAATAAAAATTTTACATTTAACTCTTCCAATGTTTCTTCTAAAAAGTTGATTGCATTATCAAAGGAAGGAAATTTATGTTGCATAGGAAATTGTAATTCGGTTGGACGTTTTTCTCTTAATAACTTTGCAATGTAATCTCCACTTTTTCTTATGACAGGTGCATTTGTCAAGTCAATAACATCTTTTGGCAGAAATGTCCATGCCAATCCCCATCTATCAGAAAGTATATTAATAAATATTTACATACGAACAAGTAGAATAATTATAAAAAGTATGTTCACCGTTTTGTGTGACCCTGACAGAATTCTGTCCATGTTGCATTCTCTATATTTTTTCTTTTTAAAAATTTCAACAAAAATAATAAATTGCTTCTTCTTCCAAACATTGTGGTATAAACTTTAACTTTTTCTTTTATCTCTATACTTTCATTAATCATTTGCATCACAAATAGTCTCTCACCACCTTGAACTGTAAGTTCATTGTTATTTCCAGTTGGAGCATTTCTTGGTGGCAAACGTTTCTGTACTTTTTCTGAGTCTTCCTCTATTTTAAAAAAAGGTGGATTACACATTGTGAAATGATATACTTTATCTTCATTAATTACACCTTTCAAAATTGTTTGTTCATCTACTTTTAGTACTGTAAAAAATATGTTATTTTAAATTTCTGATAGAAATTAAATAAATCATATAGCTTACTGCATTAGTGTCAGCTTGTTCATAGACTTATGATTATAATTTACTTTTTATTAAATGTTGCAATTTATTATTTTCAATCTGTTGAATAGCTGTTTGTATGCTAGTCTCATCAACTTCTGTCCCAATCATTTGATTTCCATACATTTTTGCAAATAGCAAAGGATAAATGGAAACTGAACCTGTACCTACAAAACCAATGATTATTCTAATTTATGGAATTATTTAGATAGAATAAAACTTTATATTAAAATTGTATTATTTCTTATACCAATATCTATTCCTACTACTTCTTCCATGTCATTAAAAGAAGAATGTTTCATTAAATCTTCTATCCATAAAATATAATTCAAACGTAATGGTAAAGTAGGTATTAATTTCTTTGGTGGTATTTTTACTTCTAGATTAAAATCATGCTTTAATAATACTTCTGTAAGTACTCGTAAACAATCCTCATTCTTGAAGTCAATCTTTACTTTGCCTGTTAGATCCTAAAAATTAAATAAACAAATTACATCCTGTATTCCATTTGAATAGTATTAATATTAATATTAATCTTACTATATTTGCAACATTACGAAATTCAGGATACAACAATGCAAGTAATTTGAAATCCGGTACTTTTTTATACTTATTCTTTGGATGCATAAATTTTCTTAACGACATTTTAAGAATTTATTTCTTTATGATACAATAACTTTCACATATATTTTTAAATGTAGTAAACTGTATAAAACATATACATTTATTTATACGTTCATTATAAAAATGTTGTCTCTTGTATTAGTTGATGTAAAGATAACCACAATGCCTTAAAGAAAACAAATTCTGTATTATGTACTGGTTGTTAAAAGTAGTAATTTGTTACAATTTTTTTGAAACATTTTGTACAGATTAAAAAATAATCAGTTATATTTTTAATGTTACGACGATATTAAAATATCTGTTGTCTTGTCAAATTCGTAAATACGACAAACATACAGCTACAAAAATGTATACATTCATATATTTACATAACACAACGTGTGTATCGTATAATTTCAAATGTTACTGAAAGTAACTAAGTAATTGTTTTTTATAAATTGTTTAGGTAGCGGTAACAGTGGTATTATATTTTGTTCCACGGAAGATCGTACTCATTAAATGACGAATTTTCATTCATTTTGCGCAAATCAGCTTGCATTGGTTTAACTATGCCTTGTAACCAAGGGTAACGCGCATGTGCTCTTATAATGTTCGTGGCGCCAAATGTGTATAACCAGTGATTTTCTATTTTGTGTACTCCTTGCAGTATCGTTTCTTCTCCCCAATCATATATTTTTGCTCACCATGTATATGACTGGCGGAGAGAGAAGCACGCAGTAGTGAAACAACAGTAAGCAGAGCAGAGTCTGCTGAAGTTAACCAAGTTGCGCAAATTGAGTACGGTCTTTCGTGGAGCTGAGTTGAACTAGTAACTTTACACGGGAGTTATTAACTGTAAATATACAACAATTTTACGATTATACTTTTACAATTAACATTCGTTAATGGCTTCTATTATAGATTTGCTCAATTATTTATGTTTTAGGAGAATTTTAAATACGTAATGAAAGAAAAAAGAATTTAAGGCATGGTGCTGTATTAATGTAAACGTTGGTAACAGTGCGCGTGCTCAAATCTATCGTGATGACAATTTTAAGTGGTGACAGCCGCGTATATGCCTCGTTGCCCTCGTAGCAGCGTTTTAACCGACTTTGCTAACACGAAACATAATTTTTTGACTCGGTGCGTGATTCATTCCGCGGACAACATATGGAATATTAATCTTACCAAAGGTACGTGGTACACAGTACTTTTAGTACATTTCAGAAACAGATGGTTGTCGGTGAATCGTTTCGCCTGACAGTTTGTTAATATGGACAAGTGCCACTCTGACAGTTTTCCTTTTTCGTCGTCATATTGTTAGGCACCTGTTACTGATATTTCATTTCGCGTTCTTTTCACTCGATTTTCAATATTTTGTAGACCACTTATACTTAATTTGTATGAGAAATGGTATGGTATTATTAAAATTGCACGTGAAATAAGATTATAAGAATGATGTCACATTGAAAATATTTATTTCTTCTGCTATGAACTCTATTTTGAAAAGATAGTGTTTTGTTTAAAACATTGTTTTGTAATTTAAACTTGCAAAGTAAGATAATGTTCCTGACGTTTCATTTAAAGGAATATATAAAATAAATGAAGAAAATTTGATTGATAAACAGAAAAAATTAAGCAAGTTGTTTCTCTTATCTCATATTATATTTAATTCAACGTTGAAATGCATTACATTCAATTCAACGTTAAGTTTCAAACACTATGGAGCTTATTCTGTAATACTATTTTATAAATCTATAGTTATATAATTTCTTTTAACTTTATACATGGCAACATGAACTTTTGCTATCTGCATTACGATTGACTAATACACAGTTGTTATTATTATACCATGATAAGTGAATTTTATGGTTTAATCTTTAACATGAACCATTTAGAGAAAAACAATTTCTAACAACTTCACATATTTACATTTTAAATATAATAATTCGTATTAACTTAAGTAAATAATACTATTCTAAAATATGTTTTCTTGTTTCTATCAAAATCAAAATAAACATACAATTACAGAAAATCAAACATTACAAAAGAATATTTAACACCTTACTGTTTTTCTCATCCATTGAATTTATCGTAGTCACAAGCTAGTTCAAAATAGCAACGTTAAAATTTAAACATAATATATACTGAAAAGAAATGTTTCTCATGAAAGTTCACTGTACACACAATACGTTTCCCTGGAAATGCTGTTACTGAAATCCTACAAAACATTTTTTGAATCATCGCGTTCTACGACACGCGAATGTGCAACCCATTAGATTCTTTTTCACGTTTCTCGATCGCTTTGTTTCCACATGCATTTGGACGATTGCTTTCCACGTATATGCGCGATATACGTAGTCGCGTGTTGTGCAACTGTAACGGTAAAGCGATCCGTCATTCATTCTTACGGAATAATTAAAAAGCATATTGTTGTGAGCAATACGCGTATGCGCACATACCGACGAAGAGTCCAGAAACGAACGTAACGAATTTTCTTCCGACAAAACGTGCGTCGGTGAAAGGTGTCTAATTTTCGTGATAATTGTTTTCCGCTGAATAGACAACACTCATTCTTTTTTATAACTCGGTTAAAAACGTCTAATCGGATTTAATATTTTTCTATTTCATGACGTAACGGATAGCACTTTTTTAGGATTATAAAAATTTTGTTAAAGATGCTGTATTATCGACCGAGTCACGAGTAATGTTCGTACACTATAGAGTCTCACTATATGGCCCTGAATGAGGTTGTAAAAGGAAAAATTAATATCAAATGCAACTTTTATGCATCCCTTGATGGCTCGCCGTCAAACATTTAGAAATTTGAAAATTTAAAACTCGAAATTTTTTAGCTCGTAAAATCGAGGAGCTTATAAACTCAAATGTAGAAAAATGCTATTTCTGAATCACGTGAACGTACGCACGGTGTAACATAGAACGTAGGAGCGTCTAAAAGCGATCAATTTTATGTTATTTATAGTCTAGTGTATACCATGAATGAACCGTACGTTTTCCTTCTTAAATTAATTAGAGTTTCAGTCGCAAAATGAAGTGTAATAAATGAAGAGTACTCCTATCTCTCTACATTCTCTTGCCGACGAACAAACAAATATTTACCGATTAACGAGTTAGACTTTTCTGTTTGCCTTCGTCGAATACATTATTTGCCGCTAGATTCGTTTTATTTAACGTAGATACAAACGTGCATAGTAGAATCTGCAAGTCAAATATTTTTATATCATAAAAAGTATACGTTAATAATAAATCTTCAAGTAACATTTTTGTGAATGAAAATAAATCGAACCGAAATTGAATTAAATTATTTATAAACAATAATTGTACGTTTAAACAGTTCAATTGATTCGTGTACTCTATTTGAGAGAATATTTCATGCCAAATCGACGTTTCATATAATTTCACGTAGAATTTTATCGTCTCTTCCGTATTGAATCAAGTCGCTGTTTCTTCTTTTTTCCTTTATTTACTCGTTACGAAAGAGAGAGGTCGGTGCGCATGTGGAGCATCCTGGCCTGCGCGGGCTCCATCGACCCTCAAACCATTTCGTACTTTCCAGTACGTGTTTGGCGATCCTACTGTGCCAGTTAATCGAAAAAGGGAACGATAAAATCAACATCGATTGGCCAATTAACCGGTGGCCCTTGTCGAACGAGACTCTTCGCGATCGATCGTTATCCGTGATATCGTGACGCTCTCGTTATCCGTGGCATCGAGATAAGTGACAGTTCCGATCATCCACACCTGTATCCTACCTTAAATCGTTTGTGGTTTAACTTACTTTAATCGTATCATCTTGTACGCTCGACTGCAACGTAGGCTTCCTGGGATAAGAACGAGCGTAGGCGACAGTCTCCCACTTGTCTTCGATTTTTAGGAGAATTAATATGTAAACTTAAATATTTCCATATTTCCAAATTTTTTCATTTCTGAATTTCCTAATTTGCAAAATCCTAACGATCCCACATTTTATCTCGATAATAATCGACGCAGTTATTCGTGATTGTTATAATAAAATTATTGTATTGTATTTCGAGATGTGAGTTGTTCAACGACTTCGAGTTATCGAGAGGCTGGAAATATCGAGTGGTACTGATCTAGCATCGATATTTATAACAATCGCATCATCTCAACGTACAGGATGCAGTTTCAAATTGTACATGTATTTCTTACACACACTGTACTGTGTAGTATATTCGATTATTTGCATGGGTCACCTATGACCCACGATATCCATCAAACTTTCCACTCGGCGAAATAAACGTTTTTGCAATTTAATGTTGGCGTGAAATGATGGAAAGTGAAATGAAAGCGTGAAGAATTTAATGCAATTACGATTCGTCTGTGATTGAACTTCGTAGACCAATTTTCAACCCTAAAATATCAACACAATCTTTCTGCATACAAACACTAACCAATTAATTTTATATAATACACAAATTCAAAAAGTACCGAAAAATTAAATATCCCTAGAATTAAATTTTTAACAATAAAAATAAAATCAGTGTAATAAAAATTAGAAATAAGATTTTGCAAGATCCGTTCAACTTTCGAGAACAAACTAATTGATCTAAAAAGTAGTTTCGTTGAAGTAGGTAGAATAACTTGAAGCAACTGAAGTGGAATTTATTATCTTCTGAATAATTATGACTATCTAAAAATGTGCAATTGGTATACTACGGAGTAACACTGTTATCGCACACACGCTTAACGAACAATTTTCAGGTGCAGAACTGTTTTCAGTAATGTTTTTCTAGTTACGGTATTATTCAAACAATTACAACAAGTTATACTTTCGTACCTATTTTCGAAATAAACTTTAGAAAAATACCAATTTCTTTACCAGACGAATAGAACGTTTTATGTACAACGAAGGACACACCTGGTGCGTCATATGTTATATTAATATAAGACGCACAAAGTGTGTCATATATTAATATAAGACGCACATGGTGCGCCATAGGTTATATTAATATAAGACGCATAAGGTGTGTCATCTATTAATACAAGACGCATAAGGTGTGTCATATGTTATATTAATACAGGACGCACAAGGTGTGTCATCTATTAATACAAGACGCACAAGGTGTGTCATATATTAATATAAGATGCACATGATGCGTCATAGGTTTTATTAATACAAGACGCAAAAGGTGTGTCATGCATTAATACAAGACGTACAAGGTCATTGCTCTCGAACAGCTTAACACCTTCGCATCTCATATTTTCGACACAGTTCACCAAGTCTGCAATTAGAAATAATAAAAATATTACAAGAATTACGAAAGAAAAGCACATTTAAAAATGTTAAAAGAAACAGTAGGTACAGTTGTAAGGTATTAATCGCGAATCCAGGACGTGTGAGCTAGGAGTAATACAATGTATCAAACGTTTGGGCACACCTGTGATTTGTACGCGTTGTAGGTGAATACGAAATGAAGAAACACCGTGGGTGGGAATCATGGATGGGTGATCGCGCGTTTTTAACCTGGTTATCTTTTGTGTTTAGAATTGAAAAGTTGCCATAGAACTCTGTTCGACCTGTTCAGTGTGAAATTTTCGAATGAAACATTTTTTTAAATAGAATCTCGCAGGATATAATTTCCTGGAGATTTGAATTAAAATATTCTATCGTCCGCATTTCTATTGCGTAGGAATTATCCAACGTTATCGTTCGCACTTTCGTGCACAGATGTTCGTACATGCCACGAATTCCATGGTAATTCAGGCTACGAAGAAACATAAATTATTCTATCCGGTAGCTGGTGTATTTTGTACGTATTTGCTATAAGCGTGTTCGAGCGTTGCATTCGTCCGCTAATCCATTCACACGCGCTAATTGTTCGGGCTTTCTTCTTCGTCTTCTGTTACTTGCCAGTGCAATTGAAACGGATATTCTCGGGTAATCCACAGGGTTTCTAACTTCACCAATTAATTTGTGAAACAAATAAAGTGTCAAGCTTCTCGAACGGAGAATGAAAAAACTCGACGGATTTTATATTCGAGAAGGACGTTCGACTATCGTGCACAGAACAGTTCCACAAATGATCGTTGAAAAATACTATTCCGCGACGAGTGTTTCGCGGAAAAATCGAAAGTGATTACCGAGTTATTTGAAAAAATACGGTGTTCTCGATCGAAAGTGTATACCTTTCGCGACAGAAGAACGAAAACGTTTCTCGATGGTTCTTCGTGGTTTGCTGGCACCAGCGGCGGCGCGATGGACACGAAATAAAACCACAAGAAGGTAGAATGAACACGTTAATTGACACTCACGAGATCGTATCTCAACAGACAAATACAAAAATTAGGCCAGACAAACGAATGTTTGTCTTTGCGTTGCCATACATTCTATGCCTGTGTGATATATCTACAACCGTTAGTTGCGCGATAATTATAATTTTTATACTACAAAAAGTCGTCTAAAAATTTGTCCGCCTCAGTAAAAATAAAAATTATATATTTTTTTCGTCTCTCTATTTGACTGCATGAAAGGGTTAAAAAGGGGAGAGAATATTTCTGTAACGAGCGTTCATCGAAGCCTTTCGGGAAATTCATCAGGGAGGATTGAAAAGCCCGCGGTTCAAATCCATTTAATTGGCGATTCGATGATCTCTCGTTGCCTCTAGAATCCATTAATTACGTTGATACTTCGGTGAACGACGCCAGGTTAACGCATCGGCTCGATTTACAGTCGACAAAGTCGGTTCGTTAGTGAAATTTTTGATTTCTCGCATTAATTATGTTCGCCGACAAGGTGAGAGGAGTGTACAGCTTATCGTCGATCTTTTTTACCGCGTAAAAATATTAAATAATGAAATAGAAAATGTTCGTTATCGACCGCTTTCTTGTTCCTGGTCATTTTTTACGTGTACTAGTTTCGAAAATTTGACGCTACAAGTTGCGTTAAAAAACCTCGTTTGTATTCGTAAAATTAGTCATGATTGATGATTAAGTGATTCTTAGAAAAATCAGCGAGTTAATAATAATGTTACTCATCAATGAATAAGTAATCTGAATACATGATTGGTTTGTAGGGGTCAAGAGAAGCAGGCAGCCGGGCAATTAGGATTATCACGTTATGGACCGCAGGTGATGAGCGTGTTGTGTTTATGCACCACTGTACACCAGACCGCTCAAACCAACAGTCAGGCCAGCAAGATACTTCCGAGCTCGCCGCCGATTCAATCCGAGGAAGAGAGGATAAACTCGTCGCAGGAAATACCCACCGACGAGCTGGCTCTATTAGCTAAGCTGGAGGAAGCCAATAGGTGAATTATAACTGACCAGAACCGTTTGCTCATCGTCCCTGCATGTGCTAACCATCCGTGCTTTAGACATGTCGATGTTTTACACTGTAACTTATCAGCGTTCAAAATAATTGTAGAATCTTTATTACTACTTAACATCTTTATATCTACTTAATTTTCTAGTATTATAAATTTTGGTACAACATAATCTGTAACGTAGTCTTCATGGATTACGAGTTGGTTCTTCAAATACAAGATTCTGGAATTATTTTGAGCAATCTGTCTTTATATTCAGTCGGCATTTGCTTGTATTTCTGTACATGCGTCACAGAGTTAGGTAAAATCAATAGATGCGAAGAAAAACGATAAAGTAGTATATGCGCTCTAATGTATCAGATGTATCATGCTATCATTAAAAAACTTTTGTAACACTGAAGTGTGTGTCTCAATAGATTGATATGATTGATAACAGGCTTATTGAATCGGATGCAAAGTCGTTGAACTCGCTTCATAGTAATCACAGTAGGAAAGGTTCTGACACATCTCAGGTGTCGGTGGCGTCGGGGGGTAGCGGAGGGAATGGCGATGCTGCACCCCGACGCCACAATTCAGCCGATGGTGAAGAGAATACTTGGACCCTGTGGGGTCACATCGTCGCTGATTGGGATTATCATTGGAAGAAGAGGAAAGAATTCGTCAAAGAATTAGTACGTCAAGGAATACCTCATCACTTTAGGTAATAAACCCTTTTTGAGAATTGTATTAGGTTAATTGGTAATATCGGAAATCTGGGAGGCATGACCAAGTACTAATTTCTAAATTTCTAACAAAAAGACTGATTTATATTCATCATTGCAGAGGTATTGTTTGGCAGCTACTAAGTGGTGCTCACGACTCTCCTGTGAAAAAGCAATTCGCTGAGTATATCAAAGCCACGTCCGCGTGCGAAAGGATAATTAGGAGGGACATAGCCAGAACCTATCCTGAGCATGATTTCTTTAAGGAAAAAGACGGACTTGGCCAGGAGAGTCTGTTTAACGTTATGAAAGCGTATAGTCTTCATGATCGTGAAGTGGGATACTGTCAAGGTTCGGGATTTATTGTAGGATTACTCCTTATGCAGGTACACTTTAATGTTTGAGGCGAAAAAGAGAGTGAGAGAGTGAGAAAGAGAATAGAAAGAATAAAATGAATACTTGAGGACTGGATGTAGGTCATCGCGTTTCAATTGATCAGAATTAAATAGGTGTCAATTTGTTGTTGCAGCAAATGCCGGAGGAGGAAGCTTTCGCTGTACTGGTAGCGCTTATGCAAGAGTATCGTTTGCGAGACATGTTCAAGCCGAGTATGGCTGAATTAGGGGTGTGCATGTATCAGCTAGAACATTTAGTTGCTGACACGCATCCCGAATTACACGCTCATTTCACGGCACAAGGTTTTCACACGTCGATGTACGCATCGTCTTGGTTTCTTACGCTTTTTACCACGGCGCTCAGCCTGCCGCTGGCCTGCCGCATTTTTGACGTGTTTCTGTCTGAAGGCATGGAGATTATTTTCAAGGTTGCGTTGGCCATGTTGCATTTAGGCAAGGAAGATTTGTTAAGCTTGGACATGGAAGGCATGTTGAAGGTAATTTCTCAACACCAGCTTTTGTATCTTAAATCTATACAGTGACTCGCATTAACATTTGGACATTTTGGTTATACGCGTTGTCACTATATACAGCGTGTAATGACTTGGACCAACTGTGTTTTTAAAATGATTAAAGATAGAATATTAATGCGAGTCAGAGACAGAAGGACGAAGACAGAGGAAAACCTGTGTAATTTAATATGTGTATGTTTCTAGAAGACCCACTTGTAGTTTCCTTTCACTAATATTGACCAGTCCTTTCGCCTGTAGTTCTTCCAGAAACAACTACCTGGAAGAGCCGAGAAAGACCCTGATGTCCTCATGAATCTTGCTTATGGTATGAAAATAAATCCGAAAAGAATGAAGAAGTTGGAGAAAGATTATACCGTATTAAAAATGAAAGAACAGGAGGAGATGGTTGAGCTTCGTAGGCTCAGAGCGGAGAATAGGTTACTTAGGCAAAGAACTGAACTTCTTGAAGCTGAATCCGCGGAACTGGCGGATAGATTGGTCAGGGGTCAAGTTTCTCGCGCAGAAGAGGAGGAAACTGCTTTCGTTGTACAAAGGGAATTAGCAGCCCTTCGGCATACGCATCTCGAGACCAGTCATCAACTCGAGCAGGCTCATGAGGAGTTGAGATCTTTGTCGCTTCTGTTAGAGGAGAACGTGACGTCGAAGCAATCTTCCTTAGAAGAAATTCTATCGAAACAAGAGGCGTTGTCGCAGAAGGAGGAAATGATACAGTGCTTGCAAGAGGAATTGGTAAGGGTTCGGTTGCACGAGGCAGAAAATGATGCAACGATAAGGGAACTCAGAGCGAGAATACAGGAATTGGAGCAAGATAAAAAGACCTTACGTGAATCGACGCCAGATAATTCTGTTGCTCATTTGCAAGAAGAATTGATCGCTGTGAAGCTTAGAGAAGCTGAGGCTAATCTTTCCTTAAAGGTAAGAAAAGATAATATCAAGACATGTATTCCCAAATTTCTAAAATACCTTTAGATCCATGTATTCTCAGTTTTAATTAATTATGACATCTGAAAAGATTCATTTAACGAATTTTATTAGGATCTTCGGCAGAGAGTGATGGAGTTAAGTTCTGCCTGGCAGAGGCATTTGCAAGAGCACCGTTCAGCCCAGAATCAACCTGCTAGCGATTCTACGCCAAAGAAGCTATTGTTCTGGGAGAACAGGGGCCATGAGGTGCAAAAATTCGAGGAAGACTTAATGACAACCAGAATTCGAGAAATGGAAGCTTTGACGGAAGTAAAAGAGCTTAGATTGAAAGTTATGGAACTTGAAACTCAAGTACAGGTAGCCACGAATCAACTCCGTCGGCAGGACGAAGGAGGGAAATTGCTTAAAGATGAATTAGAAGCTGCTTTAACTAGAGAAAAAGAACTTACTGCCAAATTAAGGGAGCAACAACACAAGTATTCTGACCTGGAGTCAAAGATGAAGGACGAAGCTATGATGGCTAGGATACGCGATGCGGAACACGCGCAGCAAGTGGCTGAACTCACCCAGAAAATATCTCTTCTTGAATTAAAAGTATTGACATTTATTTAATAGGATGTAACTATGATCATTTCTGTTTATTTATTCTTGACCTTTTATTGTAGAATGAAGAGATGCACGCGGAAGGTGAACTTAGAAACAATTTAGACGACAGTGAGAGAGTAAGAGAATTGCAAGATAAAGTTGCAGAATTAAAAGCTGAGGTATGTGTAAGTTTCAGATTATATTTATGCTGCATTAATGAAAGCATTGCTTTAAAAATTGCAGTAAGGGGTGATTGGAAAAAATGTTATTAAATGTAGATTAATTTTTATTTTCTTACGAAAAGAAAACAGTCAAATTTGTCTTTGGTTTTTCACCTTTTGCATGACTAAATGAATACATGTAGGACAGTTCTACTATTTTACAAGGTTTAGTGCTAACTCAGAGACAAACATAAAATTATTTTAAATGTTTTGTGAAATAACTTGTAATAGAAAGGAATTTTTCTTTTGAATAAGGTGTGTAAATCTAAAGAAATAATGTGCTACTTTAACAATGAAAGTAAATGGCATAATTAAGAATGCTTTCAATTATGCACAAGTATAATTATTCTTCTAGACGTGTACGATTGTCAATGATAAACATTAAATTACTTCAGTTAAAAGTTGAAATTCATACCTTTGTTTAATCTTTAAAAAGGTAGAAGTAATGATGGTAGATCGTAAAGACGTAGTATTATAACCATTTTATAGTAGTTTAAATTCCAATCGTTATTCAATTTGGTATTTGATTGCAAGGTAGTATATTTCGAAGCTTGTAGAATTACGTAACTATTGAAATTGTCGTATATTTGAAGATAGAAGTAATTCCAGTTGAAATTTCATTATAGGATCTTGATTTGTTATTGCAATTCCTGCATATTCATATGAGTTATAGACACAGAACCACATAAATTCTATACAACTACTGTTGTCATTAATACATACATAGTTTCTTCAATTAATTATTTACAATGATCAGTTACAGTTCCATCGAAGTAATATTTTATAACATATTTAAATTCCCAGATTTCTTTCACAAAGTCGTTAATCTGGATTATCATTTGGAGGAAATAATTTAATTTAGTTGTGAATAGTTTGTATAATCCTTTATATGATTACACATTTATCATAATGCACTCAATATTTTTTTATAACACTGTTTTTTTGTAAAGTGCTAATATATTTATTTCACTGATATATCTTTCATCTTAAAGATCATGTTTTAGGATCTCAACACCGTTTTGGCTATTTTAATACTGCACCGTTAATTCACATGTCACAAAGGATAAACTTTTCAATGTGTTACTAATACATTTTTTTATCAATTACTTTGAATTAACAAGCTAAATATAAAAAAAATGTATATAATATAAGCTATTATTGTTCTGTTTGTTAAGTGTATAAAATTGCATCTGTGGTGATAACATGTAAAATAAGCAAAGATGTGATTTTTGCTTTTGTATTATTGTGATTCACAAAACTATGCACAAATTGCACCTCTTACTGCAATGTATGGCTAATTGTCACGCTAATGAACAATACAAAATTATACGTCATCAAATATTTAGACAAAAATATTTATTAAGAAATAATTGGACATAATTTTAATTCCATCATTTTTTTCTGCCAAAATTTAATGATAGTAACATTTTATCAGATTTTCATACTAATATATCCCATATTTCTATTCTCTGCAATTAATGATTAATTGTTGTAATGGAAACCAAAACACGGTGATCTCACTTATCACATAAACAAATAACATATTCCTACAGAGGTACCTGTACACGTTAAGAATTCATCGAGTTTCATCCATTCAGAGTACTAACATTCCTAATTGTATTTATCTATTTCTAAAAAGATGGTTTACATATCAAAGCTTTGAGGATAGATTGCATTCTCAGCTTGTTATGTCCTTGCTACAATGCAAAGTACAAATAATAAATGTCGATTTGCTTTACATTTAAATTAATCATTGTTATGGTATTCACTCATTTAATGTTATTGTCGCATTCGAACGAACACAGTAATCATTCTTGTTTCAAGTTAAGACGACATTATATCTTTGAGGGCATCATAACAGTATAAGAAAATATTTATCTTTATGTTTTAATATATTGTACATTGAAAATTTGGAATAAAATACTGAATGCATACACTTGATAAAAGTTTCTGTAAACATCTTGCAGTATTTTTAAATGATCATCAAATTTTCAATGTCTTAAACTGTTGTATGTAGCGAACATACTGAAATTATTTTATAATGAATCAAGCTTGCTATTTATTATACTAATTGTGCTTTAAGATCATTATATTAGTTATTGAGAGTTAGCACAGCACGGAGTAACAATTAAAAAATTATAATTGAGAAAATACATACCTTCAAAGATATCATTCATTTGCTTTAATACTTTATATTTCCAAGATGTTAAGCAAAAATGCATTGTAATATCTGCTGTTGAAAAAATGTTATTCAAGTATAATTAGGTGTATTGAAAGATATGATGATGTAGTATTATATGTCCTTGATTGTAATTACTAATGGAATTCTTATTGTGTAAAGGTACCAAACACGAACACAATGAAACTAATGGTCTTGTAAAACTAACCCTCTATTGCTGTGTTATCTCTGTCTCCTTAGTTCCCTACGCCAATCACCAGCCCGGAGACTGAGCCTTGGCGCTGGCTCGAGTAAGTCTTTACCCATCCGTAAGCATTATTTTTTCCATTTCATGTACGTAGCATGACATCAATGTGAATTGTATTAAAGAATTGTATTTCTTCTTTACAGTTTTATACCTACTTTATACGAATAGTCTATTAATAGATACATTTAAGAAATAATTTAAATTCAGAAAAAGAGATTGAATTTCCCTTAACAGTTCAATTATTGCAAATCATTCTAAATTATTATGAAGATCTTCCTATTGTGTATAATTTGTAAATATAATTGTACATAAATGCACCCAGTGTAAAAGTGTTACGGACAGAAACATTCATTGAATTCATTGTCCTCATAAGGAATAATTCATGTAGTACTAGTTGAACTTCATCATTATATTTAACATGCTTTAAGATCTTACTAATTGTGTGCATTATAATCACTGTTCGCATGCATTGTTTTTGCTTTGTTCATTTGTTCCATCACTAATGTAATCAGATTTAATGAATACTGTCAGAGAAAATTTGTCCAAGATCAATCAAGCACAATTAAATAGCAACCAATGTGCATGTTGCTTGGTACAATATTTAGGATGACTTTTCATCTGTGCATTATCATTTAAAGTGATCACTAGCTTCATCACTTTAAAGCAGAAGGATTATAATAGTTTAATTAAGAGATTTCACAATTCTGCAATATAATATTTGCCTGTATAATTGTAATACTGACCTCTCACTTCCTGATACTTTCCAAGACAATATTGTACACAACAGTCTTTAAAGTGAATAGATTAAGAAACAGTGCAAATAAATGTAGTTGCTCCTCAAGTTAAGAAGTAGTGAATCCAAACTAAAAATAATTTTTAGAAAGAAACTTCTAACGCACATTTCTCCTCTACGTGATGACGTACAAGTTATACAATGTTTTGTAGAAATGATTACTCAGAAAATTCATCAACTATTTCTGTATTTTCTATGTGTGTCGCAGGTCATGAGATTAGAAAGTTGGAAACAACATTGGACAGGTAACGGTGGCCAAAATGTGAGAAGCTTTAGTGTCGATACTGAAAGCGAGCTGGACGAACGGGATCTCCGAATTTGTTTACAGGATCATATCAATGCGACTACGCAGAATTCACCAGAGGTATAGAATTCCACGTATACCAGAAATTAGGCAGCTAAGTGTCGTAACATACACACGCATACATACACACAAGTATTTCATTGTCAGAGCAGATGGGACCGTTTTACGTTCGTGATCACGCTTTCGCTGTAGAAAGAACGACGAATACGCACATAGAATATTATAAATCGACAAACACATAGGGATAAATAATTATGTTTTAGGTTTCGTGTAATATCACTATAACTCGTGATGTATTAACAGCATATTAGCGATTAAACTAGGTGTAATCTGGTGATCATTAATAATCTACTTGATCATTCGTTGCAATCAGACTTCATACCGTTTGTAAAACTGCTTTTTAACAATTTTATACATAGGATAACGTCATGCAACGTTTTTTTAAATATCTCTTAATGATTTTATTTAGGATAGGATTCTTAGCTAGATTCATACTGATTTTATCGCAACACTGATTTTTTAAATAACATACTGAAAGTATTGATTTTAAAAATTATTGTTAAATTTTATTTTAAATATTTTAATAATTATTTTATTGAATCTCGACTAACGATTTAATCAATTTTAATCAGCCCATATATAGAATCGAAGTCTGTTTGCAATCGAACAAATGTTAGATTAATTATTAACAATGTGACGCATAAACGACACGTTTTTATACGTATTACGCATTCTGTGTATTTTTTGTAATTTAAACCAAATGTAATTCCATTTAAGGAATTGTATATTGAATAGATACTCGTCGCCGGTCAAATCGACGAGTTAGATTTGTCTTTTTCAATTATGAAATAAAAAGATGACGAGGAAGAAAACGTAGAAGAGAATACGTGTGTCTATATGCATAGACACGCGGCGACGTACATACATTAGAGTCTCGTTAACGAAATTATATAGTAGCAAGTTGATCCGGTTAGCGTTCCACGTAAAAAGAAACTTAACCAACAAAGAAGAAAACGGAAAAGATTGAAAGAAAACGCTACGCCTCAAGAATTCCATGGTATTTCTCGTTGCATAACAAAGAACTTGCGTGCAAAATCTATGATATTTATTATTTAAAAAATAATAAATAAGGAAACATGGGCGTAGCCTAATTATTAGTCAGGGGTAGTTTATTTTAAAGTAAATATCTGTAGTATGAAGAAGGACATTTGTTATATCCAGATGCATTCTGTAACTTCTACATTCCTGTATTCCTAAATTCTTTGTATCCCAATATCCATTAATTCCTGCATGCTAATATCTTTAGATGTTCACATACTAAGACCTCAATATTCCTTATACCCAAATCTTCCTACATCCTCCTTAGATCCTAGTATGCTTGGACCCCCCTAGATATCCACAAATGCATTTCAAATTTATTTTTAAAATAGATCTTCCACCGTAGGATCAACCCCTTGTCCCAGCTACGCCCATGTAAAGAGGAGAAATAATTTTAATTTAAAAGAGAAGAGGAATTTGTAATTCCGTTCTATTAGCAACTGTTGAACGATCGAGATTGAAGCGGTGTTCTTTAAATAAATTTACTAATTGCAGATTATTGAATGCGAAAGTGAAACCGAACAAGATAATCGGCAGTACTTGTAAAACTTAATAGACCGGATAGCTCGTTCCTTAATAGTGACTTCCTAGGGACGTGATAATTACATACTTCCAACGTAAGTAGTTGCGCCGATCCAATCATCATTGCTTTCTTCTCGATTTCGTTCCTTTTTTTTTATTTTCGTTTTTTCAGAGCTTACTCGAACCCTTAACGATCCATCCCCTAAAATGTGCTTTGAGAATTCCAAATACATAGCCAGGATGTGTATTTACTTTTGAGATAAAAGGGAACAGCTGGTTGATAAAAAAGGATGCGTTCTTGTTTACTTTCGTTCGACCAGCGCAATTAACGTGTTATCAGCGGGTCAAAGAATTTGTCTTTTGTATGCAAACAATTGCAGCTTTGCTAACGTAATCTCTTTTTAACGGGTATACGATAAAATCCAACTGTACAGTTCAGTCTTGTTATATAGCCCTCGAGGTTGTAGAAGCTGGAAAGGGTCGTGTGAAAGGCTTAGGAAAATCCGTAAATTTAAAAAAATCGCTCAAAAGGTAGTATAACAAGACTGTATTGTACCCAAATAAGCGATCTCTCTAGAGAAAATAGATAATTAGAGATTTTGCGCTGCAAGTAGATAAATTATATGTTGCTACGTTAGATAACTTTTTTTTAATGTGAATTTTAAGCCACGCTCAAGCAGCCTTTTTGTATTAAAAAAAGGTTCTCTTCGATAAGTACTTAGAAGTTTGCACATAATGTATAGTTTGAAAGGCTCATATTGTTCATTAGAAGATAGCAAATGAGATTCTGAAGAAGCAATATCTAATTACTTAAACATTTGTAAATGTGCGTTTAACGTACACTGCAATTAAATGCTATCGCGGGAGTATTAATTTTAAATGTATTTTAGGTGTACAATTTTATTTGTAGATAATAATTATATATGAAATTTAGTGAAATGTATCTTATACGATTGTGCGTTTTATGATATCAATTTACATGCGAGTAGCGATAATTAATTTAACGTTGGAACGTTAAGGGTTAAATCGCGTAACACAGTTTTGTCGCTTTGGCCTAAATTATATCGATTTTTCTTTCTTTATTTTATTGTACACAATTGGCTAAACCGAGGAGAACTCGTTTTCGCACTAAACACCAAATTGTAATGGTGGAACAAAAATTATCCGCTTTCGTGCACGTTTGATCGAGAAAACAGCATGAACACTTTTGCAAAATTGTAGAATCGGTTCAGATCACCAGATCATTTTTGTATGCTGTACAAGAAGTTTAGGCGATTAGATTTTCACATTCCCAACACGAATGATCTTCGTTGTAACGATTGTTTCCATTTTAATGTAAAAGTCTGACTTCAACTTGCTTTCTGAATGAAACATTATTTTTGCGCCGATTGTCGATTTTCTTCGCCCAGACATTGGATTGCTGCGTTCCTTAAATACAATTAATGTATTGTACTTAATATTTAAGAAATTCTGTTGATCAAAATATTTGTTTTCAAGCATGTGATAAAATTAGAATATTGGATTCATTGGCGTAGCTAGGTAGGGACCAGGGTGCATTTGCCCTCCAAAATGTAGACTGATCTCTTATCAGAATTTATTGGAATAAGTACAGTACTGAGTATGGTAAGCTTTCTTATTCAAATCAGCTTTATATAAAAAATTTCCCATGTCCGTCAATTTTTGTTTCATTGGTGGTGTCTTCTTTTCTTGTATAATGACTTTACCATACACAGTACTGTATCTGAAGTATAGGGTATTTGGTTCACCCTAAACGAAAGTCCTAGTTACGCTACTGGTTAAACGCTAAACGGTTGAACTAGAGATATACGCTAAATATACCACGCATTAAAATCTCCAGTTTGAAATGCATAGCATTTGCTATAGTATATATACTCTTTCATTTTCTATACATTTTTTAAAATTGTAACACAAAATGTGAGTAGGATTTACTACGAGAATCATGTAAACGATCTAGTAGCAATTCAATGTTGTTTAGCGAATTAGTCGACGAGAGAATCAGTAAATGCTTTTACACGTTTTCACGAGAATAAAAGAAATAAAAATTTGAAAACGTCGTTGCGTAGCAAAATGATTGAAATTTGCGTAATATAGAGGCGCGCTAATACAACGCTTACTGGCACAAGCTCAATATTTACCATTAAGAATGGTTCAGTTTCTAATCTTTTCAGATATTGCGTCAGCGGTCGAAACAAATATTTCTGTTCCCTTTATAAATAAGGAGAATAATAAAATAATTTCGCTACTGCCCGATATATACTGGATTTAAGCGCAATGGCTGCAACTAAAACGATTCAAAGTCTGTCCGTTAATTTTTAATAAATTATTCTATGTTGCTTTAGAAAATTTACGTGTGCAAAATAAACAAAAATTTGTCGCAAACTATTGCGCTTAATTTAAGGTTATTTTTAATAATCAACGATGCGCAAGGCAAATAAAAAAAGAGGTAATAATTAATTGTATTTAACTGCAACTATGTATTGATAATCAATAGTAGCACCTCTATTATAAAACTGATTTGCATTGGATGCAAGCATTTATTTTGAACTGCTCCTAAATTCGTATTTCAATATCAGTATTTATAAAAGTTGTTTCTTAGGCGAATTTTAATTTTAAGAATCATGTCCTACGTATTTTCAGTATTTCTTATTTAAATTTCGTTAAAAAGGAAAATACAATATTCGATTGTAACAATATTCGTAATTGCAATGTTTCGTGTATCGTAATCGAAATTCAAATTTTCGCGCGAATTTATTAGCCGTTTTAAAACTCCTGCGTTCGATAGTATCGTTCGATTACTATCATTCGATCACTTGACAGATGTCCGCCAACTTCAGTCGAGAGAAAAAGGCGGCACTTGAATGTATGGAATACTTTTCTTGACGTAAAAATAATTAACGATTGAATCATATTGTCACATTATTTGCTCTTTTATACATGTTTCTATTTTACAAAACTACTGTCAATCTTTTTAAGGTACGCCCATTTTACATTTTACGAAGCAACGACGTTGTTTAATCGTAGTTCGTGGTATTTCGTTGAAAATCATTTCGGAGTAATTACACGTATTGTATGCATTTATTGTATTTGAAAGACAAGCGGTCATAAACGAAGCATTTGTCAGTAATTTTTTTCCAAATGTTGTATACGAGATTTTCTGACGGATAACGCGCACACTATGGACAACGATGTGAATTTATCACGAACATTGTGGGGAATATTATAACATCAGGAGTAAATAAATTTTTATTCACTTTTAAGGCCTCTGTCTTTTTCCCGCGTGAACGCATACGAGAAGAATCGGCAAACAGGTTAATAACATACTGTATTTCACTAAACCTAAAAGGCTCATTGTTTTCCATTTTTTTAGTACGCCATAAAATGTTTTATAATATGTAAGAAATAGAAAAACACAATATAAAAGATACAATGCATTTATTAATCCTTTTCATTTCGTGAATAATTAAGGTTACTTCGAATTTCAGTTCTTATTCATTCGATTATTCGTTTGCGCCTCGAAACGAGGGGACCTGGCCTCCTTATGGCTATTGATAGCTCCCAAGCGAAGCGGTACCCCACAGGAAAGGTATAATCCCGTGTACAGGCTTAACAATCCCAGACCGATATTCCAAAGGAGCGAGAAGGATAAAAAGGGAGCAATAGCGTGAAAGAAAGCGAGACATCAGCGAACGCAAAGACAAAAGCAGAGAACAGGAACCATCGGGTGATTCGGGAAGAGTTTGCGTCCATGGGCGGCGCAACTTGTGGCAGGTAGTTTTCCAAATGGAGTCGATCGGCCAGAGAGTAGAAAAAAGTAATCTGTGAAAAGGGGTTCGTTGTTACGCCGGTCTGGTGCAACGTTGCCAGTTCACTACAAGTGAAAAGAGCGGTTGGCCGGGTTGGTCCAGGACCGAAACTAAAATACCATAGGGCCCTCCGCATACTATATCTAGAAGACGTCATGATTTTAATTATCATAAATTTGGATTTATGGTGTAGTCTTGATATATCTAATGCCGACAAAATATACGGATAACGAACACGATATAGAAATTAATACAATCGAAAGTTCTATCATTCCTGAAATTTGGGGATTTAGAAATATGGCAATTTTAGAATTTTTAAATATGGAAATTTAGAAAAAAGGTGATTTCATCTGATATTATATTTAATGATAGTTCGGCCGTGGATATATGTATGACTTCCATTTATATGGCCTGTGATGGAGTCCTTCCTCGCATGAACTTTCACGAATACTAATGATATTTCCTACTAGTAACGGGTGGAGATCACGGATATCGGTGCAATTTCTAAGATTTGTAAATTTTTGAAGTGAAAAAATTGAGAAATTCTTATATTTCTACATCTAGAAATTTAAAAAAATTAATAACCATTTCAAATTCATAACCATTTACCTATCTAAAGCCATAATTAAGACTCCAATATATTCAAAATTACTTTTCACTAAGTATCATGAATAAAATTAATATAATTAACACATGTACTCTCAGAGCAACATTAACAGTTGTTTATAAAAGAAACTTCATAAAAGTCAGTAGTAACTGAAAGAAATGAAACCAAATGATTGATATTTTCCATTAGGGCGTTCCATAATTAATCCAGGGGTACCTAAAAACATAGTTGCGCGTTTGGTCCTGTTGAAGTGGCGGTGGTGGCAGTGTTGCCAAGCTCGTGAAACCACGGCAAAGTGCTTCGAGTCAGCTCATGGGGGTTCTCGGGAGGAAAAGAGATATTTGAAGGGAATGGAAGCGAGAGCAGACGGCATAAACCTTTGTGGTGGGAGGGAGGGGTACGCGGACCGGGCAGGGGTGGCGGACCAATTAAATATGGCGGCAGCAGTGGGGTGTGGCGCTCACGCATGCGCATTGGCGTTTTCGGCTGGGGGACAAGAGCCGCGGACAGAAGGAACCGGCCGGCGAGCAGAGGGATCGAGGAGTACCCGGCGTACGTTTGTGTTGTGCGCGCTCTCTTCGAGATAGTCTCTCAGTGTCGCTCGAGAACTTGTCCCTCGACGTTTGTTCTTCACTTTAACGTTTCTCGTTTTGACTGGAACACGGTCGACAACTTGTGAAAACTCGAAAAGATGACGATGGCAACGGAAACAGAAAACACTGGACCGGAGAGCAAGGAGATGAAGGATGTGAAAGAGATGAAAGAGGCGCTGAAGGACGAAACGCCGCCGGACAATAAGCAAGAAGAAAAGGATGCGGCGAAGAAAGAAGAAAGTGGGAAAAAGGAGGAGGCCACCGACGCCGCGGCCGCTGCATCATCCGCACCGACCAAGGCTATCAGCGTGCACAAGACCAACTACGAGAAGGACGTTGTTTATCTGTATCAGTTCTCACGAACGCCGCTTTTGCCCTCCATCTCGCCGTATTGTCTCAAGGTGGAAACATGGTTGCGACTCAACGGCATCAGATACGAGGTAAGCTTTCAATTGTTATTCGCATGATATTGAATCGCTCAAATTTCGAGATGCAAGAGTCGGGAGATCAATGGAGTACGATGCTCCCGAGGTTGTACCCTAGCCGTCGTATTTCTTCCGGGTAACGGCGTCCTCTTAGCTGTTTACCCTTACCCGACTTATAACTGAAATTTTAGTTAGTTATTCGTGCTAAGCATCATATAAATGAAGTTTCATTAAAGAAACTAATGTATTCTTTAGAAAAAAAATGATAGAGAAGGTGGATCCTTTACCGATTATTTCAAAATGGCGGCTCTTGTCAACCTCCGTGCGTCCAAAGCAATGTTTAATCGTGCTTTTAAACGATTACGAATCACTTTTCGCACTTTCCTATACTAAAATGGCTTATGCTTAAATGGCCGATTCTTTTTATGAACATTTCAATTGTTAGTTCTTTCATGGTTAATGATTTCTGTAAAAATTTGAAAAAAAAAACCCTCTGTACGATATCGATCGATCTTCATGAAAACATGGAGTAGACATTTGCATTTTTTTCTTAAATCGTTGATTTGAATTTGAACATATGTTATGCTCGAAATTTATTATTTACGGACGGTTTTACAGTTAGAATTTGAAATTGTACTTGGATCAAATATTTTCTGATGGAATACACTGATACGGTAGCCCACTCTGGATTTCAGACGCAAATATTTATAGAAAGCGTAGTGTTTACATCCGGACATCTAGACAAGCGGTGATAACGTACCCGCGACTCTTTTGATGAGGGCAAAGCTTAAGCACGTAATCGTGCACGTAATAGCTAAACATTACAAGTATCTCATTCCCATTATACATGTAACATTTAATACGACGAAACATTAAACCTGATACGTGCTTTCGTATCGAGCGATCCTTTATTGTAACTACGTCATTTTGTAATCAAGTAAGCTCCAAGATTTTGATGACACAGTAATTATGTTAAAACGATTTCTCTCCACTCGGTGGTATTTCCTGTCGTAAAAATTTGTATATCTGCTGGTGTAAAGTAAAGGATGACGGAGTACATTTGCAACATTGACTTTCTTTAAATACAAAGATCCGCGGGGGAGGAGCATCGTGTATATATATCTTCAATTTTAGGGATTAAATATGTAAATTTAAAAATTTGTACATTTCTAAATTTTCAAATTCTCAATATTCCAAATTTGAAAGTTTGAAGATGGAAAACTAACGACCAAAAAAATCAACAAATGATGGGTCTTCTTTCCCCTAAATCATTTTTCCTGGGGGAAGCGAACGGTGTTCGCAAGTGTACATACGATCGAAAAGCATGAAAATACATTTTCTCGCGAAAGAGGTGAAAGGCCCGGCGGCATGCATTCCTATGGACTTTTAAAACGGGTTTCAGTGGTTGCGTGGGGGGCGAGCAAGGAAAGCCTATTGGAGGGCTTCCAAGTTGAACAGAGCAAAATGCCCCTGTATACCGAGGCTCTCGATCCTGCGCGTTCTGTTTTCGGGGGGATGGAAGGACGCGGTAGACCCCTTCGGGCTACACGTACTTACGCGCACACGCACACCACCGGAGCGGGACTCGCGCGTCAACTAAGAGAGTGGCGTTCCGCTGAACCATGTGTTGTTTCGATGAACACAATGCATCGATCGATATCGTGACCGAACAAACGCTCACCAGAAGATGATTTTTTGCTCGAGAAATCGTCGCAGCGTACTGTATGGCTCGTATTTTTAGTCGGCGACACACTTGCGCGATGACGATTCTTTTTATAGTTAACGGAATTTTTCGAGGACCTTTTTTAGAATTGAATTAATTTTTTAAGAAATCCTATTATATCATTTAAATGTATTATATTATTGTTAATGTTATATTATTTAAATGATGTTTCCTATATCTTCATATGAGTCGATACTCGCAGAGGTCACGTGATCAATCACATCAATATTGACACATATTGCGTAGAACCCGTACTATCGACAAATATCGATAATTCGATACATTGATATTATCTTGATATTGTTCAAGTAAAATTAATGATAGAAATAGAATTAATTCACTAATCTAATATAATTGTCGAAATATTAGGACTAATAGGAGCGACTAACGTATTCAGTACGTTTTGGCGCGCAAATTCAAATCTCCACGTTTGAGTAACTTGTATAATAAATATGTAGATATAATATTTGAAAAGATTCGTAATAACGTGAACACCTATACATAGTTACTTCCTTCTTTAGAAGATAATATGTTCTACCATCTATCTCTGCTTGTTTACGCACGTTTTTCCATCAATTTATTTATATCGTTGCTGGCTGCATAGGGGCGATATAAGTCGCGGGTCGTGGAATACTCGACGATAAATAATCAGGGTCGGAAAACTCTGAAAGTACAAAATCTTCATACAGATGACGTTTTTTTTTCACGTTCTCCTCTTCTTTCTTCCGTTCAAAATTTGTTCGAATGACAAAAAAAAAAAATTAATACACAAGTGCATATTCGTGTTAGGCATCAAAAGCAAAATTTATTTACAATATTATCAAACTTTTCTGTACAAAAGAGTCTCTAAAATATGTCAAATTTCTAAAACGATGTGTATATGTTTACGAAAGTAAGGACTGCGTCAATCGATAACGCATCACGTGTTCGGTTATTAAAACAGAAATTCGAAACTCGGAGAATTCTTCTGTCGGTTCTCATGGTTCGGAACGCATGGAATTTTATTCGATGGTGGTCGCCACTTTCGAAACACTTTTGGAAGCTCGAGGTTAAACGCGTTACCAGCGTTCTTTTTCATCTGGCCGCCTTTAAATGTGGGGTCTTCACGACATCTGTTGAACATAACGTTTTTCCCCGAAACGGAGCCACAGGGATAATGTTTGTCGAGGGTTCGAAAAGCAGATTTCAACGAACCCGATAGTGTTTCTAATTCTTTCGTGCTTTTACGATAACGTTACGACGACGTTGAGTCGACGCCTTTGTCACCATCGATAACGATCTCCGGAAAAACAAAAAGACCGTGTCTTATTTTACTTTCGAAACGATTTTAGACACGGTCCAGACAAATTTGCTCCCCGTCGTACGTGGTCGTTTTAAGGGCTATTTTTAGACACCCTGATGAACGATTGCACTTTATGTAATTTGTCCGATGCGATTGTCAAGCGTTACTGACGCCTCCACTTCCGGTTCCCCGTTCTCGATTCTCCGAACGTAATTGGTTATTTCTTGCACACGCCCTAGGGAACATCGTGGAAGTAATTGTTACATGTTTCGTTCCATCGTCTAATTTTTACGACTTGGAGATTATTTGAATTTTAAATTAAAAAAAAAAATTGTATAATTGGGTTATTATAAAATTTTCCATGGTTCTTGTTCTTTTTCTTGGAAGTTCTAACAAAGGACGCGATTTGTTCGAACGATTGAAAAAGTGTCTTCTTTGTTTCCGTGCACGCGAATCGCGCGGGGCTCGAACAATTATACACTGATTGTATTTCCATATAAAGAGTCGTGGTAACCCTTTCGTAATGAGCGTTCGTTCGAATGGTAAAACGACAGAACTGGAACAAAAGAGGTCACAGGTAATACGGAGGAAGTTCTTATTGAACTAATCATTACCAAGATAGGTATAAATAACGTGCGGAATGGTCCGAATCAATTGGCCAACTTGGGCAATTTTGTCCTCGGCATAACGATGCATCGAAGTTTCCAAGAAATGCTTTTCATCTTCGCTCCATCTTACAACCATTGTTTACGAATCCTATATACGAAAGGAAGCTCTCTTCTCGTTAAACCTTAACGATTCCACGTGCTAATGTAAAACAGGCAATATGTTAATAATAAAATGTTCCGAGCAGACGAATACATTCTTCACTGCTCGAAGTAACCGCTGCGTTTATTGGAAATATAATTACGGTGTTGTTGGGGGCCCGATAATTACAGTGCAGAAATCCAAGATGCAATCTTCGGTTATGATGTATTGTTACTTGTTCTTGTTTTGCAGCAACATTATATTTACAGGGTGTGCCGGGCATTAGTACCTACTTATCGAGACCTTATATTCTTCCATCGTCGTTAATAATCACTTAAGAAAATGTCTTATTTCTTCATTTATTATGGTAATTATTGTTGGATGCAGGAGGCGCCATGGAGTACGTTGCTGCAGATATAGACACATGTGGTGCGTCATTAATTATATCAGTAACTGACACGCGTGATATGCCATTAATTACATTGCGCAAATATTATAACACACGTGGTGTGTCGTTGATTGATTCGAGTAGTGTAAGACGTACATTGTGCGTCGCTGATTATATTGAGTGGTATCAGACGCACAAGGTGCGTCGCTGACGGTATTGATAGTACAAGACGCATGAGGTGCGTCGTTAGCTGTATTGAATAGTATGAAATGCACAAAGTACTTCATTGATTATGTTGGACAGTACAAGACGCACCAGGTGCGTCGTTGGCTGTATTGAATAGTATGAAATGCACAAAGTACTTCATTGATTATGTTGGACAGTACAAGACGCACCAGGTGCGTCGTTGGCTGTATTGAATAGTATGAAATGCACAAAGTACTTCATTGATTATGTTGGACAGTACAAGACGCACCAGGTGCGTCGTTGGCTGTATTGAATAGTATGAAATGCACAAAGTACTTCATTGATTATGTTGGACAGTACAAGACGCACCAGGTGCGTCGTTGGCTGTATTGAATAGTATGAAATGCACAAAGTACTTCATTGATTATGTTGGACAGTACAAGACGCACCAGGTGCGTCGTTGGCTGTATTGAATAGTATGAAATGCACAAAGTACTTCATTGATTATGTTGGACAGTACAAGACGCACCAGGTGCGTCGTTGGCTGTATTGAATAGTATGAAATGCACAAAGTACTTCATTGATTATGTTGGACAGTACAAGACGCACCAGGTGCGTCGTTGGCTGTATTGAATAGTATGAAATGCACAAAGTACTTCATTGATTATGTTGGACAGTACAAGACGCAC